TTTCTTCATCTTCCTTCATTTCCTTGACGCGACCTTGCTCGTATAGTTTGTTGACGCGAGCGGCGTAGGATCGCATATCCTCATCGTGCTCTTTCGCAACGCGAAAGGCGAGGAATCGTCGACTGAAAAGCGACAGCTTTTCTCCAAACATCTCAGTCAAATGCTTGACGATGTCGTCGTATGCGATGGAGGACAGCTCTTTGGGTCGAGCATGATCCGCTAGCAAGCCATAGGATTTGGCATCCAGCATTCCGAGGACAAGATGCTTTTTGTTCTCCTCCGAGATGCGCGATTCGGTGGCGATGAGGTTTGTGAACCGCTCATGCCATTTTTCGAACGTAATCCCCTGGGATGGGTCATACTCGAATCGACTTACGCGAGTGGCTAGAGCGCCCAACTCGACTGCATTCAGAGGCCTTTGGCTTTGGCTTGAATCTTCGCTAACCGAGTCCGTGTGCGTTTGGACCTCGGCGCGGATCCGCTCGAGCTCAGCCATGAGCTTGGCTTCTCGCTCTTGCCCGGCGACCATGACAGCGGTCATCTGCTGGTTCGCGGCGGCGAGCTGCTTGAGCACGTCCTTGAGCTCGGGGTCGTCGGCCATTCTTCAATTCAGCTCGAATCCTTGATCGCCAATTGTTGTAGGTGTGGCTGTGCGTGAGTTCTTGAGTGCTGGCTCGAACCAAGGGGATACCTTGCGTGAGAGCCGTTTGACACCTGAATTGATATGACGAAAGAAGAGGACAAAGTATTTATCTAGATAACGGCAATAGCCTAAAATAACACAAGCCGCGAGACAAGACGGGCGGTGTGGAAGGAATGAAAAAGACACGCACAAAAAAGGGTTATCCCGGGGGGAGTGGGGAGCGCACACAGGGCGCGGTGCAAAGGGGTGCGCCGTAGTGGCATCGCGTAATTGAATCAAAAGACTTCTTTTCTTGCTTCCGCAACACTCGAAAAAATGAAAAAATTCGAAAAAACGCCAGGCTCCGACGAGCGGTTTTTTGCCCGGACATCCTATATAAAGCATCGATTTTTTTATCGATTTAAACCCTCCTAAAACATTCGGCCTCTCTTCCCATACCATAATTCTTCATTTATTACTATTTCCCAAGCCACATTTCAAATCAACAGTCCTTCCATTTGCCATGTGTCCTTGGGGCACCGCTGTCCTCCCGAATTACAACTGATAACAACCACCCCTCCTCTTTTTTTTGGGTGGTTCCAGTTTTGGCGGCACGGGGCTGTGTCCGTCTATTTTTGACATTTTTATAACGGATTTCTGTGTGGTTGCGTGCCACTTTGCATTCACCCGACAACGGCCACGTGCCACACGGCTAATGGATTTTTTTGCGGGGTGGCTTCAGAGCCTCCTGTTTTTGACTATAGCAGGTGTTCTGCCGGGTTTTTAGGAAAGACTTATTTTTGGTTACATTTCAGGGGTTGTACAGATTTTGGTGCCGTATGGGCAGGGGCGTACACGAACCCGATTTTTGGGGGAACTCGAAATGTCGACCCCCCCGGTCACCACTTTCAAAACATTCAAAATCGCACTATAACAGCGCCGCATGAGCAAAAATAAGGAAGCGTTAGAAACGCTCAAATTCATTGTAAAAACATCGCGGAAAACGCGCCGCAGGCGAAAATTTTATATGGAGAGTTGACAGACTAATGAAAAACAGCGCCGCAGGCAAAAAAATTTTAGAAAAATAGGCTTCATAGAAGTAAAAACCGTCTTAAAAACAGTAATAAACAGGCCGCAGGCAGAAAAATTTTATGAAAAATCATAAGGGTCCCCCTTATGAACTTTTCGACCTTCGGCCGATTTTGGGGGCACTTGCCCTGTTGCCCCCTCCCCCTCGTACGCCCTGTATGGGCGTTACAGTAGTTACAGATTTTTTGGCTATAGGCGCTACTACTCGTGAAACGACTTTCCGTTGCGTAATGTATTAGTTTCTAGACTTTCCGGGTCCTTTAAAGGTGTTATAAAACTGTAGAAACGATACCTCTGGATAAATCGATAAAATATAATTTCTTTTGTATGCATGTCGGATATCGTGGAATATTTCGGTAAGACCTTAATTCATCCCCCTAGCTCGAAGATCCCAGAATTTCCGATATTTTCGCTAATTTGTCGGGGTTTTTGCCGCGCGGCTCGGTAGAGCATGAAAAAATATACGTAATTTTTTAATGCAGCTCAAAATCTTGTGATATAAAAAAGCTATAGCAAAAACAAAATAACTCTAAAAATGGGGGTTGAAATGCTGGTTTCGACTTTTTTCGCTAAATTTTTGCAGATGAAAGTTGAAATTCGATGGAGCATCAAAAAATATACAAATACTATTATTTTCCTATGATATTAAATTCAAAACTCGCTTGAACCCGTGGTCTCGCGTATTGTTTATTTGGCCCTGCCCATTCAACAATTCCAAACAGACGCCCGGCTTACTAACCCCTTTAAAACTATCTATCCCCGACCCACTTGTCGTAACAAATATCCGACAACCACCCGATCAGGTCAACCCCCCTCCCGTCCATGGCATGGCACTGATCCCATCGCTACAGCGCAACCGATTCTCCCGCCCGTCTGAGTTGCCCTCTATTGACATTTTTCATTTTGGCGTCCCGATCGGCCCGTTCTTCGTCCCCCCCTCTCGGCTCCCTGTCACATTGCCCATTTTTTGCTTTGGGTTCTGCACCGGCGGCCCGTGATCCGTCAATTTTGACATACCGTATTTCTTTGAAAAATCTTCACAGCCTGACTACCCATAGATACCCAGCGATGAAAAGTATATCTACTTTTCACCCCGCAATCTACGGTTTTCAATTTTTGAGTTTTAGCCGGTTATCAGGGGGATGTTTATCTTTTTAAAACACGCGTATCCTCTCTTGTCGCCCGAAATTACGAGCCGAAATCCCGTGGTCAGCATCGCGGCAAACCGGTCTTCTTCCCCCCTTTCGAACCCAGTCTCGACCGTCTCGACACGGCCGACTGCCGCATAAAAATCGAATTTCGTTTTGCTCGTTTGCGGATTTTTCGGCGGCTTGTTGACAACGACAGTCCGCACGCTACCGTTTTATCAGCTCGTCTAGGTATCCATTTCACCTTTTACCTTTGTAAACGCTTTATTTCTTTCAATTTTCAAAGGCAATTTGAGGTCAGCTTCACTTCATTATCCCTTTAATAGATATAGTTATTGAAGTTGAGGACTTAGAAGTCTCCTGACTACAATCGGTCTGGCACAATAGTAGTAATTTCTCAACTTGCGAATATTCCAGAAATTTGGCAGCGCCCATCAGCCTTTTCATTGCGTAATTGGCTTCGGCAGGGGTGACGACGATTTATGCTATTTTTTTAAAAATAAACCCTTTTTTATTGCTAATTCCCGTAGGCCGCGAATTTCCCTGAATGGACGCTTTAAACGTTTCGAGAACGCAACACATTCTCTCTAAAAACTATAAATCACAAAATCCAGAAGGATACATTGTCCATCCCTTCGATCTCATATTTTCGTCCGATCATCCCAATTGGTATTTGTTGCATCCCTCCATCCATCCACCACTTCCTTGTCTGAAATCCAAACAGAAAGCTTGGCCCTCCACACCTCCCATGGCCAACCCTCAATTTATCAAGGCACCTGCTGGTGGGGGGCAATCCTCACAAAATCCCATCCCGTCACACCAACCACCAAATTTATGGGATCGTGCAAAAAGAGCATGCGATAGATGGGACGAGTTCAGGATGATCCATGATTCCTTAGGAATTGGGCTTTGGTAAGGGGCGGAAGTGAGAAAAAGGTCGAGATGGAGTTACCATATTTTAAAGTGGCAAAGAACTAGCTGCTAAAAAACATCTAGGCAATGTCGAGCTATATTCTAGAGCTAAATTGACAAAAAACTTAAAGCCTAAAACAGGGACACCCGGGAAGGCCACAAAAGTGATTTCATTGCGAAAAAACGTAAAATATTTGAGAAAACCGAATTCTTTTTGGGGGAAAACGACATTTTTGTGCGCGGGATTACCTGTCGTAATGCTAAGGCCCCAATCTCTCGATCTCGGCGACTCTGCCAATTCATAAATTAAAAGTCTAGAATGATCAAAATTTGTGAGATTCCAAAATGGCATCAGAATTTTTAAATTCTAGCGTTTTCGCGTCCAAACAGGGGCAAAAGACCATGCGGCGCGGTCGCGTTGCGGTCGCAGCTGGCTATTTGCCAGAAATCACAGCAGGGGGCCGTGGACCAGATTTCGGAGCCCCTTTAAGGATAGTAGGATCAGCGTTTTTCGAATAAAGGGATAGCGAAAAGAGCCAACCCGTTTAACACAAAAAAATCAAGCACGTGACGCGCCCGCGCTCGCGTTCACGAACATCTAAAATCATCCTCAGCATAAAATTTGGTTCTATGTCAGTAACCGGAATTTTGCATGTAATCGGGGTTTTGTGGAAAACAATTAAGTAAGCGAATTATGTACGAAATCGGGGTTTTTGGCGGCGATCGTCGGAACCAGAGGCTTTTGGTCGAAAAGCCGGATTTATATTAAAATTGGAATTTTTTAGAAATAATAGGCACTAAAACCCCTGATTTTCTACAAAATCCCGGTTACCTGTATAGAGACCAATATTTTGATCACCCACATGTTTTAAGCAAACTTTCGGCATGATCGGTGTGATAGCACTCAAGAAACAAAGCCATTAGCCCCAGATCCCAGGGTCATTTGTCTGTTGCCCGCCCATCGGGGAGGTAAACCCCTGGTTTTTCTTCCCTCCAGCCATTTCCAATCAGCCTGGTGTCCCATCAGCCTGCTGAAATGTCTATACCGTACCCTACCCACACCGAGCTGGTATCTGAATATTCGTATGGCCGCTCTCGAACTTTTTCGCTGCCATCATTCGGCCCAATTCTTCATCTACCACGACGGCCTAGTCAGCTAGCATTCTCTATACCTCGTCAGAACAGTAGTGTATTTGACTCGCCTTCTTATGGCAGTGAAAGCTCATTGAATGATATTACCACCAGCTACTGTATCCCAACCAAATTGGAATTCCAAGTGTTTTGTGACGCCGATTCCAGAATACCTGATAATTCAGAATCTGAGCCTTGCGAGGAAATACCTCTACAAAGCCCCGTATCTCCCATACCCACTTCGCTACAGCAATCGAGCCTCTTTCTTGAATCCATACAAGACGCTGAAATTGTCTGTTCGCTAATTCCCACCACATCATACTGCATCCGCTCCTTCGCTTCCGAAAAACTAGAAATTGTACGTTCCCCAATCCCCAATACTTTGAATTTCTAAAATAAACCCCGAATTTCAGAAAGCGCTCAAGGAGAAACAGGCTGCTGTAAAAGTTGAAGAAAAAAAGCCGACACCTGTGGTCCTGAAACCAATTTATAGCCAAAAACCGAGCGATAAATTTAAGGTATGTGATTTCACTTAGAAAATCGTAATTTAAAATTAGGAGATATTGATCACTTGTAATTACGCTGCCGAACCGAGAGAGCGCAAAAGGGTACCGCATTCGTTTCGCAATTGATTATTCTTTTGCTCTTAGAAAATGCTGTGCAAACTGCCTCATTTCATTCTCTATGACACAGCGGACCTGGAGCATAGTCAAGTAATACGAATGATATTCGCGGTGGCTAGGATACCATACGAATTGAAGAAAGTCGAACCGGCTGAAATCATAGGTACTACTTTTCGTGAAAACTAATTACATGTTTTTGAAGATTTACCTCTACGAACAGTGCCCGCGCTAGAGATTGATGGAGCCAAAATCGGAAATATAACGACAATTTGTCGACATTTGGGCTGGCGATACGGTATACCAAGACGAAATTGATCGAAATATTTCTTGCAGATTTATCCGGGCAGACGGCGGTCGAAGATTCGATGGTAGATATGATAGCCGAGACCATCCACGAAGCCCGGGGAAATTACGCCCTTGGTTAGATCATATTGAATACCGAAACGTTGACTATTCCAAGGTCAGTAAAAAGGCCACGTTCGAACCTGACTTCATTTCAGCCGGAATGCTCGGATAGGTATGCGTTCGAGTACCTGGAAACCCAGCTCGCACCGGTTATAGAGAACCTCCTTCATAAAAATACGTCTCCATGGCTTATCGGGCAAAAGGTTTGTTAGGGATAAATATCTGGAGAGGAAAATTGCAGTTGACTTGGTCCGATCTGATGACCGCCGCATTCTTCAATTCAATTATCTATCATCGCCCAGCATTTTTCGACCGATATCCGAATATCTATTTGCATAATAAGAAGGTATGTAATAAACAGCTTGAATCTAGAATATCGGCAATTTCAGATTGCTGAACTCCCAGAGCTAGAAGGGATGCTCTACTGCGTGCGTGACCGCACGGTTGAAGTTTCTCTGTTCAGCCACATGACGAAGCCTCCCATGGAAACACAAATGACCGCATGCACTTGAAAACAGAAAGAAATAAAGTTGTAAAAAATGAAACCTGGTGACCACATTTGAGGGTCCCCACAACAGTCTGCACTACCAATTGATCTTTAGAATAGTTATGCGATTGATAAATTAATAAAGCTCATCAGGCTGCTCTATGTATAGCTATATTGCCAGTCCAACGCAAAACCGAGAAGCACTAAGAAAAACGAAGATCTAAAGTTTATCTATTCAGCTCCTCGCCAGGACAAAATAGTGATTTGCGTAGACGCGTGCATCAATTCTTTTGCCAATACGACCAATGCAACTTTGGCATAAATATACAGAATTTTATTGCTGGACAGCAGCGATCCCAGAGAAGATAATGAACGCTAGTTCCTGGGTTACTGTATTATCCCGTGCCGCTATCTGCTCCTATTTTGCCCAGCCCTTACCCTCGCGCACGACAAGCATTTTTCTCTTTCGTCGCCTTCTTGTTCTTCACCCTCAAAGCTTCTTCATCCACACGGTGGCCTCCTCCTTCTACAAAATGTCTTTTATGTCATACGCATTGTGCAGCTGATTTCAAATTGCCCGTACAACGAGACATTCCAATGTACGCACCAACACCGCGCTCTCTGAGGGGAAAGAGAAACCCGGGCCCCAAATAGAAATCGCTTCGAATTCCGAATCGCCAATAAACAATGTTTGTTCTTTTTGCCATTGTTCTTTGCAAGGCGACTTTTAAAATAAATCTAGTACGCCTGGTAGGTCAGGATTATCTAGATTGGTTCCGCCTTTTTTGATTCCTTGACCCAAACAGAAAGCCAAAAAGACTGTTCAAATTAGATCTTTTTTCTAACAGAACACTGGAATACTGACTGAATAATACTAGGCATCCCTATTGCTAAGAATTTGAAACTTATTGTTATTGAAGGTCTTTTCGCCTAAAGGCTTTTCCAAAAGGTCTTTCGGAAAGGCTATTGACAGTCGCGCCGCTGGCGGGTTTATTCTTTTGCTTTGCATCGATTACTTTGGGCGAGGCCGCTGAGTTCGATGTCTTCTAGCCTTGATTCCGCTTCAATGCCCACGCTTTCGTTCTGTTTTTGCCCTCTTTTTCTTATCTTTTCCTATAATTCACACTATAGTAATTTTTACAGGATCTTCAGTAAAGCGGAGATGTCTCGACCTGGAAAAAGCCGGGCCGAGGTTGAAGCATACGCGGATCAGTTGGCAAAGGATAGGGGCCTCGGACGTGCCGAAGAAGAAGAAAATCGCCCCAAAGATCAGAGCAAGATCGCCTTCGGGGCCGCCGGTGGTTATGATGAGGTAACCATCATATTATAGTTTTGCAAGTAATTTTATTTTCAGGATGTCTATGGCACTCAGCGTGGCAAACGTAGCGATCTCTACTCATCAAGTATTGGTGGTGGCGAAGAGGATGACGATGATCAGGAAACTTTCGATGTGACTCGCCCCAAGAACACTTATGCCAATCAACGTAAAATGATCGAGGAGGCGGCTCGTACGGATGAGGTAAAGCTAAAATACTGGCGTGGATTTCTGTTTGTTTTAGGAAGTCGATCCGTTTGCTGAAACACGCACAAAGACGATTGGTGAAAAGCAAAGTGAATACCAAAAGCGGATGTACAACAGGCCGATTTCTCCGGAGCGCATCGACCCTTTTGGTGAGAACCCCACCTTTGCCTAAACCATATTTTTTAGTTGATCAGACTCCTCGGGCCGGTAATCGTGGCTACGCTGAAGTCATGAAAGAGCAGCAATATCTTGAAGACAAGCAAAAGGTAAACTCGAAATTGAGACTTAGATTTCCGTTGATTTTAGCTTGACCGAGAGATGAAAGACAAAATGAAGGCTGGCGAGCTACGAGTTGTTGAGCCGGCTCAGAAGAAGGCCAGATGGGATGACAACACTCCAAGCAAAAACGAGGTGAGTTTTTCGCGCGTAGCCTTAATTTATTGTTACTTTAAGGCGTAAACCTTTATTTTTAGGTGCTTGGCGCGGCTTCTACCACACCAGCTCAATCAGGGACCGCACCGAGGAAAAGATTGGATATCACCTCACTGGCTGCTGATGCCGCTACGCCCCAGGTTCAACGTTGGGACGAGACCCCTGCTCATGCGAATGCCACCGGTAAATTCATCTGGCCAGAATTATTGACAATTCTGTTTTGCAGACGCTACGCCATCAGCAAAAAGTTGGGACGCCACCCCTGGCGCCCAGACACCTAGCGCAGGTACTGCTCGCCGTAATCGTTGGGATGAGACGCCTAGCCGTGACAATAATGATTCTGGAATGACTCCTTCCTGGGGAATGGAAACGCCCTCGCATGGCATCAAGGTGCAATTGCTAGGATAACTTTAATATACTCTTTCCAGATTGAGGACACTCCCTCTGCTTCGGTCCGGCGTTCACGCTGGGATATGACTCCGGCAGCTACTCCACAGTATGGCTCCTCGACCCTAAATGGTTCGGCGACTCCTTCATTCACGCCCAAAATGGTAACGGCTATTTTTAAGCACTTTATTTTCTTATAGGAGGGCGGCGCAACCCCATCAATGTTGACTCCGGGTGGTTCTACACCAGTTGGTGCGGCAGCCATGGCGATGAAGACTCCAGCTGCTCCTATGATGATGACGCCTGACCATCGGCGTTTTGTCGACCAAGGAGTGTCAGTTTATTACGAATTTTCGGGATTATTTGTTTTTAGAATGTTCACGGATGAGGAACTCGACGCCATGATGCCTGATGGGTATGAGGTTCTGCCACCTCCGCAAGGATATGTCCCGCTACGGACGCAATCCCGAAAACTTATGGCCACTCCAACGCCAATGCATGGATCTGCCGGTTCTCTGGGGTTCATGATGCAGGGCACGCCGGATCGCGAAGGGCTTGGTGACAAGGTGTGTTTTGTTGGCAAGATGCGGGCGTACCCACGGTGCCCTTCATCGTGGCGTGAAGATGTAGTCCGTATTTTTAGGGCGCTGGTGGAATCGTCAACAACCAGCCGAAAGCTATGGGCGATGAAGACCTACCCGCTTTGAAGCCAGAAGACATGCAATATTTCGATAAGCTTCTGCTCGACGTCGACGAGCGCTCACTTTCGAAGGTATAATGGTTGCTGCGATGCATAAAAGTTCCTTTTTAGGAAGAACGAAACGAGCGCGAGATAATGGGCTACTTGCTGATGATCAAGAATGGTATTCCTACGCAGCGTCGTCGTGGTCTGCGCAAGGTTCGGATTCGTCAGCTGGTTTCCAATGTGTATTTAGATTACTCAAAATGCACGTCGTTACGGCGCGGGTCCGTTGTTCAATCAGATTCTGCCACTTTTGATGAGCCCCTCCCTGGAAGAGCAAGAACGTCACTTGATGGTGAAGGTAAGTAAAGTAACGCTAGTACGAAAAAAATGCACAACGTCGTATGCCCTTTAGCAGCATCGTCATGGTGTCATTAACAAATTTCGATTAGGTGATCGACCGCATCCTCTACAAGTTGGATGACTTGGTTCGCCCCTACGTCCACAAGATCTTGGTCGTCATCCAACCGTTGCTGATTGACGAAGATTACTATGCACGCGTCGAAGGTCGGGAAATCATTTCTAACCTGGCGAAGGCTGCCGGCCTCGCTACGATGATTTCTACAATGAGGCCGGATATCGATAACGTTGATGAGTAAGAGACAAACCCTATCTTTTTAAGCTCTGTTAAGGTACGTGCGCAATACTACCGCCCGTGCGTTTGCAGTCGTGGCTTCGTCGCTTGGAATTCACGCTTTGTTGCCCTTCCTGAAGGCTGTGTGCAAGAGTAAGAAGAACTGGCAGGCTCGTCACACCGGTAAAGAACTTATTGTGATCTATATTGGCACTTTCTCTAGGTATCAAAATCGTCCAGCAAATTGCTATTCTGATGGGTTGTGCTGTGCTTCCGCACCTCAAGGCTCTCGTTGAGATCGTGGAGGCAGGTTTGGAAGACGACCAGCAAAAGGTACGCGGCCGTTTCTTCGGTTACGACTATTCTCGAATGGGTTTAGTCGGTGGATGTACGAGAAAAAAGCATTGCTGATATCGCTTTCATGTGCTCCTTTAGGTGCGAACGATGACGGGTCTTTGCCTCGCATCCCTGGCTGAGGCGTCGGCACCCTACGGAATTGAAGCATTCGATTCCGTTCTCAAGCCGCTTTGGAAGGTTTGCTCGCGTCGATGTCAACGATAATCGCTGTTCAGGGCATTCGCCTTCATCGTGGCAAGGGCCTAGCTTCTTTCCTGAAAGCTATAGGATGCTTGATTCCGTTGATGGACCCTGAATACGCCAGTTACTACACCCGTGAAGTCATGTTGATCCTTATTCGCGAATTCGCGTCTCCTGATGAAGAAATGAAAAAGATTGTGCTCAAGGTCGTAAAGCAGTGCTGCTCAACGGATGGTGTTGAAGCAAACTACATTCGTGAAGAGATCCTTGGGCCGTTCTTTAAGGTGTGAACAAATACTGTCGAAATACTTTCGTTTTTGCAGTTTTTCTGGAACTACCGCATGGCAATGGACCGGCGCAACCATCGTCAGCTCGTGGACACTACTGTCGAAATTGCCCAAAAAGTCGGTTGTGCCGAAATTGTTTCTCGAATCGTGGACGACTTGAAAGACGAGAATGAAGTCTACAGGTATAATTTTTTGATGCTCATCAAACTGCTTTAGAAAAATGGTGATGGAAACAATCGATTGCATCGTCGCCGTGCACGGGACTAATGATTTGGACAGCCGCTTAGAAGAACAGCTGATAGACGGAATTCTTTATTCCTTCCAGGTATTGTTAGCTTCTTCTTGGCTGAGGAATATTTTAGGAACAAACGCAAGAAGATGCCGTGATGTTGAACGGATTCGGCACGGTGTGCAGAGGACTTGGCATCCGCTGTAAGCCTTACATCCCGCAAATATGCGGTACCATTCTATGGCGATTGAACAATAAGTCTGCCAAGGTCCGCCAACAGGCTGCCGATTTGGTTAGTTGTTTTCAAGCTTCTTATATCATTGGATTCAGATCTCCCGCGTGGCCTCGGTGATGCACATTTGCGACGAAGAAAAGCTACTTGCTCATCTCGGTGTTGTGCTCTATGAATATCTAGGAGAAGGTCAGTTGTGCCGTTTTTAAAGTTTCTCACTGCCCTCAGCTTCTTCTATTTTCTGGTTACCATTTTGCTTTCAGAATACCCTGACGTGCTGGGTTCGATTCTGGGTGGTCTAAAGGCTATCGCAAATGCTGTGGGCATGACCAAGATGCAGCCCCCAATCAAAGATCTCCTGCCACGCCTCAGTCCGATCCTCCGTAACAGGCACGAAAAAGTACAGGAAAACTGTGTTGATCTCGTTGGTGCGATTGCCGATCGCGGGTCCGAATTTGTCTCTGCCCGGTGAGTGATTCATTATCCTTGTTTTATTCATTATTCAGTGAATGGATGCGTATTTGTTTCGAATTGTTGGATATCCTGAAGGCCCAGAAGAAGAGCACCCGTCGATCGGCCATCCTTGCATTTGGCTACATTGCCAAGGTATTTTATTGGTTTTGGAACTGTTGACTTTGTTTCAGGCGATTGGTCCCCACGATGTGCTGGCTGCTTTGCTCAATAATTTGCGAGTTCAGGAGCGGCAGCTTCGTGTTTGCACTACGGTATCTCTTTCGACACGTGAAATATTCTCTGAATTCAGGTTGCCATCGCTATCGTCGCGGAGACATGCGCGCCGTTTACCGTACTGCCAGCAATTATGAACGAGTACCGCGTGCCGGACATGAATGTGCAGAACGGTGTCTTGAAGTCGCTGTCGTTTATGTTTGAGGTGATTATTTTTTTTGTTCACGGTTTTCTTTTAGTACATTGGTGAGATGGCCAAGGATTACGTCTATGCCGTGGTGCCGCTGCTGCAAGACGCACTGATGGAGCGTGATTCTGTTCATCGGCAGATCGCGATTGACGCTGTAGCCCACTTGACGTTAGGTAAGAGTTGCGAAACGTTAAATATCCAATAAAATGACAGCGCGATTATGTGGTATTTTTTTAGGCGTCTACGGTTTCGGATGCGAGGACGCACTGATGCATTTGATGAATTACGTGTGGCCTAACATGATGGAAAATTCGCCGCATTTGATCCAACGCTTCATTTTCGCTTGTGAGGGAATGAGGGTTTCGCTTGGACCGATCAAGGTAGGCTTCGTTTAATTTTTGAAATAACCTTTTTTTTGTAGGTCCTGCAATACTGCTTGCAAGCAATGTGGCATCCTGCTCGCAAAATTCGTGAACCCGTCTGGAAGGTTTGTCGATTTTTGTTTGCGCTTCATAGTTTTGTTCAGGTTTTCAACAACCTGATAATCGGCTCGCAGGATGCCATCGTTGCGGCCTACCCGACAGTTCCCGGAACCGAGCTCAACGACTACACAAGATATGAGCTAGAATACACAATTTAATCTCCGGTTATTTATTGTTGTTTTCGTTGTCGACATTGTGAGTTTATCTTGTAATTGTTTTTAATTTCGGTTGCGATAAACGATCTTTACTTTGAACGCTGGCATCGTATTTTACAGTGGATTCTTCCTGAAAAAAACTTTCAGGGGTTGGTCGTAAAATGGTTGGTTGTTCATAGATATTCCAGAAAGGGCGCTTGTTAGGGTGTAGTTTTTATAGTATATGTGCGGAAGCGAAGTCTCTTCCATATCTCTTTATATCCTTTTCTCTCGGTTCCTCCTTCCAAACCGTCATCTCTCCGACACCCCTTATCAAATTTGTCGTTAGTGAAACGGTCTACATGTCATTTGTACTCAGCCCGCCATGTATCGGTGCTACAAATCGGCCGATCAATTGAAGGACGCTCTTGCAATATTCCAAAGGCACCCACGCCTTAAAGTTCTCGAAAATTCGACGATTTTGACGATCAACAATGTCGTACCGAGCGCCGAATTTCGGTTATATTCTTGCAATGACTCGAAAATTTGGATTGGAATCAAACCGTTTATGGGAAGGTATTTATTGCGCTCGTTCCTTGAACTGAACTATCAGCACGCATATTTTCGTCAACGGTCTCGGTCAGTTGGATGAGCAGATCTTCATCCCTTTTTTTAAGCATGTATTACGCGAGAATACCGGTACATAATCTACCTTAATTAACCGTTTGATTCTTTGATTCAAGACACTTTGCTGGCTAACCCACACAGCTGCCTAATTGGCGACATACCACTTGTGGATTCGGTATGCGCTTTGAATGTCCATTTTTTTGATTAACCATTATTCATTATTATTTTTTAATTAAGGCTCGAGCATACCTGCGCGGCATCGGACATAATTTATACTCGTCTTCTGCGACGTTGTTGTACTGTTTCCGGAAAGACCTGCAGTTTCCAGAATATAAATTGCCGGAAGGGTATGACCCAAATTATTATGAGCAATGGAAATAACACAAGGTATGCGCTAAAATAGTACGATTTTTTCAGTTTTACGATGGGCCCATTCTGTGAGGAAGATGTGCCGACGGTAGCGGCAACATGGCAATACAAATCACCTACCGAGGAACAAAAAGTGAGGTAAATCGACGATTCCATGATGTTAAATTTTGTTATTATGGAACCTCAGAAGCAAAAGTAAACTTTAGACAGAAATAAAACCGAAAAAAAGGGCGGTTTTCCAGGATGCGTATGAAACATTTGGCGACGGTCTGCATCAAGCGCGCCTCTGATGGTAAACCGGCAGGCTTCTTCATGCTCGAGCACAATGGCATGCTTGTTCATGCTTTTGTTGTGCCCGAATTTAGGGGATTAAGATTACGGTGAGTACGTTGAACAGGAAATTAAAATTTTCATGGCCAATTTACAGTGAGGCCCTGTTCTTTTCCCTTGGCGATCACGTCCGTCAAAAGTTTGGCATTGAACCATACTTTTGCACAGTTAAAACCAACGAGGTGATGTTTCGTTGGCTGAAAAAGGATTGGGAGGTACGGTATAACTATCAATAAAAACAGAACAAACACATCCTAGGTCTATGACGAAACGGGCGCCGTCGCTTCGGTCGATTTTCAAGCTTTCGAGACTGATGAAGCCTTGTTTAAAAAAATCGGCTAATGTGAATAAATTTATGTTTCTGAGGGCAATGATAACAAATTTATAAACATCATTTGTTAAAAACAAATTTATTCTGAAAATTCGGTACTGTAGCGAATCTGGGGGTTACGCGAGAAAACCGCAGATGTTCGCTTGAAATCGATGATGAATGCGCCGCAAGTGAGGACGGCAAAAATCTAAAGGAAATTTGTTATAATAGTGAATTCCGGTATTACAGTAGCTAGCCACCACGAGGTATGCTGCCAACGAAGAGATGAGTAGAGAAGAATTACGACTTGCATGAAAGACATAAAGCCGAATGAGAGGGTATATAGAAGCTCCTGGAAATAAGAAACTAGTAAATATTGAGATGAACGTACAATTTGCCGTTAAGGCCTTTATCATCTATAATCTTTTAAGTATTTCACTTAATAGGCCTACCCAAAGAATCCAATTAACCCCGGGTGTCGTGGCCGGAAGTGAGGCCGTATGTGTGGCAATCATGCAAATCCCGGCAATTAAAGTGGCTAAATCTTTTGTAATATTGGCTTAAAAATAGTTTTTGATACCTATCGAATAAACTGAAACAGCATACGAGGCGGTGAATTGGGCGTTAACCCATCCGAGAAATATACACACCGCCGCCGAACCAAACTAGAAATTCAAAAGTTTTCCTAAGTTTCACTGCGTACCATTTGGAAAATTCTTAGGCCTGCGGTAACACTGGTGAGTTGCCAGGGGTCGCATTTTGGCCTTCTGAAAATATAAATGAGACAGAAAATGATTTGGGAATGTTTTGGGACGAGCTATTTTGTTGAGATTCGGCCAGTATAATCGGTTTCTTCCGGCTTAGTTATGACAAGAATTAAACCAAAGGTTATATATGATATACCAACCTTAGCGGCTCCCTTTGAGTATTATTCATAGTTGAGGCGCGGAAGTATTAATCGATTTCGGGTCCTCTGAGGCAGCGGCAGCCTCGGGGGGCGTCATTACAGGACAAGCAGACTTCTTATCTATCACAGCAATGGTTGCCCGGATTAGTCATGATCTTTAAAGGGATTGGGAAGGGGGTTATAGTATGCTGATTAATAGAAAATCGTCTAGGTTGAAGGAAAGGGGCCTAGTAGTCAAAAAGCCCGAGTTGGTTCGAGAATTCGGTCCGGATACAAAAAGATTATTAGAGCTGGGGTCTGATGTTATGACCTTGGATATATGGATGAGAGAGAGAGAGAGAGAGGGAGAGAAAAGGATGTGGTTGGCATTTTGAATGGAGTGCTATGGTCAGCCCCGTAATCCTATGGTACCCGTCGGGGTCACTACCAAATTAGATACCACCCACCCCACCGGGGACAGACACGTGAATCCTCCCTCGGATGCCGGTGCCCGTATTAAATATATTTATTTTTATATAAGTATCTGAATTCAAATTCTACTTTGCTTCATAATCAGCCTTTAATTTTGCAAATTTGGCATCAGTTTTTTTGTATATAACTTAATTACTCTTGGATTTCAGCATTATTTTAGATAACACATCGCACTGAAAGGTGCTGGAATAGAAGAGACCCGTGGTTGGATTGCATAGAGACCACCTCTTAAAGGATCGGGGTCAGAAGGGCGGTGTCTCTCCACAACTGGAGACGGCCATCCCAACCATTCGCCTCTTTTTACCCCCCGACCCAACATCTCGTTGCTCAGACGACGATGCTTGTCGTCAAGATACTCCTGTTCTGTATTGCTACCGTATACGCTAATCCACGTAAGTTTTTATCGTAATTTTTAACGTTGGAAGATGTGTTCAATAGAATATTTGACTAGATAATATTTAAAGGGGCTCTGACAGCAGGGCCAACTTTGGGAAAATCGTGGAAAAAATTTCAAATCTACTACCAGACATTTCTAGAGTATACATGTGCACTGCAAGCGCACACCTGCGAATTTTGCCCCTATTCTTGTAAAAAGAGAGCTCTTGAAGAGGTACTTTAAATTGTACGTCCAGGCATTACTACGTATACACCTATTTCCACAAAGCTATGCATGAAAGGCGAGGTTTTTATAGCTTTAGTGGACCAACTCCCGGGCTTAACTTAACTTTAACTTTTTGAACTTTTAAACTTTAACGAAATGGGTATGACTATCTTATTACTAGTACGTATGTATAAATAGGGCATTTAATAGGTGGCGCATACATATATTTATTAATTTATTAATTTATATCGCTGTCAGGTCTCTGTGAAGTGGATGGTAGCTGCCGAGCCTGCGGCGATGGCCGATATTCCTTCTACAGATGCCAACACCAAGGCGATTGTTTTCAGGTTTAAAATTGCAATCCCTTACTGCAACTGAATGTTTAGGGAGAAACGTGCGATGGAGAATTTTGCTGTCCGATGAATCGACAACAAATGTCTGGCGTCCAGAATGAATGTCCGTGCCTTAAAACCAACATCCCGCACAATCTAACACTTTCCTTCTTTCCACTAATCAACTGTCCAATCAGGAATATTTAGCCGATTTAAATGAACCATGCCCGGATGGGTCAACCTGGATGCGAAGGTGCAATCGCGACTCACAATGCAATGCCGAGAATGAATTGTGCGCAGAGGGGAAATGTTGTGTCGGTTGGTTTTTGGTATTGATGTGGGGGAAGGAATTTGCATTTTCTTTCATAGGCATTTCATTTGCATTTTCAAGGACATACTTTACGATATTTTTCGATTGTTTACTTGGCTACAAGGACGAGAAGAAGGTTTTACTGCCTAGAGGTACTGAGCCTTCATTCCAAGATGTTCCTAAATGATTTTGAAACCAAAAAGCGCGTCCTAACATGGTACGATTTAGTGGAAATGTCGCTGTTTAGCCAACTCGGGGAAAAGGAGGGTAGCCAGGTGTATGTCTGTGGATGGGCGGTAGTTGGAAAGTCTTTGTCAAGGGCACCTCTGCGCCCAAAAATTTGCATGACTGTGCCGATTCGGGACTGGGTCGGAGCCAGATTAGAGCCCCAAAAGTGACACGGTGCGGGGGACAAGGATGGAAAAATGAGGGATACACCGAGGATTTCAGGGTTTGGAGGATGGGATGGATTGACGGGTAGCCAGGGAAATGACTGTCAATAAGTGTATGCCTAGAAAAGCTACAGTTGGTGTGTAATATTTTAAATATTTATATATTTCCTAGTCTGCTGGGTAAGAAGACGCACCGTATTGGATGAAATGGAACCATCAACGGAACTCTTCGGCGCCCACATCCCCCAATGCGATGCGGCAGAAATAAGACTATATCGCCCCAGGCAATGCCTGGCTGGCACTGACACCTGCTGGTGCGCCAATCCCTTTGGAAGAAAGGTCGAGGTATGCTAATTATCCGCTTTGAAGAACGCCAAAACCAACAACCCCCTTTAGGGCAATAATGAATGCGAATTCTCTCGTCGCCGTCAAGATAACGCTTTCCTTCGAGCAAAGAAAATTCAAGATCTTTTCACCGATTCGAAGTCTATTCCACCACCCACAAAAACAACGAAAAAGCGTAGGAGTTGCATGCACTAAATCGAACACTTATGCACTACTATACTGTCTCTGGATTAGCACTACCTTATACAGTATCGACGCTAGATGATGGTTTTGGAGGGGGTGATTATTTTAGTCATGACTCCATTCACCTGTCCATCTCCAACCGAAACATGGGTTCCGTGTTTGACGCAATGCCAAGCTTCTTGTCAGCAGCCCAATGCTTCCCCATGTCCGGTATATGGTTGTCAGCCTGGGTGTCAATGCTTACCAGGTGCTGAATATATTAATTCAACAAATTAAAGAAATTGTCAGGTTTCGTTCGAGCCACCTCTTCTCCAATCTCACAATGTGTCCCTTATACGCTGTGTTCACCCGTTGGACTGCCAGCCCAACCACAATGCAAGGATCCTAATCGAGAGGTGAGAGTTCGAACATAACAACAAAACGTTCGAAATTTTATAAAATCCGTCCGCGCGATCGCATTACGATATGTAACCCTCGTGCGCCTAAAAAGTCAATTTTGCCACAAAAACGTTAATTTTTTCCTCAAATAGTGAGCACTTTTCGCGCTGAATCAATTTACTACTTATTCCTTTTTTTTGGCCAATAGGATTAACCTGTAACTTTGCATTTTGACCTTCTAATCCCCTTGAAATAACTCTTACTAAACCATACCTCATTTTCAGTACAACAAATGCGGATCCTCATGCCCAATTTCTTGTGAAACCCGGCTTACACCACCTTGTGGAAGGGGATGCGTAGAAGGATGTTTCTGCCGCGTTCCCTACATCCTCGAAAAGAAAGACGATCCACTGAACTCCCGATGTATTCTCCCCGCTGAATGTCCGCTCATCTCTCAACCGGTTTTCAAACATACCTCAATTAATTACACTTAAACTTTTAAGACAACAACCACGCAATTGCCCCCACTCCTAATCACACCCCCCGTACAACAACCGTTCTCCGGATTCGGCCGTACACTTCCGACAATATCTGGTGACGCTTTATAGAAAGGCTCTAATTTTTAATATTACAGTACCCCCACTGCAACAATCAACCCTGCCACCTCTGCCTCCATACCCATCAATCGGAGCTTTTCCTCCGCTTCCTAGCCCTCCCACCACTACTGCTTCACCTTTCCCATCTTTATTCCCTACAGCTCCAACAGTTCGTCAATGTGAAGATCCTCAAAAACAATGGATGACTTGTGGATCGGCTTGTCCAGGTAACGATCATGCTGATGTTAGAATTCTAAATACCTTTAGTTGGATGCGACTCTAGCCCATTTTCCGGTAACTGTGGCCAGGGGTGTGTGGCTGGTTGTTTCTGCACTCCTCCCTTCATTCTCTTATCCACTGCCAATCCGATGTCTAGCTGTGTCTTACCTCCACAATGTCCACAGGGTTCTCAGGTATCTTTTAATGGTTTTCAAATAAAGTGAGTACTCAAGGTTACTAATTAAATTGGGATGGGAAGCCAAGTGTCAAAGCGTCGTTTTCGCCCCAAAAGTCATTAGAACCTATAGCGCCACGAAACTTAATTTCAACTACCCTTTCGATTAGGATTCTGTGAATACGTCAACAGCCCAGCCGAAGCAACCGACCTGTGGAGATCCGAGAAAAGTGTATTCGGAATGTGGCGCCGAGAGGTAGACCTTAAGTCAACGGACTTAAAAAAAAATAATATATCAGGTGCGCTCGTTCTTGCTGGAACCCAAGTGGCGTATGTATGCCGGGCACCTGTTTCTCTGGTTGTATTTGCCGAGAACCGTAGGGAATCGAGACGGTTTAGTCAATAAATTCCTTAGTTATGTTTTGGCGGATCCCGGAAATACGAATAGCCGTTGTGTGTTGCCGAACGAATGTGATAGTTCGTGTCAGGACTCGCGAAAGGTAAGTTTTGAAGTTTTTTTACTATTTTGAAAATAGTAAATTCATGATTTTACTACTAATCTTTGTTTATTTAATCACAAAATAAGGATCAAAATAGTTAAATCCAGGAATTCATCAACTGCGGATCTGCTTGCCCGCTGGGCTGCGATAATCGTGATCCGCGCCATTGCACGCCCTGCGAAAAAGGATGCTACTGTAGAAACGGTATGACCGGAAAAAAGAACAAAATCGAAATCTTCTAGGATTCGTTTTCCGCAATTCTACCGATTGGCGCAACTCGGATTGCATAACCTTAGAAGAATGCCCAGTCACCCCACCAGCACGTGGAACCGCTTTTATTTCAGGTATTTTAGCTTTGAATTCATAACACTGAGGTTATATAATTTCAGAGTCTTCTACTCCTGCTTCTTCAGCGCCGATTTCTTTAGAACCCCCAAAAGCTGATTCGACAACTCCATTCCCAATCCCTAGTCGCACGTTTTTTTAATAGCGACTTGATAGTTGATACGTCGCCAAATAGTATAGAATTTACCAATAATTTTAGTGTCATCCCAGTGCCCAGCTACAACACTAGACATCGGTGGAAAGGCATGTATTCTAGATTCAGAATGCCCGAACGGACAGGTTGGTTGTAGTTTATGAATTAGAATAAAACAACGTGCGTTTAGTTCTGCTGCCGTGCGCGTATCGAGGCTCTCAATGCATCTCCACAACGTTGCACATGTGCAGACAGTAATGCCGTGTGGACAGGCTGTGGAAGCCTTTGTCCTGAATATTGTGGACAACCAAATGTAAGGAACGGCTTACACTTCCATTTCTTTTACAGAAGCCTGTTTGTTCTTCCACTTGTAATCCATCATGTCAATGCGCGCCGGGATATATTCGAATCAGGAATGAATTAAATGCAGCGTGTGTGAAACGAGAGGAATGTCCGGCTTCATGTGAGTCATACTGCTATGCAATGGATTTCACCGATTTTTCAGCACAAAATCAAGATGGGGACCTTGGGCCGATGGCCACATTGCGTGATATTACGCCCGATACAACGGAGAAGGGATTTACCACATTCTTTGTAAGTGTTTGAGCGTTTTTAGTTGATTGGAAATACCGTACGAAGCGAAGAATTCAGAGAGACGTCGCAACGGCTCATCTCGTCAGTCCACACTCGTTCGTGTCGGGCAAATTCACCTTTGAGCGAATTGCCGATTCGGTGACCAGGATTCGAGGTTAGACAACGGAATCGGAATTGTAAATATGAATTCAGGTTCGATGGATCAATTACCAGCTGGTAGTCATGCGGTGGTTATGCATCAGTTTGGTGATGTCACTGATAGGTTAGTGTTGGCTATATTAAACTAATAAACTTATCGAAGTTATCATATTTGCCTTAAAACTTGTCACCAGAAATAATAGCTTTTTTAATAGATGCAGAATGACAAAATCAATTTCCACGCTTTAGTTGTGCAAGGCTGGGCCCAGTATTCCTCGGATCAAGACCACAAGTTTCCGGTATACTAGGTGATGTTGTTGGAGGTATAGTAAACTGTATACCTTAGTGTAAAAAGTTATTTAGGTCAAGGCAATACAGCCGAATTTGTACGTCTCGTCGACTGGCCTGTGCAAGAAGTAGTCGGCCGAGGGATCGCTGTGTACCTACCAGTAATAAAAACTGTTAAAAAAATAATTTTATTAAGGGAACGAAAGAGTGGACGATGAGGAGTGGGGACATCCGACCTCTGGCTTGTGCGACGATAGGAGTGACACGGAGATGAGCATCATTTTCTCCATTGTTTCCTGCGAATAAATGATCAATTTTTGGCGTGTTCTCTCTCACATTGACAATGGAAAAAGTTTTCAGGGGGTATAGTTCACTCATAATTTCCTATTTCGACTTGTTATCTGAGGTTGCATTTGTACATACATACGCATCTTGTACCTCCAGAATCCAGCAAGCTATTTTTAGAAAAATTCCTTGTCCGACTCACAAGCATTTCTGTTGCCTTTCGCAAAATTTGCGGCCGAAACTCGGAGGGCGACTCGTTTATTGGCTCTTTTCTATTTGTCGACCCGATGGCCCATACACAAACTGTGAATTGTTGTAGAAAGGGTTTGCCAGAACAGCTGGGAAAATGGTTCATTCCCACGTTATGGCCAGGCTGGTGCTGTTGCTTTCTATCTTTCTGCTATCAGGTTAGCTTAAATGGTTTTCGAAGGCATAATGGAATTTTTATTAAAGGAATTTAACCTTAAGCGTCGAATTACTAATTAAAATAATGAAATAATTTTTTGCAGCACTCGCACAAGACTGTAGCCAACCGCCAGACCGAGGCCAAAGATGCCCCGAAAATCAGCCTAAACAAAAGTTTGCTTATGATACCGCGAAAGGTATGGATTTTCGGCGTTTATTTTCCTATTTTTTACAGGAAAGTGCGTACCTCTATATTACCTGGGATGCCAAGGAAATGATAACCAATTTTTAACGTTTGCCGAATGCCAAAAGGCATGTCAAAATTCGGATATGACCACGGCACCTAACACAAATTCAACCGACAATATTGGTGGGTTTCTTACTTAAACTAAATTATTTAAACTTTAGCAATGACATGTGGGCTTGCAACTGGTGCAAAACTGTTGTATAATGCTGATAAATGTGAGTCATCAAAATGTGCAACCGGTTATGAGTGTAAAAATGAGTATTGTTGTCCGACAAAAGGTACGGTGTTAGGGCTGGAAAAAAATTTTTGAGTATTTTTAGAGACGATTTGTAGTTTTGACCCGGAATCGGGACGCGAGGAGGTGAGCGGCAAGCATTTTGGGCGCTACGCTTACATGCCTGGGCTGAAGAACTGCATCCGGTTCAGCTATTTTGGAGTCGGTGGGGTTACTGTTGGCTTCAAAAGAAAGAAAATGCATTTTAGGAGGGAACTTGAACAATTTTCTGAGCTACAAGGGATGTGTCGATTTTTGTAAATAAATGTTTTTGAGTTGGCTTTGATAGTGTATGTGCATAAATTATATTGTTTTTGGATTTTAGATTGTAAATGCACAGTAAAATGGAGTTTTGGTACTGGACTGTTAGCGGGGGGGGTGGCTAGGGGAAAACTAATTTTTCCCGGTATAAACCCATATAAACTATTTTAGAGGATTTTGCACAGTTTTTAGATCTAAAAAACAGATAGAAACTTATAAAAGTTTTGAAAAAATTGTCTTTTTGGGTTAAAAATGTAAAAAAAACCGAAATTTTCAAAATTTTCGAATTTCGAAAAAGCTCCAAAATATTTTTGCCAATTTTTTAGCAAACGGAAACTACGGAAAACATAAATATACAGTATTTATTAGTAACAAGCACAGGTATTTACGGAAAACAAAACTTACTCCCCCTGCAAACAGTCCAGTACCACAATTTAGCGCAGACATGCTTTTCATGTCACTACTCAAGGATACCAGGTCAAAATTCATGGCAGGGTTACACCGGGGTTACTCAATTCCGAGGGGCACACGGAACGCCATGAGTCTCCCCCTGCTCCCAGTAACCATTAGGGCCTCCCCTAGCAACCGGATCAACCAAGGGCCCACCAAAGGAAAGAGCGTCGTTTAGCAACAGACTACGCGCCCACACTATTAACCCCCCGCATCGTACGGCTCCTGTCTGGAGCCACCTACTTCTCGGCTTCTTGACCGGCTTCTTGGAAAGGAGGCCCGCCCCACATTTCCTCCTGCAATTATTCGATGCAATTCGTATAGCCGGCTAAATCCTATTTTAAGATGTTATTGTAATGGTTCTCACCCGTTCCTATTCGTCGGAATGGCGAAAGTCACCCGAAGAAATCATTTCTCATCACTATCGGCTATTGACAAATATACGGTATTTGCAACGTATTAAATAAAAGTAATTCCATCTTAGGCCTGTCGTCGATACATCAGCGCCGGTCTCTATGTACAATAGCCCAAAAAGTAAGGGTTTATGTTTGCGGCTTATGATCATTTAGGTGTTCATTATATTCCAAAGCGAGCTTCATCTGCTGATGCATATGCTAGAGGACGTGTTTTACCACCGGTATGTATGCAAATTACCCGTTGTAGATAGAGCTTGATCGTGGATCCCAGTAAAATTAATACGGCTTCACACATGTATTTTAATTTATTTACCCTGATTTATTAATATTCAGATTATTCTTCATAATATTACCGTAATAACGTGCCGTAAATAATTTGATTTTTTTGTAATAATTGGTTCCGGCATTTAGTAATTTATTATAGAAAAGCACTCGCCGAGAACTGGTCTCATTTCTCGAAGGTGATGGCCGCCTCCCAAAATCGCTAAAACTCGACCTCCCCGCCGTTCGGAATATCTATGCAGATCGAGTGAAATCGAAACTTCTGCAAACTACTGTATACCAACCGCCATTACGACATGAACGGAAAAATCGAGATTCAGCAGAAGTGGAATTTAGCAAACGAAAAATATCATATTTTTTCCAGGGTTATGGAAGGAGCCCTGAAGAAATGTTGACCAAAAAGCCACCGAAGCCCCCTAGGAGGAGATCTTCAATTTTCCATGAACAGGTCGCTAATATCGGTTGGCTTATATGATTTATCTTTCAATTTTAGATGGCAGAAAAAGAGTTGCTTTTTAAAGACCTCGTCTACAATGATATTATCACTCGTGGTGTCTACACTGATAGGTATCATGATTCATTTACCGGAAAGCTAAAACAAATATTATTCAAGGATTATTGAAGATGCCGTTGATGGGGTATCGGCACAATTTGCCGATGAAATGGATATGGTAAACATAAAAAGGTTTGAGAGGCATTTTTAGGCCGAAATTCGACAATTACGTGAGAATATATTCCATGAGTTTGGAGTTAAGTTGTCCATCGGAAAGGTGAGATTAAAGATTGTATTTAAAACATTTTTAGCATTCAAATGAGAGGGCGTCTGCTACAAAAACTGGGGTAGCATTTACAGGGTAGGTCCTTTAAGAAATTCATAAACGCAGATCTAGACTGGATACGGAAGGAATAGAGGCTTCAAGTGCTCGAAGCTTGGCATCAAGGTGAGTGGAGACCATCGCATTGTTTACCCTAGTGTCATTAATGCATGGACTCTATTCAAGGCTCGATAAGGAGAAACTGGGAAGCGATGGGGATAGTCTACCATCATTACATTCCGATACAACATATTCTTCTGAAGAACGGTCGGAAAATAAGAGCTCCAGTTCCAAGTAAGCGTTCATAAAATCCGCATTAAATCCTTGGTTTTTTTAAAGGTCTTCAGCCTCTTCTGCGGCATCGTCAAGCAATTCTAGTAGCAAATCATCAACCAGTGCTGCAAGCTATGTCTCATCCGCTTCATCGTCCTCGAGCTTTTTTGACGATGAATAGCTCACTGTTTAAAAAAGTCATCTGCAAGGATTTTTATTTCCATTCGTTCGTTTACCACTGTCTTTCAATATAGGTTTTATTAAAGCCAATTCGGTCCTTTACTTCGAACAAATTCCATTCATTCTGTGATTTATAGGTACTTTATCCTCATATCAACCCACAATTGCTCTGTCAAAACTTTCCAAATAATTTTGTGATAAATTTTTAATTTTAAGGCTTATGTAGGATGGTCGGATTGGGAGCTAGGGACTGACAGAGAACATTTGCATTCTGGACTTTGGCCCCGGGAATTGGTGGATAAATGGTCGCCTGACGTCACACACCAAAGGTGAGACCGCCTTGGGGCAGACGAGAGAGAAAGTGAGAGAGAGAGAGAGAGAGAGAGAGAGAGAGAGAGAGCGAGAGAGAGGGGAGAGGGAGGGATGCTAGATAGGCAGACTGAGCGTATTTGTTGTTTACGCGAGGCCGATCACCCCCAAAATGATGTGTCCGGGGCGGCGGGGAGACTGAGACTAGATAGATCGAACAACGGAAAAAGCGGAAATAAGAGGGAAAGAGAGAGAGAGAGAGAGAGTGAGAGCGTGAGAGAGACAGAGAGATCTGCGGAACTCCTACAGTGCAAAGTACAATTGTAGACTGGGATCCCCACGTGGGTGGCCAATCAAGATAAACAATTACTCGAGGTATTCCCCACCTATCGCACTCTTTTTGGGTAGGGGAGCGGGGAGGTTGGGCTCTTTTGGGATTACAGTAAACAAGCGATAAACAATGAGACAACGAAGCGACCTTTGTGCCGCAGGTTGGACAACAACAATATGTCTGGCCCGCTTGTAGCCTGGAAACCGCTCAGAAAAAATCGGCTGCGTAGTTTGGGCTATTGGAGTAAAAAGCGAAAAAGAATCTCTGTAAAGGACCTCCCCCGTTGTGTATTTTAGGTAGATAAGCAGCAGAAATTCCATGCGTGCGTAGTTGACCTATTAAATCTGGTGGACTTGAAGTCGTGGCTATCCGTACTGAATAAGCCGCTACCGCGACACGCTACGCGCATATCACTTGGTCGGGTGATTTCCTCATAAACGCGTTGCCTGCAAAAAACCAAGAAACTCGAAAGTCAATCAGACCGCCTTGCCTGTCCCTTTAGCCCGGGCAAAATGATTAAATCGTTTCGGTCGAAAACAGAAATTATTAAGCTACAATGATATTTACAATTGGCAGGGACAGGCTGTTGCGATAACTTAAAGGGATAAGGACGGCATAGAGAGGGCGTTCAGGAGATAGGCGCAGAGACAGCCCCTTTCCCCCGCGTAACCGATTGACTTACGCCGTCCTAATACTTTTAAAGGGGCTCAGCCACACCGAAATTTTCCAAGCTTACTGGAAAAATGTGCATGCGTGTACGGGAAGTAAACTCTCCCTGGGGCCAGCGGCTATCTGGAATCAACACTATCTTATGAATTTAAGCTTAAAAATTTCGAAAATAAATAGCTAGACTTCTAAAAATATGACCATAACAAAACCGGGAGCAGCCCACCCCTATATAGCTACGTTCTAATAAATTGGTGTATGTGTAGGGGGAGATGCGGATGCGGCAGGGCGGGTGGCGGCGTTTGTTGTTTTGGTTGTTGTCACTGGCAGTTGGGGGCTGTTGTTTTCTTCGCCCCAAAAGCCCGTCTTGCCTCGGCTAGCCCATTTGATGTCTGCTCATTATCGAACCGTATATAAGGCTGTCCGATCGGAGCTGATCGGATTGTTGGGCTGGCTGGCCGGTTGTTTGTTACGATTTTTGTGCAAAAGTTTGGAATTTTCCGATTCAGATGAGCTTCCATTATTATGAAGGGGCTTAGACATGTCAATTCAAATAAATAAATTTCCAGTGTAAAAGTTAACATTAAATCGGTTCTGCCGGCCCTTGTCTAGGCCTTCAGTAACTGGCGTTATATAGCGTTTCCGGTTGGTGCATCGAACTTTTTAAGCCCATCCATAAACTCAAAAATTTTGACACCAAAATCAAATTACCCTCCCGTTTTTGCACTCCTTACTTTGCACCTTGCCCTCAGATCACACTCCAAGGATATACAACCCCTTCCCCCTATCCATTTTTTGATTGTTCCAAGTCTCCAGATGTACTTTGCCCCCCAACACAGCTCCTTCCCCCTTCCTTCTCGTTTTTCAACGTCTTAGACACGGCCCGGGGTGTTCGCCCGAGCCGATGGGCGGAGTCACAGGGTGTAGTCGCGTATAAAAGTGTACCCATCTCCAGGAGGGCCGCTTATCTCATTGAGCTGTAGCAAAACAAGTAGCTTCCCTTTTTTTGGGGTCTTATGCTTTTATAGCTTTAAAATGATACTTTATTTTTAGCAATTCGATTTCTCACTTGTAAATTCCAGCTTCATGGAGTACTGTATTTTTCAGAGTCAAGGCCCGATTTTGAAGGGGGTTGAACCCAAGAACACCCCCCAACAATTACAATGCCTTCCCAAACAGCAGCCAAGAATTTCTATCAGGTTTGTTCTGGTCAGCTACGGAAAGAATGTCAAATTTGAGGTGGTCAAACAGGCGCCGAAGGGCCGTTTCCATGGAATCAAGCGGTCGTACGAGGTGGAAGATGTATTGAAACTACGGTATGTTCGTTGAAAGAGTTCTATTTCGTGTTTTAGCGGATCTGTCGAGATTGAGCACACGCTGGCGGCTCGAGGTGCTAACAAACTGTGGCAATTGTTGCATACGGAGCCTTACGTGGCAGCCCTTGGAGCTCAGACCGGAAACCAGGCAACACAGATGGTTCGTGCTGGATTAAAGGCGATTTATCTATCAGGTTAGTTTTTGTTTATTTCTCTCTGACTCTACCTCGCTCTCTCGCTCGAAATTCGATGAACTCTCTTTCAGGATGGCAAGTGGCTGCCGATGCGAATTCTGCCGGCGACATGTACCCTGACCAATCCCTCTACCCAGCGAATTCTGGCCCAGATCTAGCCCGTCGCATCAACCGATCCCTCCGTAGAGCCGATCAGGTGAGTAGATCCCCTCTTCAAAAAGCTTATCAACCCACCCCCCCCCCCCCCAAACAACAACAACAAAAAAATTGCTCCAGTTTTCCCCGCTTCTCTCGCAATCCAAGGCCAACAAAGCCCAAAAAAACATCTGGGGTATTGCCACGGAGTGTCCTTGATCAGAGCTCGATTTTGCGGGGGCAGATTGGAGGCCTGATGATGTGAGTGATTTTTTTCAGATCGAAGCCGTTGAAGCCGATGACTATCAGGCAAAGCGTGATTGGTATGCGCCGATTGTGGCTGATGCTGAAGCTGGCTTTGGAGGAGCTTTGAACTGCTTTGAATTGATGAAGGTAAAAGAAGGGTTATTGAAATTTTTTAGAGAGCATGAAAAGCTAGGAGGAAGACTTTTGACTTTCTGATCAGTTGGGCTTTAATCACGTCACCCTAAATTGTACCCGGCTGTCTGCTAAATGGCGCCCTCCTTGTCAAACCGTAGTCATGCCCCCCTCTGGGGGTTATACCAGCTTCCATACGCGCCTCTGTTTGTGCCCCTAGGCACTGGTCATCCCTGATAACGGATGTATTCAATTCAAAATAGAGTGGAAGGCCTTGGGGGCAGCCTGATAGGCTAGATAGCTGAAGCCGGGCACCGACTTCCCGGTTCCGGCGGGTCGGTTTGGAGGTGTAATAATAGAGGGATGAAGAAATATTGTTAAAATTGTAGATTTGAATTTACCTTAAATTTTAGTCCTACATTGAAGCCGGAGCCGCTGGTGTGCACTACGAAGATCAGTTGGGCTCTGAGAAGAAATGTGGACATATGGGTGGAAAGGTAACATTTACAAAAAGATATAAACTTTTCCCTTGTTAGGTCCTCATTCCGACTGCGCAGCATATCCGACATTTGAATGCGGCACGTCTTGCTGCTGACGTGTGCGGGGTTCCGACGATTATTGTGGCTAGGACTGACGCGGAAAGCTCTAGGCTTCTGACCAGGTATCTTTGAAAGCGCTGACTTCGAAGGCCCTTTAGTGATGTTGATGAGCGTGACCATCCATTCATCGATCGGGCGGCTGGAAGAACGGTTGAAGGATTCCATAGGTAAGTAATAATAACTTTAGCTTTCGCATAAAACATACCTCCGATTTCATACTTACCTTACACCGTTGTTATAGACTACGTGAAGATACGGCCCTCCAATACTGCATCAAGCGTGGTATCGAATACGCTCCCTACTGTGACCTGATCTGGATGGAGACCAGCCACCCAACAATCGCTGATGCCAAGGAATTTGCTGAGGGTGTCCGCAGGGTACGATATTTATTATTGTAATTCTTACTTTTTTTCAGGTGTACCCCGACAAAATGTTCGCCTACAATTGTTCGCCATCGTTCAACTGGAAACAGCACTTGTCACCGACGCAAATGGAGAAATTCCAAAAGGTACGGTTAAATGTGTTACAATCAATTGATTTTTTAGGAACTGGGCGCGATGGGTTTCAAATACCAATTCATCACACTCGCCGGCTTCCATGCAAACTCGTTCAGCATGTTCGATCTGGCCAAGGGATATAAGGAACGTGGTATGGCCGCGTATTCTGAGCTGCAACAGAAGGAGTTTGATGCTGAAAGGTACCGAATTTCAACGTAGCCTAAATCTAGTTGATTTAGACATGGCTACACTGCTGTCAAACATCAACGTGAGGTCGGTACGGGATATTTCGATCATGTTGGAAACGCCATTTCTGGAGGTAATTTCTAAACCTAGCTCTCTCTCTCATCACTTTAAAACATGCAGCTTTTCTAACTTGCCCTATTTCAGGAACCTCATCCACTGCTGCTCTCAAGGGATCAACAGAAGAAGCTCAATTCCATGGCACAGCCACTGCCTCCGCTGACGATGAGGAGATCGTTACCGTAAGACGGGCGGCTGGGGGCAAATTATAAAATTCAACCCAACCCCCCTAAACCCCCGGACCTTTTGCCGCCCCGGTCTTTACATGCAAAACAACCACCCAAATACCCCCAAATACGCTTCTTAGGCTGAATATTGATGCTTTACCTAGCGCGCTCAAGCGAGATCGCGATCCATAGTTCTCAGCTATTGAAATGGGTCAATATACCTTACCACCTCCACTTTACTCGAAATCCCTTTCCAACCCCTCTACCGTCTTTCATCTGCCTTCCCTCAGCAAATTCTTTTTGAAGCAAATGTGATATTTTTTTCGAATTTTCGACAGCTAAATCTCACCCTATTTTGCGTACCTTCTGGGCACTGAGCAAATTGTGTTGTAGATGATGATTTTACCCCCTTTTTCTGTGACGAATAAAGAATTTTTGTATAAGAAAGTATTTGTAATGTATGGCAGATGAAAGCGGGATGGGGGCTCGAATCTCAAATAACGACATTTTTGCTTTTGAGAATTCGCGAAACAAGCCGCTTTTTCAGCTGACCGCACCGCCAAGCCCCGGTGACGAGAAGATACTGGCACCAGATGCTCTTCGGTTCATCCGAGATCTACACAAAAAGTATAGAAAACATGGGAGATGTTTATGGTATTCTCTCAGATTCAACAAACGGCGCCAGGCATTGCTGGAGAAGCGGAAAACAGTTCAAACAAGCTTGGATTCTGGGGAATGGTTCCCGGATTTCGACCCTAAGACCAAGGATATTCGTGAATCGACGGATTGGCGCGGATCAGACATCCCTCATGATTTGATGGTGACTAAAAAGTCGTTAAATATATATAATAATAATTTTAGGACCGCCGTATTGAGATTACCGGCCCGACTGATCGGAAAATGGTCATTAATGCATTGAATTCAGGAGCTAACGTTCGTTGACGGTAATTGGCTTTTAACGATGTTTTAGGTATTTATGGCCGATTTTGAAGACTCAAACTCGCCGACGTGGAGGAATCAATTGGATGGACAGGTTCGTGACAAAAAAGAACTTAAAAGCCCAGAAACATAAACAAAAATAAAAATGTTTGTAGTTAAGTTTTTTGTTGTGTTTTTTTTGTTGTTTTTTTGTTTTTTTTGTTTGTTTTTTTGGGTGTGTTTGTTTTTTGGTGGGTTTTGTGTGGTTTTGGGTTGATTAATCTGTACGATGCCATCCGCGGTAACATTTCCTATACCCATCCGGCAACGAAGAAGGAATATTCATTGAGGAAAGATCCGGCTGGTAAGTGATAGAAATTAGGTAGCGTATTTTAAGTAATTCACTATAATAAAGACAACCTATATTTTTTTAGTGCTAAAAGTGCGCCCACGTGGCTGGCATTTGCCTGAGAAGCACGTCCTCGTTGACGGCCAAGCCACTTCCGGCTCTTTGGTCGATTTTGGCCTGTTCTTCTTCCATAATGCGAGAGTAAGTATATTAATCCATAGCAGAAACCCGATATTCTAGGCTCAAATTGACCGCGGTACCGGACCCTATTTCTACCTTCCCAAGCTGCAATCCGCCGAAGAAGCTCAACTCTGGGCTGACGTCTTTGCATATGCCGGTAAAAACAGCGCAATAAAATTCAAAAACATATCTTGTTAAGAGGAAGCTATGGGAGTCCCACACGGAACTACAAAGTGCACGGTGTTGATTGAGCACCTGTTGGCCAGCTTCCAGGTATTGTTAGTTTTGGTAATTCTAGGGTGTTGTTTAGATGAATGAGATTATCTACGCATTGAGAGACAATATTGTTGGGTTGAACTGTGGACGCTGGGATTATATCTTCTCTTATGTAAAGGTCTTCCAAAATCATCGGAAATTTATGTTGCCGGATCGGTTCCAAATTTGTGAGTTTAAGAAATAAAGTGTAACTAGGGGAATGGCCAAGCCAGTTATCGTCAAACTGGCGTCATTTTTAAAATAAGTCTAAATCAGTCTTTTACCTTAATTCCGGCCGGTCTAGTCCCTTTAAAGCTCATATTCCAGCAATGACTTCGCCGTTCCTCCGTGCGTACAGCCTGGAAGTTATCAAGACCTGCCACCAGCGTGGTATCCATGCCATGGGCGGAATGGCAGCCCAGATCCCGATTCGAGGAGATGCGGTAAGGACTACCAACCAACTACTCAACTAGCAAATTTTAGGCAGCAAATCAGAAGGCGCTGGCGATGGTGAGGGCCGATAAGGAGCGTGAGGCAACGGATGGACATGATGGAACATGGGTTGCGCACCCTGGACTTGTCCCATTGGCTAAAGAAGTGAGGGTTTGATATCATAAACCGAAAAGGGCTAGGAAGCTTTGACCTCAATTCATTGAATTGATATCAGAATATGCAGACCTTTAGCGTTAGATAACCAAAATATTGCAGGTATTTGACGGTGTCATGCAAAGCCCCAATCAAATCGAGAAAACGTTGAACTGGGCGGCGACGAAAGAAGATCTGACGGCAGTCCCGAAAGGCGCAAGGAGTGAAGCTGGTTTCCGCCGGAATGTCGCTGTCAACCTTGGATACATGGATTCATGGCTACGTGGTGTCGGATGTGTGCCCTTGTATAATTTGATGGAAGATGCGGCGACAGCTGAGATTTCTCGTGCTCAACTTTGGCAATGGGTTCGACACGATGCGAAGCTTGATGGTAAATTCGAGCTATCACAAGCCCTTAAACTTGGCTTTCAGATGGCCGTGCTATCGATTCAAAGCTGGTAAAAGACACGATCAATGCCGAGCTTGAGAAACGACTGATCCGGGCCGGATCTGTCGTCAATCGACTGCCAGAGGTAGGAAACTACACACAAAAACTGATTCCAATTGCAATTTAGGCCGCCGAACTGCTCGAACAATTTGTTTGTGAGGATAAATTGAGCGACTTCCTGACGTTGGCTGCCTACGACAAACTTGTCTCTGAGGGCCATTAAATAATAATAATACTTAAGTTATATTCGCAAGTCCTAATAATAATCATTGCTCCCTCGCTTCCCCATTGCTATGTACCTAGTGTGTATCTCTTGTAAATAATCTTGCGTGCCACGTGCTATAATAATATTCCTGTTAATTAAATACATAATAAATCTGGTTTCTGATAAGTCCAATTGAGGCGTTGTACGGGGAATGGTTCTAAAAACAATTTATTAATACTGGCCACAGATCTAATGACGATTTGCGTCGCGAGGACTATAAATTTTATTGTGACTTGATGCCCCTTGGAAATGTCAAATATTAGGGGTCTGTTGGATGGGGTGGGTTTTGATCAAGAATATTTGAAGCCGGGGCCGGCTATATTGGAATCGTGGCTGAATGGGGTGGTTTGGGTTCAACTAGACGATATTGCGTGCCCTGTCACGGCGACTTTTTAGCCGGTCAAACAACCATATCCTCAACCGCATCCGTTTGTTGCCTGATTTATGGTTATTTGAAGGGATACTATTATACGATAACTACATTAAAAAAATGCCGAACTTCAAAATAGTTTTTTAAGGGGTTTATAATTAAGTAAATAAGTTCTTTGTTTTTGTTGAACCTCGCTTACCTCATATATACCGCTTTTAATGTCTACGATCCCCCAGGTAAGCTTTTCGTGTTGTCTCGTCATTGTGAACCATGAAGCTTTGTTGTCGACTCGTTGCTTCCCAGGAGGGTCCCATAAACCTGGGCCCTAAAGCTGGGCCCTTAGCTGGCAGGGGGCAGTTAGGGGGCGGCCCCATCGTGGCGGCTTTCCGATTCTCAGCACCATATGATCAGTTTCCGCGCTTATGCTTCGTAGATAAATCACATATTTTGCTTTTTTTTGCTTCACATCACAATTCTTTTTCACAACTTACAGTTTCTCTGCGCATTTAAAACAAGGTCTAGTGCTATTTTGCCTGTCAAATCCCCTCGTCCCCATTCAACCCAGATCTTTTTTATGGCAGAGAATGGAATTCGGTGGACGAACTTTTTAACCTCGCACAAATTCCACTGAACAAATAATAGCCATGTGGCACGCGAAAGACCCGGCCCCTTCCCTCCCTTACTTGTCTATCAAGATCCCTCCGCCCAGACTGCTGTTCATTATTCCCAGTCGGTTTTTGAAATTTGATAAAGTCTGCCTCTAAGCGTTCCGCGCGAGATTTGAATAGCCTTGCGATCCCTTTTCAAAGATCCGGGACCTCGGGGTTTTTCCTTTTCTGTTGGCGCGGGCGGTCAGGTTCAAAATATCGCAATTTGAGGAGGGCGTCTGTGTCTACTTCCGGAGTTCAGAAGGTAAAAGCGAAGTAGCCGAGGTTGAGTGAGAGAGGGAGTGAGTGAGGTAGAGAGGGTGAAGTGCTTCACACACCAACACATTTACTGCATGAACAGCCATCTAGGGAGGCTTTGAGGTGGGTGACACGTCGGTGGTCTCCGATCGTCGTTCCCCAGATTTTGCTTTGTTTCAGTTGAGGCTTGACATTCAGTCGGGCTGTTTTACTTTGCAAAAAATATGTTTAACCAAGCGGGTTATACTTCAAACTATCTTATAGTCGTCATAGTGTCCATATTTTCACGTTTATCTTCTGCCATTTTGTGCTGCTACGAATCACAATCGGAACCTCTGTCTAGCCCTCCCAGCCACTCGATTCCAAAATGGTTGGACGCCGAAAATTCCTAATTTCATTTACCACGACTCTCCTTCCCCCCAATCCGTGACTCCCACTTACGCCCGTTTTTGGCCTTTCGACCTCTACAACGAAATCCGCTAAAAGTTGATTTATATTGCGAAAATTTGAGCACTGATTTGCACACACGCAATCCTTTGATAAACGTCCGAACCCCCAGCTATCCCATAAATTGTTGGCGTCACGAAAATTCGTGCAGGTGTTTTGATATATTAGTCCCTTCCAGACATGTACTTACCAAGTGTCAAATAAATGTCCGTCATTTCTGAATTTTTGGGTGTGGTGATCTTGTGTATTTTCCTGGAATCTACGCTTTCCACGTTATTTGATTTTGGCCCCCTTCCCTTGAGCCTAATGAAGAGTCCCATTAACTTTTTGCTTGTATCCCACCTCCTCACCCTTCAGCAGAAACCTTTCCCGGTATGCCAGCTGCAGAACAACAATTTCCGGCCGGGCCATCCGCGTGCCGTCAATAGTATCTTCTGGGGGTTAATGAAATTCCGCGTGGGCTGTGTGTCCGCAAAAAGGCAATCTCGGCCATGCTGACCTCCGTCTCCAAACATCCCCTTTTCTCACTTAACTTTCGGTTTGATGGTCGGGGATCGTCAATTTTCGGGTTACTTCCGGTTTTTAAACTTTTTTTGGGCGCCTTGGTTAGGGTCCTGGCTGCTGGGGTTAACGAAGTTAAAAGCTATGGTTATTTCAAAACACGTGAGTACAACTTACCCCCCGTGGGCACTACTGGCTGGGAAACAAGTCAGGCGTGGTTCCATCATCAAAAATTACCGCAATTACGCCTGAAACCACAGATATGGTCAGTTTTTAAGTTCAGGCTCCCACCGTCATAATGGTTTTTCGCGTGAAATTTTCTCGGAGGTGTCTCAGTGGGCATTTCAGATTCAAAGAGAGAAGTCACGGGCAAAAGGGCCTTATCTCCCTAGAGATGCTGTGTCTGCGAGGGGTTCTAAAAGGTGGGAAAGATGGGGGAAGGGGGCCAAAAGGCCAAAGGGACACCTCAGAACGGAGCTTTTGGGCTCCTTGTTTTTTTTGGGGGACTGGGGGTTGGTTAGATGGTTGGTAGATTTTGAAGACGAGGGGTAGGACTTTTATTTCGAAGTTTAACTACGTGACTTGCCGGGCTTTTTATTTTAAGGATGATTTTCTTTACCATCCCGTTTCATTTAAGTTTTAACCTGTAAACTGCATATCTATTTTCCGATACATAACAAAATATCCATTTTTAGCGGCCAGACACTGCACACGTAGTTGTTTATCTTCCTTGACGCTATCCTCCATATATCCCTCCTGCCAACAAGCGATCTCATTCTGAAATCATTGCCTTTTAGGGGCTCCCCCTCCAAATCAGCCAGACTCCACCCAAAAAACCCCCTAAAAAGAAGACGTGGTGATGGATAAAGGCTGTCTCGGACACGAGTACCCTACCCCCAATAACAAACAATTCAGAATTCTTTTGCGAGCCCTAAAATAAGTGTATGGCCCAAGGGGAAGGGGGTATGCAGTGGCTTTTGAAGAAAACAGCGGGTGTTAGCTGCGGCATTTCCGGGTCTTTCAATACTTATCCCAGACCAGAGAGCATTTATTTTGCAGCCGGCTTGCTGCCGCTGTTTTTGTGGGGATGGCTTACATTAATGAGTTCCCGGGAAGATGTGGGCGAAGTTGGATTTTGGCAATTTAGGCTGGGTGTTAGGGTGTGTGCACTTTTCTGCTTGGCAGCTTGAGCACAAGGGACGCGCGAAGCTTGGACTGCATCGTTCATTAATGTGTGGTGCTTATCTCCCGGATACAGTAGTCCGATCCCCGTCAACTTCCAGGCAATGCCGTCCATATACAATTACGACTCATTTGTCAGCAACTAAGCCAGGTTCTTATTCCACGGGTACCCCTGGGTTACGGTAATCAAGTTTGGTGGGGGGGCGCGGGGCGGGGGACTAATGGTTGGGATCATTTTGTGACGCGGGTATAAAGGGTACTTTATTTTTGTCCTGTTTACGAATACAACCTGACTCGTGGCCGGGTTCGGAGGTTAATTTTGGCATTCGGAGGGTGGTTTCGCCCTTTTCTTACGTAAAGTAAATAGGGGCCGGAAGTGGATTAAACGGATTTTTCTAAAGGTAAAGTTAATTTATGCTAGCAAATTTCGTGGTTGTAATTTATGTAATAGGGAGTGATTTTTCGTAACTGTAATAGGGGTAATACGCAACTAATTCGATCGGAATTTTGCACAATGCGCTATTCTGAATTTTTTTGCAAAAGGGTTTCTCCTCGATTTCATAAATTTATGGCCGTAAAGCCAAAACTCGGTCGCCTCAAGCAAGGCTCCGAAAGCTGTGTTTTTGTTTTTTTAAATTTAGCCCAAGCATCCCGCAGGCATCGGACTCCCGGAAAATACAAAGAAAACAATCCCCATACGCTCAGTATTTTCCCAAGTTCAGCGCAATTTTGCACTAACCGTCCGTAAAAACCTTCTAAAAGAACGATGAGATAAGGGCCTTTTGAAGGAGGTCGTGTTTTCCGGAAGGACGGAAAATAGGGGCGGAGCGTCTTTGCTGAAGAATAACCGGGAGCGGGCATGTTAGCTATTAGGGCCCTTACTCCCCCTCCAAAACGGGCGGCGGGAGGCCTAGCTTGCGCGCTAAAGGCTCGGCAAAATATGGCTTCCCCGTTTGAATGAAAAAACATGTAGGGGCTGTCCCGTTGGAGGGGGGAAGGTCCTCTATAGACGTGCCACTCCAACTTTATAGGCCACCGGTCAGAAGGGGGCGATTTTTTTGCGAAATTTACGTTGGTTGGGGCGATTCGAAGTTAGAGCTACTTTTACTGCTTTATTTAAATTCCCGGTTTGCAACCAGTTACCGTAAACTGACACTACACTCTCGAAGACCATTTTCAAACTATTTGGGGAAGGAAAGCAAGCCTTCCCCCCATCTGATGTACCCGCAGGCTACTTCCCGAGCCGTTTGGCCCCGGAAATGGGCCAGTGGGGCCATGGCCCTACCGACTGACCTTCGCTATTTGGGCCGCCTTTGGCTTCCTCGCTACATGGCCAATCAACCCGCACCACCACCTCTTCACCCTTTGTCGTTTTTATGCTGTCGTTCCTTTTCTCGGCTTAGAAACTGCTTTTTTTTGGGGTTTTTTGTAGGGCGTTTTTAGAAATTATACTTTTATATTCATGATCTTTATACCCCTTACACACCCATGTAGCGCCAGGTTCTAAAAATATCTACTTACACCCCGCCACCATCGAATTTCGCTGAATGATCTGTTAATATGATCTACTGAACTGAATCTCATATCTTCCCGTGTTCGTATGCTTCTATGTTGGGCTAGACAAACTTGGGGCTCATCTTGGCTCAAATATTGGCCCTTACCCTCCTTCCGAAACCAATTCCCCCTCTCGGATTCCCCCGTCTAGGCCTTCAGACACTACCGTGGTTTTTGGTCCGAATTTTTGAGCTTTGGGACCTGTCATCACCAGGCCCTAGTCGTCACGCTTTTCTTGCATTTTGTGACACTTCTTTCTTCACTTATTAATGCAACAATATAAGCAAAATTTCAGGCCAAACCACCCGTAATCATGGCCGTCAACTTTTCCCATATTTGCCTAACCGAGAAGCAGCAGATGGTCCACGGTACCGAGCTCGAATACAATCTTCAACGGTTTGTTTTTAACGCCAGCTTCTAAGTGACGTCCGGCTTTGAACTCGCAAAGTGCAGATTGACTCTTTTTCCGGTTAATGGGCCCCGATCGGGGGGTAGAAGCCTTCAAGCTAGCGTCCACAACGGCTGGGCCTTCAAGGGCCATTGGGTTCGAAGCGGGACCCAGGCGGCGAAAAACACCCAATCCCAAACCCCAGTGGAAAGGGGGGAGGACGTGTTCGACCCTTTGCTCGATTAGGTGCTGAAACATTTATTTGTTGGTTGCCGAATTTCGGGCGAAATTCTCTTTTGCGTGGAGCATAAACTTGGGCCCTAAGGCCTTTGAGGGTGTTGTAGGGAGAAAAAGGGGTTGGTAATTGGCCAAATTTGGGGGGAGGATTGGGTTCGGGGTGGTTTTTTACTTCAGTGTATTTTGCGGGGCGAATGAAAACAAACATGTGACTTCCGGGCACAAAAACGTAGTATGGAAAGTGAAAACTACAAATTTATTGGCGGATCGACCCCTTTGGAAAGACTAGGTCTCGACACTTTTCAAATGACACGACAAGGAAAGGAAATCCTTTTTATTTAAAAGATTAGCAAAAATAACTATTTTTGTCTTTTGATACTCAATCCAAAAACCGCACTTTTTAATTCCTTTAATAGACTATATACGGTAACCAAACGCCAAACCCCTCATTTTTTTCAGCTACGTCTACCCGGCCATTGCGATATTCGGTATCCTCGGGAATGCCCTCAACCTCACCGTCCTCCTCAACAGGAATATGAGATCCCGGTAACGCTCCCAAAGATTTTTCTGCTTTCCGATTTTCGTGGAAAACTAGCTGAACAAGGCATTAATTGAAATGAGGCGCCCGCCAGCATTTTTGAGCCGAAATTGCGTCCGCTGCACAAACATTGCAACGACGCGGGCGACGTCAAAAAAAGGGTTCGCTTGGGGAATCGCTGGAATTTGGAAAGCATTCCGGAAGGAGGCAAATTAAAAAAAATAAATGTATAATGAATCTATTAATTTAAAACGATCAGGAAGGTCCAGGTCGATATGCATAAAGCAGAGTTTAACGGCATTAAGTTAGTTTATAACTTGAAGAGATAAATTTGCCAACCGTCAGGCCATAAAGCTGTATGTTTATTAAACTATTTTAGAGCGAACTGCTTCCTGGCGGTGCTGGCATTTGCCGACATCATCTTCCTATCATTAGTGCTTCCAAATGTGCTGGCCAATTACGGGGCTTTCGTGTTCAACTACTACTTCCGATGGTTCTATTTCACCACAAAAATGCACATTATATCGCTGGCAAATTGGTCATCTGCGGTGGCGATTTGGTAGGATTACTACTATTTTAAATCTTATTTTTGTAATATATAATAAATTATATATAATTTTTATAAATTTAGGTGCATTATATCCGTGTGTGCCGATCGACTGTGGGGAATACGAAATCCATTATATGCTAGGGATCCATGGTATGTTCCTTTAAAATTTGAGAAACGGAATATCGATGGAATTAACGTTTTATTCGATCTTCAATATGTTTATATTCGTATATTAATTCTATATTACAGGCCATGGTGGAAAATGCCTTTGGTAATGTCAACAATAGTTGTCGGCACTGGCGTTTGCACCCTCTATCAACATTTCGAATACAATTGCCCACTCCGCGATTACTGTAATGGAACACAAATATTTTCCCGGTGCCAAGCGATCACTAATGAGAGGTGGGTGCCAACTGATATGCTAATTTTGAATTTCCAGAATGTTTGGTCGCCCAAATCCCTACCCAGAAGCTTGGCGGAATCTGATTTCATTCTGTGTGACGCTTTATCCATTAGTAATGATCATCTGCCCGATAATTCTTCTCGCCGTTCTAAATCTACTTTTGATTTGTGCTCTCAGACGGCGTCAGCATAATTTGATGCTTGGAGGTCATGCTCCAGATTCAAGGTGACGAAGCTAACAATAACTTTGCGCTATTCGGACTTCCCTACAAAATTGCTTTTTTAGAAAAAGGTCCACCGAGGTCAACAGTTTTGCGAAGACTGAGCATCGCGTTACGTTGACGGTTACCTTCATCGTGACCATGTTTACAATCACAAATGGCCCGTCAGCATTGGAACATCTCGTACGGAAGACTTTTTCACAGGATGATATGACGCTATACTACGATATTAACATGATTTGCACGTCAGTTTTTGCACTTCGAGGGCCTCAAAAATTTCTTAAAAATTAGATGAATTGATTATTTAGAACACTGGTGATCTTTGGAAAGGCTTCCAACTTTATTCTATTCTGCCTCGGCTCCAAACACTTCCGGTTGCGGTTGATCAAGCTCACACAAAAGAAGATGAACAAAAAGATTGGTAGGTCGTAGCGCATCTTCTTCTGTTAATTTTGCTAATGGTCCTCTTTATACCTGGAAAAGCCCTTCACTTCTCATGTGCTCTCTCATAATCTATCCCATCCAAAATACAAAAACTAGGATCTATAAGTGAATTTTCCTTTCTTGAAAATGTGCTAATATTAAAGGCCGCGTGGCCCACTTGCACGAGAATGTGCGCAATCTATTCCTTGTGCTGGCCCGATGGCGCACCACCCCCACCACAACAGGTATACGGTAGCCTGGGGACATTATTTAATCTGCCGCCTAACCCCCCTCTCTTCCCCCTGGCCGATTCTTCTATTATGACTATCGCTTTTAAAATTTGTTAATTTATTGTTTACCGGGTTATCGTTACAAATCGCTGAGAAGGGAGGTTTTTCGAGTCACCCGGAAAACAGCCGGTTTCATAGCGTTTTCGAGTTTGAATTTAATTCTGAGTCTACGTACATCGTAGATAGTTTTCTAGAACAGCTTTTCCCAAAAATTTAAACTTCAAGGCATTTACAAAACCTTGTTTTTCAACAAATTGAGGACAGCCGTTTTCAAAAATGAACCACCGAGCACTGCTTCGAAATTGACGATTTGAAACCCATAGAACCACATAGCATGTAATATCGGCCGCATAGCAATTTCGGATGGCCCGAATAACCATTCCTTCCAAGGGTTTTTTGTTGTTCTTGTGCATAGCCACCCTTTGTAGCTGTCCACGTTACCCGGGTCAACGAATTTGTCAAAGGCAAGTCACAGGCTGTGGCTCTCTTTTCATTAGCTTTTGCGATTTCAATTTTCGATTTGAAACATATTTGCATGGACCCACTGGCACCACTTTTTCTTTGTATTGTTGGGCGCTACGGGTTGAAATTAAAATTCAGGATTGAAAACCATTTTTCCAGAGAATTTCTCGAGCACGTTCCTCGATCGTACGTCATTGAGGAGGAGTAGCGGGCCATTGATGAAAAAGAGGTCTTCGACAATGAATGAGGTATCTTAAAATTATTCCAATCATTTATATTAATCTAAATATAATTTCCAGTCCTGCAACACTTCGGAAAACTCACAAGAAAGCTCAAAGAAACGTCTACCCAGCCGTGCAAGTCTCAATTTGCGGCCCTTAACCCTTGTGGATAATCGGACAGGTTTCTAATATTGATATTTCTAAAAAAATTTATGAATAATTAAGTATTATTTCCATAAAAAATTATTTTAGGGCCAAGCCGAGCAGTCCCATTCGTACCACCAACCGAGCGATTTACACCTTACGAGGATGGATCCGAGCCACTTATTCACACAAATTCAAACACTGAACGCGAGTGAACACCTTACCGATCAATTTACTTGTTTAATTTGTAACTTTCCCATTTAATTACCCCTATAAAATATTATAAACATTTGCATTTGTATTTTCTTCTGGTTGAATTATTATCCCATTTGTTCTTTGAATGTTTATGCCCCCAGCTGTGATGAAAGTTGTACTTGTCAGAGAGATCTCCAGCCACTGCATCCCATACCAAAGCCTCCCAGTTTTTCAATGTAATCCTCAACGTTTTATCGATATTTCTTTAAGTCCCAAGTATAATTTGAATTTAGAGTAAAACGCCTAGCAAATATGCTTTATTAAGCCCAACGCTAGGTGTCTTGCCAGATTCAAATCATACTCTTTTTTGTGTCTTTTGTAAATACCGAATAAAGAGGGTTATGTTTTATGGCGGCCGCTTGGCGCTCAAGACAAATGGCCGCGAAAAACGGTTGCCGAATGGACTCTCGGTTTGGAAAAGAATAGGAGGGGACGGCGGGGTGTACCGGTTTGTATGGAGTTGTGGATTCGAGCTATGCCGGGACCGGCCTTCACTGTTTGTCCAGTAGAGAGAGAGAGAAAGAGAGAGAGAGAGAGAGAGAGAGAGAGAGAGATAGATTCGCCACCCCTTCATGCCCTCCAGCTATGCTTCTGGAGCCTGAAAAGGGGCGGCGTAAGAGAGGATGGAGTGGCATCCTGTAATACTTCCTTGTGCGATCCCCCCGACCTAGCTGTTCACAAAAAATTCATTGCCCAGTTTTTGGAGCTGTTCACGCTATCGGACCACATCTATTCTCCAGATTTCGCTTTCTTAGCGACTTCATAAATTCTAGATTTGAATTGACCGACCGTTGTCCCATTAATTTAAATATTTAGATGAAATGGCTGGTCCTAACGGGCCTCATCTTCGTCGACTTATCCCTCAATGAAAGCCTCGATACCCTCTCACCTGAAGCCCCCCTCATTTTAATCAATAGAACCCGAAAAACCGGACACAATTTTGCTGTTGCACGCAGCTCAGGTGGATCCAGGGTACGCTTATAATTTTCTATAAGTTTATAACTCTTTCTCCATAGGTGTTCCTCAAAACTAAGCTACTCGAGAATTTAAATCGATTCGAAGGGGGCGGAGAAAAGCTGGAATTGCTCGATAATAAGGTAAACGATAGGAGTGAAGAGAACAAAATTGCCGATCCGATAAAGTAAGCGAATTCGATTGGTAATCACAAAATTCGTATAGGCAACTGTCCACGATATCAGTTAGTGTCAGTCCAGTGCCATCAACAGAACTTTCGGAACTGGATACGGTATCGAGAATGAAAGATCTGATCCTAACTATGCTATAGGCTGCCCTGCCGCAATCAAATTCATTAATGCCAGAACTAGGAGAGGAGGTCGTCGCGAGAGAAAAGGTCTGACGAACTTGCTAATTTTATTGTTTTTACGATTTAGAAAAATATTGAATTGGCTGTAGCACCAAATCCGGACCAACGGGTGTCTGATAAAGCAGCAAAAACTATTCGAAAATGGAGGAAGCGATTCTATAGGGCATACAAAGAAGGACGAATATTTGGAAGACTCGAGAAAAGTCCAGGTTTGTCTACTGTGATTTTTACGAGAATTATTGGTCCTTTCTGTTTAAAATTCTTTTTAGGCCACTTTTCTGCGCTTGCTAATGAAGCCGATAAAGATGAACATATGGTATTTAATGTTCTGGATTCTTTACAATAATTTAGAGTCGCGGCGAATCCACTTGGGGTTATGCGCACGATGGAACGTATGGCCGAGACCGGCATGGAAAAGTACATTTACATCGTTTAAAATATTGATTTTCAGATTGTCAAATTTGGACCGGAGCTAAAGCTTGAATCATCGGTAAATTCACATCGAAAGTAGGCATCTTACTATTATCCAATTCAAAATTTAGACCTCTCGAATTAAAACCAAGAAAACGAAAGATTGTTTATATCCCAGCACCTAACTTGGACCAGAATCCACAGTATTTATTCACAACACCGGTTCCAAAGATTGATAGTCTTGAACGGCAACGATTATATTACGTAACGGTATGTAGAACTGCTACTTGAAATTAAAAGATCCACAAGAGCTTGCATATTATTTAAAAAGAGTTTTAGGCGAATCCATTACTAACAACAACCGTCGAATTGCTGCGTGAATTTGCGCCTGGATTTGGCGATCGAGGGCTTCAAGGTGGAGCAAGTTACTTTAAGTATAATGTTTCCTAGGAATGCCATACCCTGAAAAGCGAGAAATTTCTCCGTTTCCGCCACAGCCACCGCTTCCATTTTGGAAAACTGATCGTAAATTTTAAGCCTAGAACTTTATTGAATTAATCCTTTCAGCAAATCATCAGCCAAAGTTCTTACCGAGCTTCACACAAAGGTAAACCCCACTGTACGCAGGATTTATTTTAAAACAACTTTTAGCATTCCATCTGCTCCACCTTTTTTACGGCCACTCCCCACGCTCCCTCCACCGACGCAAATAATTCAAAAATCACGAGGACCTGGCGGTTTCGCCAGGCCTGGAGAGGTTCGGTCATTACCGTAATTTCTGATTTAAATACCTTCCTATAGCAAAGTTTCTTCGAACCTGATGATGATCTAGATGATCCTAATAAATTTGATTTTGCTCCTTATCGTGAGGTACGTCTAATTTTGATCTAAAAACTCTAAAATTTAGCCAAAATCAGCTGGCGAGGGACCGACGGAGACTGATGAAAAATGTAATAGTCAAAGATTACGGTCAATTATTCAGAAGGTAACTTTTTTAAATGCTATGATAAAATGATTCATAGAATATAATTTCAAATGATGCTGAAGGGTCAAAAAGAGCTGTGCAAGAGGAGGCTGAACGGGATTTGGGAAGGTAAAAGCGTCGAAATCAAACATATTAAAGTATATTCAGATACATTGACGTTATTTGTGGAACCGGCTTCTTTTCCTACATAGCGCATACCGATGAATTTTGTTTAGCCTCAGCTGGGGGTAACTGATTCATATGTTCTTAAAAACCGATCTTTAGGTGTGAATTGCTATGCGTTCAGTCCGGTATGCGGAGAAGCCGATGTCACACGACGGAATAAGCTAAGATATCTGAGTCGTAACCGGAAATTGTGATTTTCCTTAACCATTTGAAGCCGTTATGATTCGCTGCCAGCAATAAAAACACGGGTCAGCCACCGGAGAAGGGAGTCTAGAAAAAACATGAGTGATCAGATGGAAGGGCGTCACTTGTTTTTGCGGTGCCGGTAATGGCGATACCATGCCCAAATAGGGGTTGATAAAAAAGCGAAAGGGCATCGGATGCTTAGAACATGACTGGTACATATAAATATTTGCTCGGTAATTGCGGGTTGGTATTTAAGAGGGTCAGAAGCCGTGATTGATGAGTCGACTGGATTCAAAAATTTGCTTTTCTGAAATTAAGCAGCATGCTGTCATTGGCCATTCCATTTTTGTTCGTTGGAATTGGATGGTAATTTTGTGACCAATTGTTAGAACATGACAAAATTCTAGGGCCGCACCTGTTCAAGAAAATCAAGAAGCTATTTGGGCCGTTCTAGTTGCAGGATCAAAAGGATATTGGAATTATCGACATCAAGTAAAGCGCTAATTAACTCTTGAAAGTGTTCTTTAGTCTGACATTTCGGCGGCCTACCAACTATTGATCCAGCGAGGGGTCCCTAAATCACAAATCATCACAATGATGTATGATGATGTAGCAGAATCAGAAGAGTATTCTAGTTTGGATTTTCGAATATATCTATTTAGGAACCCGCATCGTGGAAAGCTCTATAATTGGCCGGGTGGTCCGGATGTCTATGCCGGGGTTGAAGTTGATTATCGTCTGCAGGACGTCAATCTGGGCAATCTGAAAGCTGTACTGCTTGGAGACGCTGGTAATATTACCGGAAATGGGACTGGAAGAGTGCTAAAATCGTAGGTTCCAAATTTGACTACAAAAACTTAGAAATTTCTTAGAAATAAGCAAAGCCATCTTTTCTTCTATTTCACCGATCATGGCGCATTTGAAGCACTCCAATTACCAACCGGGGAATTGGTGAGTATGATCAAAAATTATTTAAGCTGAATTTAGATTATGGAAAATGAATTCACGAAGTTAATGAAGGAAATGATGGACCGAGAAATGTTTGGGAGTGCTATGGTTTTTCTCGAAGCTTGTGAAAGTGGATCGATGGTCGAGAACTGGGGAACCTTCAATAATGGTATCCTGATACCTGTTTTATCAAGGCCAAGATTTTTCTAGTATTCGCAGCAACAGCGGCTTCAGCTACTGAGCCATCCTATGCGACGCATTGCCTAGACTTTGTTCTAGATACCTGTATGGCTGATGAGTTTTCTTATAATTGGATGGATACAGCAAGAAGGGTAAGGGTTTTTACCTATCCGAAGTCCCTTAACTGTCTTGCCCATCCCTGTTATTATTTCAGTTATCTCCAAAGGAATCCCTGGAAGGCCTGACAATTCTTACTAAAGCAAAAACGAAAAGGAGCAATGTCCAAGGTTAACAATTTTTGGAATTTACTGATGCAAATCCATTCAGAAATTGGTTCGCTTCAAATGAAAACGCGGAGTAATGGAGCCTACCTTGGTTCTCATGTATCAAAAACTCTTGCTCAACTCGATTACAAAAACTACACAGCACAAGTGAGTTATCGCATGTTAAGTAAAATTCAAAATGTCAGGCCACTCAACCGACCTGGAAAATTCCGCTTATTCAATTGGAAAGGAGAGCAGCTTCAGGGGATATTAAGCACGTACAAAATTTGAGGATATTTACACAGGTATGATAGTCTTCTGAAGATTCTCCATCCAAAATCTAGAAATTATCAAAATTGGAGCACGTTTTGGAAAAGCTGAAGCACGACCTGCCAATCTCAAGCCATTTTAAATTATCGTCCAATAATTTCGACAAAAACTGTTATGGGGAAGCGCTTCAAGAATTTATCAATCGCTGCTCAGACCGTGATATTGTAAGTTTAGGTTACATTTTACGTATTGGCCCTTTTAGGATTCATTTGCATTACGAAATGCCCGTATTTTTGCATCGGCTTGTGCTCACCAGGAGACCGCCGCTATTTTGAAAATACTCGAATCCAGCTGCCCTTGAGGATCTCCAAAATCAACGCATAATATTGCTGCCATAATATGCCTGTAAATAAATGTCTATATAAAAAATGACAGTCATGGAACTAAATTTATTTCTAAAACGAAACGAGCAAAACAACAAACATCAATAACAAACGTTGACAAATAATGAGTATCGGCGAAACAGGGTGAAAATTGGTTCTAACTAAAACCTAAGTAAAGATGAAAAACGATGAAACGTGTATAAACATCTACTTCGAGACGAACGCCTTGATCTTGTTGAGGAGGCCGACATATTGAGAATGTTCATAGTGGGTGGCATATTGGACGAGAGTGTTGCAGAAATGAGTGTCGAGGCCACGTTCTTCGAGGTAGCGCACGAAGAGGAGGTCATGAAGGTTCTGAAGCACAGGAATATTGTATGTTTTGGCAAAACTTACGGAATCAATGTACTGTCCGCTAGAAGCGTAGACATGGCTAGCCACATCTTCCTCGTTTGCCTTTGCAGCTGGAGCGATATAGAACTCCTCAACGGCAAAATCATCTGAAAATGTCGAATTAAATTATGAAAAATGTCATTTGAACTTACATTGCTGATTTTCACCCTCGCACAGCTCCAAATGGAAGCACAGCCTCTCGCCACCCTTGGTAATTTCCACTTGGAATGGAGGGAGAGCAACCGGAACCGGAGCCGCTTCAGGTACTTGTCCTTCACCATCTTCATTCACATCCACCGAATGGTTGACGTTGAATACAACAAGGATACTAAAAGTATTGATATGCAGCGAATGTTATATTCGCATACTCCTCATTTCCGTGCTTTTTCGTCAGTCTAACTTCTGCTCCATTGGTCGAGATATTGAAGCCGGGGAATGAGGTTTGGGAGAGGCTTTGGCTCTAAAAATATCAAATTTTTTTAGATGATTCTTTGATTTTTTTTTTATTCGATTTAGAAGGCTTTGATTCTTTAGTGTGTGATTTGATCACATAGATCGATCGATATATTCCACCTCAAGTTCCTTTTCGGCACGGATCTCACCATCGAGGCACTCTGCCAGCTGACTGGAAACGCCAGAAAATCCTGACACGGTTATTTTATAGTTATTATCAAGTTCAGGAAACTTACTTTGAGCGGTGGTGGTCAGTGCTCGAATTTGCATACTTCCTCGTTTCACAACGACCAACGAGGGTTGGGTGGCAACACGGGCCAAAGAACGGAGGGCAACAGCAATACGCATCCTGAGATTAGAATTAAATTGGATAAATTACAAATGCGAAAGAAAGGTCCGGCAAAATGTGATTTCAATATGTTATAGAAAGGGATTGGGACAAAAAAGATTGGAACATGAGGAAATCACTGGAAAGAAATGTCTCGTTGACCTCGCCGGTCGACACATTCCAAATGACGGATGGGGGCAGGCGGGAGTTGAAGTTAGGACATGGTATATGGCAATATTAAATTAAGGAAATTGACGGTAAATATACAACAAACAAACGTTGCTTGATTAACACCATAAATATAGCAAGCGATCGTAGTTCAAAAATCGCTTTAGCATGTTTAAACTGGTTTTCAGGTTTGAAAAATCGAGGTTGAAAATGCTTTCTATTATGGCATCCAGCAGAGCACACCTATAATAATGGGCGGATCAGCCATTTAATGTAATAAAATCTGGTGTTTCATTTCATTGAATAAAAAAGCTGAATTAGGTCGTTTTCTCAATTTCTGTCCTGGCAGGAGATACACAGTACCATTTTTGTCTAAATTTCAGGTTAACTCCTGCGTTGTTATCGTTGTTGGGGAAAGTGAGTCTTTGAAGTGTTGTTCAGGTTCTTCTCGTGCTCCTTTTCCTTCTACTCCATCTCCATGATGCTACCGATTCTCTCGCGTCTCCCTCCTCTCGATCTCAATCCGATTTGCGCCTTCTCGAGTCTACGAGAAGTCCATTGGCACCCCACACAAGTTCATGTTTTCTCCTTTTTCGAATTTTATTTTATAGGTTAAAAATTGGCCGTCAAAACCTTATCAAGTGGATTCAAAAATTCATTGATTTCCACCAAAAACCTTAAGAAAAATCGAAATTTTGAGTGAGGGGCGACCTCATGGTTAAATCGCGAATTGTAGCTTTTTTTAAGGGGCTCGACTTCAGGTGGTAGGGCTTTCCACATTTTATCAAACGGTTAGTATTTCTGCCCGGTCCCAAAAATGATATGCAATAGTTTAGAGCCCCCATTCCCTTTTAAAGGACTTCTAAGGGAAGCGGTTCCCGTGCTCGGTGTGGTTCCCCTGGGCGTCATTCGGGTCGGATGGCCGCCGGAATACGATTATATTCCCCGGCATCCGTTCCATGCCCAAAATCGAGTCTCCTCTCTACTGACATCTGCTTCTTTGGATCATAGAAAGAGCCATGCCCGGGGTTTCGCCGTGGCATTCAGCGTTTTGAGCGTGGGCTTCATCTACTATTTTTGCGTGGCGGGTGTCTTTTTAGGTAACAGGGAAGTTTTTGAATATGTTATAGCCGGTTGGATAGAACTTGAAATGCTGAAAAAAATTCAGTTTGTCAAAGACAACTGAACGGGAGAGGTCGAGGAGAAAGTTGGCTCCGAAAGACTCAATCTTGCGTATTTCTGCCCCCCCCGAGTGAAAGATACTCGTAACCAGACCTTTCACGTCCCTTTACAGCAATCAACAATCCACCGTAACCCCCGCCCACCCATTGCGAGCCCTTTTTCACGAGAATTGATGAATGCCCTAGTATCTATGCTATATTTCCGTTTTCTCCACCCTCATCCCATTTCCATCCACCCATCACATCCACCGTAAATTTTGGACGTATTTTTAGGGAGTCTGGGCGGCGGAAATGGATGGTCATTTTTATGGGTTCCGCGTGCTGGCTTCTCCTCCCAGCATTATTTAGCCCTTTGAAACGAGCTTGGTGATTTCCATACCGATTCATCAGGGGAGCCGATAGCTTTAAATATGCACGCCAGAAATTCTAAATATTCCACCTGGCAGGGTTGGAAATGCGATGGACATTGGCGCTTTACCTTATTAATAGGGCCAATAGCTAAGCTTTTCCGTAAGAGGCCTATACACACCTTAAGCTTCTTACCTGCCCAGTTTTTGGGGGGCGAGATTTTTTGCGCGGCGTGTGAATGCGCGAGGGGCCATCCGATCCCCGCGTCGTCGCCAGGCTCCTATTTATTCAGCCCTGCCATCCGTCCATCTATGGAGGTCTCTCTCTCTCCCTCTCTCTCTCTCTCTCTGCCCTCTCTCACTCTTTTCTAACCCACCATGAATTTCTCAACGGCTCGTGATTGGAGGGCCCACCACGAATGGCCGGATGTGAGATGAATTGCTTATTGCTTGGGGGTAGGGTAGGGGGGAGCTCTGATTTTGTCCCCCAACATATGGATGAGATAGACGAATGTGGGTTTTATTTTTATAAACATGGAGTCATAGTGGTCTCTTTAATTCTACGATATCTGCTTTTTATTGTTAGGTTCTGCTAAAGATCTCTCTCTCTCTCTCTCTCTCTCTCTCTCTTCCCTGTTTTGCAGCCTATCGTAACTTTGGTACTCTAAATCTTCCCACAATCCCCAAAATCCAAGTGTTTACATCAAAACCTGAACCTAACCATATTTACTACGGTGCCCAGCCGGCTCCGTTTCACTCCAATTTACGTGTGTGCGCGCGTGTTGGGAATGCCTAATTAGTGGTTGGCACACATAATTGTAGGGCCAGTGCGAGAAGTGCTGATGCTAGATTTCAAACCAAATAGTTTGGTCTGGCCCGGCTTTCTAGGGTGGTTTTAAGGAAGGGGGTCTTTGTGGTGATCGGTCGCGAGAATTTTTCTGGAAATTCGTGTTACGGTGTGTTTAGGGGATCTCGCGCGGTCTTTTTTAGAAGGTTTTCTGGGTTAATTCCGTGGTAACGTTGTGTTTTTTATGGTATGGTTACCGCAGGCGTTGCGGTCACGTTACGTTGGCGTTACCCTAGCGCGTTAGAAAAGTTCCATTCGAGCGATAGAGAGCGAGAGAGAAAGAGAGAGCGAGAGAGAGGGGGAGAGGGCGATCGTACGCGCCTGCACTCATCCCGCACTACATTGGGAGCCACGTTTTTCACGACTTCCCGGTCCCTTTAAAATAATGGCGAATCATACGACACCTGCCCCCTCAATACTTTCTCACTACGAATCACGACTACTGACACGCCCACCAATGATAAATGACGATGCAGTACCCCCCTTTCCTATCCTTTTCAGTGGAGGATTAATTGGAAGAGAAGGGCCACATTTTAAGAGACTGCCTTCCTGCTCCTCCTCCTTCTCCTCCTCCTCCTCCTTCTGAATGTTGGCCCTCCCCTAGCCATCCTCTTCTGCTGCTCCTTCTTGGCCCTTCAATTACCACCACATCGCCGTGTGGCCCAACCCCCCCTTCAATTTCCTCCGTCTTACCCGTCGGTATACGCTGTTGTTTGCGGGTCTTTGAAGGGACTTTCTTTTGTGGAATTTTCGTGGATCTTGTGCTCAATTTTACGTTTTTGCTGCCCCCGCGACACGTAGCGCGTACGCCCGATAGGCAGTCTAGATAAATCACTACATCATTGCTCAACAAAAATTTGGGGCAAGTGCAAGTGCGTCGCTTAATAACAACTAAATGTCTTTACTTTACAACAAATTACAAGGAACATCAGACGCTCATCACCCCCAATTCCGCCCCTGTACAATCCCCAAAATGGGGCGCCCAAGCCAGGGTCTCCCAGGTAGCTCGAATTACGCGCCTTTCTTTTTTTGTTGTTTGAGGGGGGCTTACCGCAGTGGCTTTGGGTTTCCATCAACCAACGCACGCTCTGGCGCTTTGCTCCGGATTTCAAGCTTCACCCCTATTCTATCCCAGTCTTCTTTTTAGAGAAAAATAGCCTTCCAAGCATATTATCAGAAATATCAGGCCGATAATGCTGTTAAATTCCCTATCCTTAAAATGTACTACAAGGATATAAAACTCTAGCAATGGTAGCTTAAGGTAGGCTTAAGGTTTTTCGGTTCATGTCTATTTCCAAACTTTCCGCTTACATATATTGAATTTTAAACGCTTTTTTAAACGCTATTTTTGTGAATTTTAAGCCCCCGTCTGAGGTCAAGCCTCCTTGGCCTCTCCTAGGGTTTAATATGAGTGAAATTCAATCCTCGGCAGATGCCTATAAATCACGCTCTTCTTTGCTTTGAAAAGTTGAGCTGTGAGTTCGGGGTGTTTGTCATTGTGCGGCGTTTTCGGCTGAAAAGGCGAAGAGGTTGTCGAGGCTGGAGGGCCCTAATCCCTTGGCCAAATCCAAACACTCATTTTGGCTTATTTCCGCTGTTCTCCGACGTGAGGGCAGTCATGGCGTCGTAAAGTTGTCAACTAAAAACATGGTAATAAAATAGTACTCTGATTTTTATTGAAACCAAAATTTTTTTGAACAGACCTGGAAAGCTTCTATTTGCATAGCCTGGATGAGCAGACCGGCCGATTTTTGGATTCATAGGGTTTGAAAAGCAATCTCATTGTCTGTCACCCCTCGACCCCTTGAACGTATATTTTATATAAATATTTTCTTGATATATATCCGATTGTGAGCGATATTTTGTGAGTAAAACAACGCTCTCCCCGCACTTCCGGCACCTAACGAAGCTAATATCCTGCTGTTGCCTTGTTGTAGGGAGGCATCTCCCATCTTACCCAACTCCTTCTGCCCGCTTTTTCGATCAATTCTGCCGGAAAAAAACTTGTGAAAGAAAAGGGATGTAGATTTCAGTGGTTGCCCTTTATGTGAGCCGCATCTGAGTCGTCAACGCAGATGTATGTGACCCCGAATTCTGTACAGCATGCGGCTGTTGGATTTGCGCTTGGTGGGTTGCAGCCCTTAAAGCGGCTCTGGCAGCAAGCCCCTTTTTCCACGACTCGTGGAAGCGTCGCGGTCGGGCGCGTCGCGGCAGGGAGTGAAAGAGCGCGCCCAGAGGAGAGACGCAGGCAGAACTCTGCGTCTCTGCCCGGTCCCCAAAATGCCGTAATCGGTGTGCTGCCAGAGCCGCTTTAAAGGGATTTGCTTTTTAATGACGCCAGGGGGAGGGGGTGGTATTCGAGGAAGATTTTCCTTTTAGAAGATTTCTTAGAAGGCGTGCCATAGTGACATAAACAATTCAAAATTTCAGCTGTGCTTTCCCTATTCGTGCTTGCATTCGCCGTAATCGCCGTTGTCCTCGTGACGATCAGCAATAGTTGTTTCTGGAGCGCTGGTGAGTGTATGTTTTAAGAACTATCTGTAAAGTGTTTTTACTCAGGCTGGCGTTTTAGGATGGGACCAAGCCTATCCTGTTCAGAATTTTTTTTGCTGATTCCGAATCCGTTTTCCAAATTTGCTACGGACTTCGCGTTGAAAAGTCATTTTCGGTCTAAATTAAGCTTAAAAACGGCATAAATTCGGATGCTGGCCCACTATTCCCTGTCTGGGTCCAGGTATAGTTGTGCCCCTTATCTACCTTCCCGAAGCCCCCTTCCCAGTTGGCACCATGGTGCATTGGTAAGCTGTTCGCTTCCCAGGCACAGGGCTGCGGTTCGATCCCCGCCCTGCACAATTTCTTTTGCTTTTTGCACAAAAACACATGATTTTTTGCATAAAATCGTGCTTTGACCTCTAAAACCATTACCGAGCCAGTTTTAACGTCGGAGGTGACGACAACTTAAAAAATAACGCAAAAAATCCAGATTTAGTCAATTTTTTTAGCCTAAATGTCGAATAACTTTTTAAATAAAGGTCGGCAGCAAATTTGGAAACCAGATTCTGAATCAGCAAAAAATTCTGCACAAGATAGGCATGGTCCCATTCTAAAACGCCAGCCTGAGTAAAAACACTTTACAGTAAGTAATCCATCCTGTGAACGCTGAAAACCTTATCGCTTATTCCGGCTAAACGGCGATATATGTTTCCTAAAGAATTCCTGCAAAGATGCTCAAATCTATTTATAGTTATTTTATATCTTTTTAGGCAACGATACCGATGGGGAATATTTTAATGAAGACGAGTCACCACTACATGACGGTGAAGAACCGGTGGATATTGTTCTCGGCGTCACTCCAGATGATGCGTCCATCGTATAATCAATAACTCTATCATAATCCTCTAACTCGGATAACTCGTAAATGCGTTGTCAAAAATTCAACAATTATTTGATCTCTTTTATTGTGTTTATGACGCTATTCCTGTCTTCTCTCTCTAAATCTCTCGGCTCTCAAAAGCTAACCTAAATTTTTTTTCGCTGTATAGATCTTCCCTATCAAAAGAATCCTGGTGTTGTTTTTATTTTTGAACGCTGTCAATTAAAAAATAGTACGGCAACTACATGATCCGCGAAAACACCGCGTTTCCACGCTCTTTCGGTGCGCAAAACAATAATTTCGAAGCCTAAGCTCTGTACGCCGTTCCCAGCTTCCGGATATAAAGTGTCAAATGTTCGAAGTGAAGAACCGATCAACAAGGGTGCACCAAATTCATTCGTCATTCTTCGTTATATTATGCATTTGACACACATTTTGGTCTTTCAGGAATATGGGGGGTGGGGGGTGATGGGGAAGGAGAAAAATTGAAAAAGGTTCCCGTCAAGTTAAAGTTTAAAAAATAACAGAAAAATGAGCGCTAACCAACTAAAGAGTGGAAAAACTACAAGCTTGAGTGAAGATGTATCGAAATGCGTTGGGTGAAAAAAGCGAGATAGGATCGGGTTGACCGGTGAAAGGGAAGTGAAATCAAGGGATAGTTGGGGGGAAGGGATTAAAGCACAGGGTCGAATCGAGATCAAACGTTTTTTGGAAAGCGTTCAAGATTCAAATACTGGTACTGCCATTTAAGGGTTATTAAAGTCTAAAAACCCGCTACGCGCGAAAGGAGGTTCCTAAGGCGTCAAAAAAATCGATATGGTCAATGTACGTTAAGCTTTAGGGACCTCCGGAAAAACTTGAAGGGAGGTACTAGCGATAGAAATTAAGGGAAGAGTAACAGGGTATGGCCATTTTAATAGAATACGTTGAGATGGGTCAGCAGAGACCCGTTGATAGACGGGCGGAATAGGGGGAGTAATTGGATGTTATTGCCGACTGAATTGAATGGATAATCGGAATAAGAAGCAGCATCTCCTCATCTTCGATCACCAGTTGGCGCACATTCCATGCACGCACATTGTATGGCTGTCGGTATTCGGACTGTTTCCTCGCCGTGTGCACAACGTAATTTCTGTTCCACCTGGAAAGGGCAGGGTGTTGGGTTGGAGTGTGGTAATGAAGGATCGGTCTTGTAAGTTTTTCGCGGGTACTTACATATTCTTTGTCGACCATCCGGCAGCACTCAGCTCTTCTCAAAAAAGAGCCATCAATGGGATTGTAGAGAGCATGAGAGTGACAGTATCCGGCGCATGAATTTACTCGGACTACTTGTAGTGGGCAACCCTCGATGTCGATTAGCTTTTCTTCGCCTAAAAATATATGAAAATTTAATTTTATCGTAAGTTACAAGTTTCTTTAGAGAGTAAAGAGAGAGAGGGAGAGAGAGGAAGAGGGAGAGAGAGGAAGAGGGAGAGAGAGAGAGAGAGAGAGAGAGAGAGAGAGAGAGAGAGAGAGAGAGAGAAATAAACTAACCTATCAATCGACAACTGCCCCTTGTTGCTGCTGCCATTGCAGATGATATGAAGGATAGTGTACAGAAAAAGACCAACACTTCGTAGAGCCTCGGGAGAGGCCGGACACCCAGTTCCATTTGAGAGGGGATTCTGCAAATATATTCACGTTTTAGCATCTCAGCATGGAGAAAACATGAGAGAATAATAGATTACACGCGCACCTTCCAGAATATTAGAATTTTTACAGGAAAACGATGAAGATTGGAGAAAACAATCTAAGCTTGGCCTAAAAAGTTTGTCTTTTGATTCGTGTGGGCACAAGTTCGGAGAAAGAGAAAAATGACGCCGCCGACGGCCATTTGAAGAGCAGCCGGCGTAGGCGATAAGCTCTCGAAATAGCCATCCTGCAAATGGAATAGAGTCCACAGTCTATGTCTTCTGATTTGTTGACAATGAAGGTTTCGAAAAGAGGAGTTTGGATGGAAATAGAAGGTCCCGTTTTAGCAACCCCGGTAGCCCGGAAAAGAACTAAAGACCTGACGTTAAAGTCTCCGATTTCAGCTGGATTTCGGGAGGAGCTAAACAAATCTGGAGTTGTTATGTATACAAGTTATTTTCAGTTTACCGTGAACAAAGCGTGATTGAAAAATAACTTAATGCTAGAAACAAAGCTCCTTCTCTCTATTTATTATTTATTATGCAATAAATAAATAAATGTGAGTTAACGCATACTACAACGTAATTGGTTAAATACAATTGTTTACAAGCCAAAAATGATGCGCCGAAATGTCACAGACTATATAAAAAATGAGTGGCCTCGTCCAAAATCCGAGCCGACACATCGGGCCCAAATTGGTCATAAAGTCGCGGTCTCGTTGCGTCGGTCTACACCCTCAGAGCCTTAATTTAAACTACGTTCGCTTCAATCCACTCCTAGTATAGTCACTTTAACTGGTTAGTCATCAGCTTGTAACGTATTGTAACGTATTCTAAATTTCAATCAGCTATGTGAAGTATCAATATTTTTATTTTTTTCAAATAACCTAAGCGAACCTAGATTTCCCCTGGTATCGAACCATCCCACCAAAATGTTTTGCTAAAATCATCGACGTTCAAAATGTGGGTCATTGTGTACCCATCTGCCATTGGTGATATAGGAGGAAAGGCGGAAGGGAATGGATCTGTTGCCCATCACCACAGCCCCCCAGATGAGGAGGTATCCATTTCGGGGTTGAAGTGCCTCGAAATGCCTCTTTTTGAGGTGCCCCCTCTTCTCCCTCTTTCTTTCTTTTCTTCTATTTTCTGGCCTTTACATACAACACCCCCCGATCGCCAATGATGACGTCCGCTCGTCCATCCGATGATTTGGATGACGAATTCGTGAGGTGCAGAAGGTCACGGTTAAAATTGGCAGCTCATTTTTTTAGATTATGCAAGGACTGTAACGCCTCAAAGGACTAGTCTAGTAAAAATGTCGCCGAAAACCACAAAAACAAGACGCTGAACTTTTGAATACACAACTTGATGACCCTTGCGGATGGCCATTTTTAGCCCGGCAGTAGATGATAAGGGACGGCTATTCCGGGTCAGGATCCGGCATCGATGCCACCACCAAGTCGTTCCGACGTGACAATTTATGGGATATGACACACATTGTGACGCCTGTCTTTATAACGAATAAAGATACGGTTTGGTGGTAAGCGAGAGAGAGCGAAAGAGAGAGAGAGAGGGAGAGAGAGAGAGAGAGCGAGACGGCTGTTCCAAATTACGAATCTTATCTATTTCTACCACGGTAAATATGTCTACAAAAATGTATGAGAAAGATGGCAAAAGGCAAAGTTACTTTCAAACTTCGCTAAAAACTTAGCCATCGCTTTTATTACAAAATTGAAAAATCTGCAAAACAAGCAAAAAATTGCGGTTTTAGGTGCAACTACGGTAAAACAAAGAAACGGCAGGCAAACGGTCGGCTAAGCCGTGGGTGGAGTGTGCTATTTCGAGCCGTGATAAGAGCTATTTTTAGAAGAACGCTCCTTATCCCGGGCTTTGTTCCTCATTAGAAGCTTACTCATGCGCTCTCCAGACGATGGGATTAGAGCAGTGCAATCGTGAATGTGAATCCTGTAGAAATTTTGAAAGCCGTCTTTATTTGAATACAAATTAAGCTAACAAACCAATCAGAAATTGGGGTGACAAGGCAACGGCCTTTATATTTGCCTTCCGGTTGACAATCGGCATCAACAAAAACAACAGGGCGTTACGAGAACCTAGCACGGGGCTGAATTGGGTTGGTTGGGCTAATTAAGCGCGACCACAAAAATCTCAAATATTTAGGAAATTATGGGAGGGGGCAATGGGGAGCCGCCAGTTAGTGTTGATGGGTCATAAAATATTCGCGGAAAAATGGCGATATTCCTAGATATGCCAGTTATTTGAGCTGTTTTGGCGTGGTGAGGTCAAAGTGTGCAATTTCTGCATATTTTCAGGGTGGAACTATATATATTTCAGCGCATCAACCTGTTAAAATATAGCATTAAAACTATCAGGCGTGATGAGGTCCAAGTCTGCAATTTCGGAGCGCTTTTTGGGTGGAATTGCATATATTTTAGCCCATAGTTTTGGTAAAGATGTTTGATTTTAGGGTCTAGTATTATTTACTAACAAATTAGTAAATACTTAACATAGTACTAAAATTATTTAGTGTTTAAAGACTACATAAACAAGCTGTGTCGAGAAACGTAAGCTAGCCAGAAACCTTTTGACCACGATGACTTCCCGGTCGGCCTTATAAACCCGCTGCACAAAACTAGTTCCACGAAATCGGCGCCATAGTTGCTCATCCAAATCTGCATATCATCCGATTAGTGGGTGGGTAGTGAGCCTAGGGTTCGTCATCCTATTCACGCAAAAAACGTGAGTTTGGACTGTCGGGTGTGAGGCGGTTGGGGCTGGAGAAACAGGCTGAAATTGGAACCTCGTGGAAGAATTCAGAGGGGTTTTTGGTGTTTCTGCTAAAAGCCTCAAAAGTGGGAAGATATTCATGACAACTAATCCGTTTTCCTAGAACTTCAAACAGTTTCTTGATACAAATATAAATATAAACAATTTATAACCAAAATTTCCGAAAAAATGGGTTTTTAGGTCCATCAGAATCAAACCAATTGCAAAGCTAAAAATTAGCTCCCCCTAAACGGGAATCACCCGAACGCAACTAAAAAATTTGAAAAACAGTGCGCGTTTACGTCTTATTTTTGGGACACCGAATGAGGAGTGCGAGCGGACGCAGAAGACGCGCGGATCTGCACCTCCTCCTCCTCCCCCGCCACTGGATCAGGTTACGAAAATGGGGCACTGCCGGGGCCCCACACCCAGATTTAGCCACCGGTTTGACGACGACGACGAGGACGACGGGGAGGAGGAGGAGGTGTGTAGATGCGGTCGAATGGAATAGCACCCAAAAAGGAGAGATGACTATGGCTGTGAAGAGAAGAGCTGCTTCGAGCCCCTCCCACACCAATTCCGGCTCGACCACCACCAAAGTGCTCATCCCCCGCAACGTCATACGTCAGCTCTTCTTCTGATGAGCAAAGAAAAACCGCGGCCGAGGTGGAGGAGGAGGAGGAGGAGGTGCGTATATTTGGACCCAAGGGAATTTGTGTCGCAAGGGAGTTTTCAGAATTCGATGACTAGACATTAAAAGGACTTGATTATGGGCGGACGTATCCCTTTCCTGGACCTGGGAGGTGCGCGTAATAGGCCCCAAGGACTACCAAATCCATCCGGAAACTAGCTTAAGCCTAAATAATTTAGCTAAAAATTGATAGTGAAGCCTTGAAAATCCCTTTAAAGGGAGCGGAGCATGAGGAAATAGGAAATTTGCCGATCATTGCATGAATAGTGCAAATAGACACCGGAAATCAATCTCAAAAGCGTGCGGGATTGAACGGAACCCAAAATGTGATAATCCACGTCCTGATTGCGCTACTCGTACGTTCACCGACACATCTCTTTCAGGAAACTTTCAAAGTGTATGTTTAGAAACGCGTTGCGTAGGTGCCGCGTACGCCCAAGCAGCATGTGAGCTATCGCATGAAATCCTTTAAACCAATGTTTAACTGTTAATTTGAGCCCAACATCATCAATGGCGTCACTATTCGGAGCCTCATTGAACGAGTCTCCTCTCATTCTCAATTGTTTGATGATTGACCCCTATCATAAAGAAAGGGGTGGATAGATTGTCGGTCGGTTGTTCAGTTTCGAAGGGCGGGTAAGAGAAGGAAAGAGTGATCCAGTTTTCTCGGCCTCCTAAAAGGCGAGCCTTGGGTCAGTGGAGTCAGTGAGAATCCTGCTCACATCCTCAACATGTCTGTTATGTGTCGATATGTGCTGATTTTCGCTTTGTTGATTGTTTTGGCTGTTGCTCAATGGGGACATCATTATCGCCCTTATGGAGGATATGGTGGATACAGCGGTTATGGTGGATATAGACCCTATGGGTAAGTTGAAATCATCAATCATTATTTTCGAAATAATTTTAGACCTTACGGCGGTTATGGCTATCGCCCCTATGGAGGCTACGGTGGCGGAAGTGGTGGGTGGCACAAGAGATCTTCTCATTTTGGCCCGTCAGAATAGCGTCTCCCATTTCACACATTTCCTCTCCTCCAAAAGCATCAAAACTCACGGATCACATTCGCAAAAATATTTATCGGGCGGGTCTCAAAAGGAATAAGCTCGTCGAAACTCTGAATTTGTAGGATTCGGCGCCGGTGTGCTGGTCGGCTCGCTTCTTGGTGGACGATGATGGAAATTACCTTAAATTATTTTGCTCGAATAAAAACATTCGGAAATGATCTACAATATCTCAGCTAATTCACACAAAATTAGCACAGCATAACTTCTAGCTAATGGTTATTCAGTAAGCTCGAGGTAGAAGTGAGGATACCTGCAAATTTCGATTTATTCGTTCGCCTAACGTTTGCTAAAGTCTATACAAAACACTTTTTCAAAATGAGCGATTTTAAGCAAACCTTTTCATGCGATAACTTTCGCTCAAAAGAACAAAAAAGCAGAAAAGTTGCTCCTCGAAGAGCAAACTTCTATTAGTAGGCTACGTTACTGATATCGAGCAAGCGGCAATCAATTATTGAGGAAGGCATGCCATAAGCCCGAATTAAAAAATGCCGAATGTCAAAATCTCGAATACGCGAGAATGCCGTAATACCAAATTCGAATTCCTTACACCCGAAGTTCAAAACCCGATTTATGATCGAGCCTAAATGATCTTTTTACCCGAAACGGGGTCATTTTTCTCTATTTATTTTGCCTCCAACGTTTGAGAATGCGGGATTATATAGTTCGGGATTTTGGTATGCGATGTTGTGATATTCGGCATAGGAATTTGATGCAATAATAAAAAGCCCCAGCGTGGTCAATATCCGATACTTCGTCGTAATTCTTTTTAATCAAGTCTCTCTTCAGCTACTTTCCGATGTTTTTCGGTCTAAATTGATGTCAACCGATTGGCGAATCGTGTTGATGAGGCGGAACCGTTCGATGAAGCAGAGGGGTTAGATCGGGGTGGGTGGGAATTGGTTATTCGCCCAACGGCGGATTGAAAGGACGGGTCTACAGCCGGGATAAAAGCCTGTTTGCGTGCCCTCCGGCTAGTGTGGGGTCGACTCTCCGATAGATAACAGCTATTCCGCGCTAAACGATGTTTAAGCTTCTCGTTTTGCTAGCTCTTGTTGCCCTGGCCACCGCTCAGTGGGGCTATGGTAGGTTGAGCTTTTGAAAAATGCGCTTGTTCTCTAACACTGGTGGTAATATGCACTTAATGTACCTTCAGGCGGATACGGAGGATACCCGATGGGTGGATATGGGGGTTACGGAGGATACCCTGGTTACGGATATGGTGGATATCCAATGTATGGAGGTTACAGACCATGGGGATATGGTGGATACGGACGTGGAGGTAAGAAATAACCACCCTACTCGCTACCACAAGGCTCGATTCCATGCCAAAATTCGGAAATATTCTTTCAATTCAGGTTTCATGCGGGGAATGATGATGGGAATGATGTACGGATAAGGCATAGCACATTTAATTTATTCGGCGGATGCAATAATAAAGTCTTTCTTCCTTTCTTTAACTTTCACACTGAGATAGGCGATTTCTGAGGAGCTGAAATGACAAATTAGGGGTCCATTATGCTTTCAACCTGATAACTGTATCGTCAATGATTTTGCCCTTGGGTAGCTCCATATCACGCAGGACGACGTCAGAGAAACTAGACTGAAATTATGGTCTTGGCGGTTACTTAGATGATTATCATGAGTTTGCTGCGTCTGGCAACCTACATGGATAGCTGCTACATTCGCCGTGACTTCCGTGCCATCACAAATTGTGAGCGAAGCCTAATAAAGCGCTTGTGAGTTAACATTTTCATTAACTACCTTGCTCCCACTGACAATTGACAACGCGCGTAAAAATTTCTCACGTAGTTCGGCACGAAGCCGTTGGTCCGCTGCATCACCCATCCCTTGAAGAAATCATAATAGTAACTACTAAGCACAAAAAACCAAACGTTGATCATATTTTACGCCGTCAGCCATTTTCTTTACGGAAATATTTATGCAATACTACAGCAAAAATCGTCTAAACATTTATGAGATACCAACAACGGGATACACGCAAAGTGCCATCATAAAGAAAACTCGCAACAACAATGTAAAACCATCGAGGTATAGCCACAGACAAACAACGGAAAAAGTCGGTGAAACCCGTAAGAAGTTTAGCGATTCGGATTGTAAATCCTCTTCTTGACACGCGAAATACGCCACTCGTTTGGATCCTAAAATCAAGGTTAATTTTGGAATGCATAGCCATACCTGGAATTTGTTGAACAGCGGATCGATCGTTTGGTTCCTCTTGAAGTTGGAGAGCTTCGTGTTGTCGCCAAACTTGAAGAACGACGGCGCATATTCAACCAACCAACGGGGATCGATTGCTGTCACCTAGATGGCTTTGATTCAAAAATAAATTTCATCATACCTCGCGCATATATTCCTTACTGGTCATCACCAATTCATGGTAGCACACCCATTGAGGCTGATTTTGGAAGAGCGAAGACGACGGATGGATATATACTTGTTGTCCATCGACCAATGTACGATAGCCTTCCTAAAAAAGAATGGTGCAAAACAAAGTAAAGGATACTTGAGGGTCACGCTTGGCGGCATTCCTGAAGAAACCAGAGCAGATCGCTTTTTGGACACGTTGAACATCCCGCCCACAGGAGACGACATCAAGCTTGTGCCTAAAGTGACGAGATCATCAACAATCTTAAGGATTCCGTAGGCGATAAAGTGAATTATGAAATGCATATATACCTGTCCATAATGCCAAGTAGCTGCTTCCTAATATCTTGTGCCCGTTTCAGTGCCCTTGCTTGAATGAAGTTTTCGAAACACCAGGGCTGTGAATAATGGTGTGACTTCCAAGAATTGTAGACAGCTAGTGCCGTCACGTGATCGCCTTCAGGTTGATGGAATTTGGCCTTCTTCTGGTCGGCCAACTCCGCTTTCTCCTAAATCAAATTATAATTTATGCGGGGATTGACAGCACCTTCGGTCTGTAAAAGACGTTCTGCGCGGAGAGCATGCTAACGATCGTCAAAACTTCATCCGAACATTGCAGATCCACCGACATGATCAATAACTTAGCCAACGAGGGCTCCAACGGAAATTCGGCCATCTGTAACTTTTGTTAAGCCGCCTGGACCGAATTAAGCTACCCGCCGTCCCAAACGCGTCAACAGTCCGTCGTTATCCAGAGCCGAAAGGGTGTGCAGCTCGTTGAGCGCGGTTAGCATGGCATCTAGAGGAGGCGGGTCCATAAAATCGAAGTCGATCAAGTTGTTAATTCCCATAGCCTAAAAATAGATTCTTTGTGGAATATGGAATCACCACACCTTTAATTGAAGTAACGTAGCAGCCAAGTTAGTTCTTTGGATTTCTGGCACCGGCATCGGTAACATTTCATCCCTGAAAAAAGGTTTACAGATGATCTGCCCAGGACTGAACGCGCCCATCAATTCAACAAAATGAACGAAACATCTGCTCCGAATTCCAAACATAAAAGGGTACCTGTATGCACGTTCGGTATAGAGGCGATAACATTTTCCTGGACCCGTTCGACCAGCACGTCCAGCCCTTTGTTTTGCGGCAGCTTGAGAGATCGGTGTGACCGTCTAAAACACGGTTTCAATCACCGATAGAGTCAAAATTACCAGAGAATCCATCCCGCTCTTAGGATTGTAGATCTTCTGTTTTACGAATCCAGGATCGACCACATAATAGATTCCATCGATAGTCAGGGAGGCTTCAGCGATATTGGTCGCAATGACGCATTTTCGCTTTCCAGGTGGAGCCGGATCGAAGATACGCGTCTGCATTTCAGATGGCAAAGCACCGTAGACGGGCAGGATGATCAACTCAGGAACCTACAAATACATAATAGCTAAATGTGGGATGCCGAGGATACCTTGCTACCCAATGACTTCATGCGTTCGTATAGCACTTCAGATGCGGTATCGATTTCTTCCTGACCGGTCAAGAAGACGAGAACGTCACCAGGAGGCTCGGTAAGATGGATTTGCATCACGGTAATCAACGCCGCTTCCATATAGTCCGGCTCAGGCTCTCTAAAAAACTTTTTAGTAATTTTCCACATGATCAAGCCACCCAAGAAAGAATCGGGCCATTCACGAAAGCTATACTTTTTTAGTAAAAACGAGTAGGTAAAAAAAACACACTTCGTATATAAAATCTCGACAGGGAAGGTACGGCCAGGGATCGTGAAGATCGGCGCCTCGCAGAAATATTCGGAGAATTTCACGGAATCCAGTGTAGCCCTAAACAGAAGTACGATTGGAGAAGATATTCTTACGAAGTGATAATGAGCTTGAGTCCCTTGCGTCTCCTGGCTGCTTTCTTTAGCAAGCCAAAGAGAACATCGGTATGGATCGTCCGTTCGTGAGCCTCATCAAGCATAATAAGGGAGTAAGACGATAGGTCAGGATCAACTAGGCATTCACGGAGCAGCATACCATCCGTCATGTATTTGATGATCGTATCGGGACTAAATGGCATTGTAGATTCGATTCGAACAAATATTACCTGGTACAGTCCTCAAAACGAATGGTGTAGCCGACCTCTTGGCCCAGTTTAACACCCATCTCTTCAGCCACGCGCTTAGCAACGGACATTGCAGCAACACGTCTAAATAACTGGGTTCAGCAATGAATCAGACAAATACCTTGGTTGAGTACACCCGATTCGCCCTCGCCGAGAAAAGCCGGCTTCAACCATGTATTGCGTCATTTGCGTCGTCTTTCCCGAACCAGTTTCACCAACTACGACCTATTTTCAGATAGAACAAAAACAACAGAGTTACTAACCAGCATAGGATGATCATATACGGCCTTAATAAGCTCCTCTTTGAAGTTGAAGATGGGAAGGCTTTCACGTTGTTCCTTGATTGTCAGGTTCGTGCGCTTTCCGTACGTCGCCTTTCCACCTTGCGTAACATACTTCATCCATTCGGGCATGTCCTAAATATCTCTAGTTCCAGCAAAATGACCAAAAATTACCTTCTGCACACCGCGCTGCCTTTCCTCACCCCGATCCTCGTAGCCAACCCTCTGCATAGGATCCAAGATTCGGGTTTTCGTTTCACGCACGGTCCCTACAAGTTATATGTTTACCCAAAGAATTATGTTGCATACCAGGGTCATCTTGATCCCTCTTCCGCTGCGCTTGAACTTTCGTCTCACGCCGCTCCTTCGACAAAGCACCCTAAAACCATGTTCGTCATCTATTCGATAAAGATACCTGCATAATAGCCGCTTGTGCCAAGCTTCCGTCCGGATTTTTCACAACCTTCACGGCCTCCACTTCCGAAGAATGTTTGCCGTAGCCCTAATAAAAAGGTGTGAAGATCGTTGACTAAAATCACCTTCAAGAAATCAGGTTCGTCTTCGACAAGTTCGATCTCCAAATCCTCGCCATCTGATTCATCTAAGACCAAGTCAAATGGGTTTCAAAACTTGCAAACCGTCATAATTTTTCAAAATGCCGCTGTCCTCATCGAAGTCCGGCATTTCCATGTGAGATATGGCACCACCACCGGCCATTTGTTGGAGCTCCCATCGCTCGGGCGTCGAAAGCCGAACCCGTGCTTTCTTTGCAGTACTAAAACAAACCGTAATCGTGTAAGATGCTTTCTTGCTACCTCGCATTAGCTGAATCCTCAGGATCTTCACGAACTGGAGCTTCCGGATTTCTCAACGAAACGCCGATGGCATCAGGGTTTATCATTTCCTAAATATGAATTCATGGATAGGTTTATTAAGCGAACCTTCGGATTCAAGTCTTCACCAGTATTTTGATCGACTTCTTTCATTGAAAGAGACAATTTGGGCCCTTCAATCTTCAGCACTTTGACTTTCACTCGTTGATTCCTCTGCAGAGCATCAGCGACGGCATTGACCCGTTCATTGCGGATCTGCGAGATGTGAACAAGTCCTTCTTGGCTCTGGCGCAAACCTTCCAGCTGAAGAAAATCATTTAGTTAGGAAATGGACTGGTATTAAATCGATTTTTAATCCAATCCATCACAGCATCGAATAAATCCAAACATACCTTAACGAAAGCGCCAAACGTTGTCAGGTTGTTGACCCGGCCATCCAGGATCATTCCCACTTCACAGACATCGGGAAGATTCCTTTCTCGACCACGTCCTTTTGAACGGGAACGGCTTCGTCTACGTCTACGATCGTCATCTTTATCACGGCCGCGTCGGTCGTCGCGATCCCTGTCACGGCGTCGATCCCGATCGCGGTCTCTGTCCCGATCGCGATCTCTCTCCCGATCACGATCCCGCTTACTATCCCCAAAAGAAACGTAAAGGTTTTGCTCAATAAATTAGTACCCGCGCTCCTTGCTCCTAGACCGCCTTTCCTCATTTTTCCGATCACGTCGATCTCTGCGGCTATCATCCCTTGACTCCGACCTGCTGGCTTCATCTGCTTTCTGAAATTTGGGTAAGAACCTCAAAATATGCTTACAGCATCTTTCCATTTTGGCATCAACCCTTCGAACTCGGCCATCAGATCTTTCTTTTCTTCCGGCTCGTCAGGCATTGCCAGCGCGGGTAGTCGTGCCTTGATCTCTTCTTTTGCATCAGAAATCTATACGAGTGAGTGTGCAAAATAATTTGCACTAAACTTACCAAAACAATCTTTTGGGAGGTCTGAGTGATGCCCTTCTTGGTCTTTTCCTTTTTCGGCAACATGTGGAGAATCATGCGCAGAAGATTAGCAATCAAAGGATCATCAAACTATAAAAATCAATCAATCAGAAATCGGAAATGACATACTTGATCCCCAAGGCCTTGCTCGTTCAGCGCTGTCTTGAATTTGTCGAAAGTCTGGGTCTGGCTCGCCAAGTCGATAATGAATTCCGCAACGCCCTGGAACATGAAATAAAGTAACTGCCAAAACCAAAAGTCGCCATAAAATGCAATAGCTTACCTTATCGGCTATCCCGAAATGGTTTTCCAATTCGCCGCATACTTTCGAGACGAGCTGAAGCCGTTCAAGGGCTTCTATCTCCATCTAAAAGCACGATAGAATCACCAAGAATCGAGATTGCGAAATAATAGAGAGAGAAATACGAACAGCAAGATACGTGCTTTGCATAAGACAACTTCCAAAAAATTTTTGAATTAAGTTCGAAACAGGCGCAGCCATTATTTCGGAAACAGCTACGTTTGGAAACTAAGCACAACGAAATGCTGTAGGTCGGGAGGGGTGTTTGGCTTACGTAAAGCATTGGATAGGCGAAAGTAGCAAGAAATGAATGAAAAAGTAGCTAAATGAGATGATCCTACCCTATATAAGTTTAGCCTTTCTAGCTGCGCGTCTGTGCGCAGCGATCACTTTTGAGGCCCAATTTGAGTGTCTTCCCCTGCCGAAAACTTCCTAATCCTTGGTTGCTTGGAGGAATCGGCCTTCCTCTTTCCCATGGCGTTTCAGCATTTCGAAAAGAAAGAAACCGAGCTATCGGAAAGTCGGATTTCTCATGCAAAACAGGGGGTCCAGACCCGCGAAGCGGGTTTTGGCGCTGTTATGGTTAATGAAATAAGAGAATGATGATCGTCATGCATGGTACTGAATTAGTGTAAGAGGACATGCTTTTTGCCAGAGTCACTTCTGAAAGCGGTAACAAAGGAAAGCTTTTTCTATAAGCACTGGACGTACCAACATTTCATGGACTCCTCAGAAATTGGATAAACTACCATATTTTAATAAAGTTAGGTACCATAGGCAGGTGGCGTACGGATTATGCGAGGGAATGGAAGGAAAACCTGGCGAAAAAGGAAAAGCCTTCATTTACTACTTGATTCGTCATACAGAACGGCCCGGCATCACGCGAGAAAACTGAAACGGAAAAGGCTCATTTTAGGAATTCTTCTATTAGGCTCGTTTTCTTTCTATTAGGTGATCGAGCCGTAGCTAGATGGCCAATTTTTAAAATTTTCAAAACTTAAAAAATTCAAGCTTTGCTCAGTTTTATAAAGTGATGCCCATGACCACACCGTTACTTTCGGGTCGGATGTAGTGATTGTCCAGACGAAGCGAAGCCGCAAACTCACCAGCTATTTGAAGAAGCCATGAATCAAAGCTGACGGGGTCGGAGAACAAAATTCGCCTGAAGAAGCGAGAGATATCCGATGTTTCCAATTTGCTATCAGCTTTCTGACAAGTGAGATTTCGAGTTTGCCGGGGGAGATTTGCATCCTGCAACTATACCTTCCGGCGCGGGCATTGCTAGCCCATGAAGTTTTTTGGTTTTACAGCAGCGGTATCTTGTAGCTCAGACTTCTACATGGGATAACATTTTCAACCCTGTTAAATTTCAGTTCTACTTAATTCAGGCATTTTGCTTTCTCGTTCTACAGGCGCATCGATCACAATTTTCCGCTGGTTTCGGCATTTTGAGCGACGTATCGCAGGACCCAGGTCGTCACACCATGACCAGTACTCTGAACGGATGGCACGAGTGAAAGGAGGAGACTCGAGACAGGGGAAGACAGTAGCCATTAGCTACTCCCTCCCCCCTTTCTCCCCCACATTTCTCTCATGCACAAACTATCAGCAGTCCCGCGCAGCATCAGCACTGGTTTCTCGAATTTTCCTCTGCCAACTAAAAGCTGCATATTCCAGTTGTTTTATCGGACACCAGCGCGCGGGGATTGTTTTTCGGGGGATTGATCAAAATAACGGGTGCCAGCCAGGATGTTCATTGAGGGAGCCAAATTATGTATCACTGATAGTGGATATTTTGAGGCGTTAATCAACGCTTGGCACCCGTTATTTTGCCCTTATCACTAGAAGGGATCGGCTTGTGACCGGGTGTCAGGGGTCCCACCGCCATGTTTGGAGGGGTTGAGTTTTTGGCGCTAGGGGCCGCCGTGGTGCGAATATATCTTTCAACTTTGGCCGTTTCTTTGAGATAAGCACTTACGCAGGTCTGTACGTGCCATGTGGTGCAGGACAGAACCTATATATGGTCTTCGTTGGTCAATTCGGCTCTTCTGATACTGTATTTTCGGTTTAAGGCTTCGATTGACCTTTGCTAACACATTGCCCTAGGCTTTCGGGTTTTTTTTCTGGGAGCTTCAAATTTTGCAAATATTCCTGTTTAGCCAGCATCGATATGCATCGGTAGTATGCGTCACTACATTGTGTTATGTTACTTGGTCGGGTTAGGACAAGCGACCCTCGTCGCTGAAGATTCACCGGGATACTATTGTTATACGGATGGGCATTTGCATACGGTAAGGCCTCACTAAGTATCTTTATAAATTAAAAATTGCATATACAGGTTGTTAGTTGTCATTTTACTGCATCTCATTCAATTAGGTACTCTTTTGCAAACCGGTCTTTTAGGATGAGCCCTGCCGTTTTTTTGCTGCCGTGATTGATGCGGGTTCCACTGGCACCAGACTACATTTATATAGGTGTGTATTTTTTGCGGAACAGCCCCAACAACAAATTATCAGGGCTGGCAGAAATCATCTGAACCTTTTTAGATTTATCCACAACACCCTTCCGCATAGCCTCCCATTTGTGACCGAGGAAGAAATTTTTAAAGAGGTACCCTATGTTTTTCATTTGGCATGAAGCTCGGCCATCGTAAGGGCGCTATGTATTTGGGGACAAAAGCATCTAAATACACATCGCCCGGGAAGCAAATAGAGAACTGGCATCGAAGATTAGGCCGAGACACATCATCTCGGACCAAGCTGCGAATAGTCGGAAATATATTAATTAAGTTAAGGTTAAACCTGGGCTATCGGGTTTCCACGACGATCCGACGGGTGCAGCAGCGTCTGTTCGGGAACTTATTGTAAAAGTGCATGAGACAATCCCACCGGCATTATGGATAAGGACCCCGATTGCTCTAAAGGTATTGGTGATTTATGGTATGGGTAGATGCATCCATCTGAGTTTAGGCAACCGCTGGACTTCGGCTTCTTCCAAAGGGGCAGGCCGATGCCATATTAGATGAGGTGCGGGCTGAAATTGACGCTTCCGGGCTATTCGTCGTTGAAAACGCAGTCGAGATACTTGATGGTCGCGATGAAGGGGTATTCTCATGGTTCACCCTCAATCTTCTACTCAACACTTTATTCTACAGTAGGGTTCCGATTGATGAAAAACCGGAACTTTTAGAAGCAAACGGTCTGCCGGCGGATCCGGAGCCACAGAGGACCGTAGCTGCTTTCGATTTGGGTGGTGGCAGTACACAGGTAGGCCGACTGAAACGAGAATGCTCATACAGATAAAATATCCTTCCAGCCCCGGATTCGGATTCGGAAAACGAAACTAAAACCCCCGATTATAGGTGACCTTCTGGCCGTCGGACGATTCACCATTCCGAGAAAACGCAGTCTTCCGGAAAAACATCGCCTTTTTCGATACAAATATGCAACTATTTTCACACAGGTATCAAACTTTTGTTTATTTTACCATTAGTACAGTTTCCTTGGTAACGGCTTACTTTCTGCTCGGCTTGGAATCCTACAGGCTAGTACTCGCAAACAGCCAGGATTCGATGATAAGTTCTTTACCCCATGCATGCCGGCAAGCTTTGCAATTCCTGGCTGGGAATACGCGTTAAAAGCATGGAAAGTTAGGTAAGTACGGAGTAATCTAGCATCAGGATAATTTAGTGGTACTCCCCAATATTCCTATGCAAAATGCGCCGAAACCGTCAGGAATTTTGTCCGACAGAGTGCTATTGTTGAACTGGATTATTTGAAAGGTATGTGGGGCCTGATTAAATGCCTTTTTATTTCAAACCAAAATATTATGCAAATTCAGCAGTTTCTCACAAAACACCGTTCGGGCAATTGAAAGGTGAACAAGCATGCCTCACGTTTGTTAATAGCTTACATCCACCCATACAACCCTTCTCACAAAGAAATAACAACGCGCAATTATTGCCCGCTCAGACGTAACCTACACTTTAGGGCGGCCTGTCTACCTCTTCTCGTATTTCTTTGATCGCGCACTAAATTCCGGTATTGTGAAAGACTCGTCGGGAGGGCGAACCACCGTTGTCGCATTCGAAAAGGCTGCGAAAGAGGGTTTGTCTAGCTATTAACGTGCGGATACTAGAAATCCACAGTCCCTTCAACGTCGGAGTACCGTCGCCAATTTAGCGTGCCTACGCGATGCAGCCATGTTGGAAAATGGTGCCCACTGGCTACCCTGGCAGTGCATGGACCTTGTGTATATCTACTCGTTGCTCAAGGATGGCTACGGATTCTCAGATACGCAGCCACTTGTGGTACGTATACGTTCATGATTTGCTTCTTGACTAAAAGTGTAGCTTGCAAAAAAGATGCGAGGGATGGAAGTTTCGTGGGGACAAGGACTCGCTTACACACTGGCTCACGTTTTCCATCAAACAGCACTGCCTGATACAGCAGGTAAAATTGAAGTAAAGCTAACGAGAACGATGCTATTTCGCACAACGTGATTCTGTTCTAGGTCATCAAGTAAATGGCACAGGATCAGTCATCGTCGACCAATTCCTGACCATCATCGTTCAACGAACCGATTATATGCTTCGCTATTTCAATCTCATCTCGTAGGCCCCGCTCCCATCGATTATGCACTGTGATCAATTACGTGTACCCGGTCCAAAAAACAGGTTTCCGAAACCGGTCTTGCCGACATAACAGGCTCAATGACGTATTTGGTGGCTCATGGTGGAACCTCAGCGCTACAAGCAATTCGCCATCCGACATACAAGAATGCTGACATATGGTGACTAAATAAAGTTCACACGTAATAGCTTTCAAAGCTCGAAACCAGTAAAAACAAAAATTTTATTCGTGCTTGATCCGTACCCAAAAGCTAACCGAGTAATACAGAATTTCACAGAAATTAGGACAACACAAAAAAAAGAATTGTTGAATCCATCCTAAAAAGGGGGGATTGTCTACAAGTAATAAGCAAAAATGTGAGTAGAAGAAGATCACAACTAACGGATTTGGCAAGTTTCTAGGCTGTAGTTGTACAAATCCTCGCAGGCATTGTCGTCCAGTGCCAGTGGGTTTTCAGACTTGATGGAGCAGTCACTAAACACTTTTGATCGTAAAACAATTAAAAAAACCTGAAGTATTTCCCGCTAACGCCTTCAATTTTCTTGGAGAGGGAAAGGTAGAGCGGCGTTTGAGCACCGTCACGAGCCGTTTTCGTGAAGAACCACCTAAAATAAACGTAATTGGAGAAAAGTAAAACATACATGAAGGGGCGCGAGATTTGCTTAAAAGGCGGCTTCGAGAGGAAAAAGTTGCGTCCAAGTTCGGTATCGACGGCGCCTAAACAATAGATTTTTCCAATCCGCAAAAAGTACCCGGATGGCAACTATTGATGATCACGTTGTGAGTGCCTTCCTTCCGCAACCGGCGCGCCAGTTCCCTGGCATGCATAACCTAAAACAATTCTTGGATATCGCCATAAAAGACTAGAACGTTTTCCAAGAGGAAACCCGGAAAATGTACAAGATTACCAACGTTAGCTAATTTGCTGCGGTTGTAGGGAGCCACAAAGCCGAATTGCTTCTTATCATCAATCGTCGAGATGTCGATGCGATCAGAACGAAGGTGGAGCATCGATGACAAGTTGACAATGCGGGCTTCCGAAGCCTTCTTCAGCGTTGGGAGCAGCAGTTCAGTAAGTAGGAATGGACCTAAGCCAAAATAAAACCCAACGAGGAAAACAGACCTAGGTGGTTACATTGCCAGTGCATCTCGTGTCCGTCCACCGTCTTCTCATATTTGGGGTAGAACATGATGCCCGCATTGTTGACAAGAATGTCGATCCCAGACTCCTCTAAAACACGAGAAGTTATCATATCCGATTCCCAACGACAAGAAAATTTGTAAATTAAAATTTGCACAAAATCGGGCGGGGGCTAAAGCGCCAGTCTAGCTAGCTCAATAACAATCAACTGATAAGCCAATATTTCGGTCATGGCGAAGGGTGTCAAACTGAGCCAGTTTCGAGTGAGAGTGTTTGTCCATAGTGACGCCAAAACACGCACTCTTCAACAATCGATCCACGCAATTTCGGATACTGGAAAAGTTGGCCAGGTCGCAAAGCTCGACGATCAAGCGAGTCGGATCGCATCCCATCTGAAAAGAAAGTATAATACTACACGCGGAGGTCAGTCTCTTAAAGATTTTTTAATACAGCCTAGATGATGCATCAAGCGCAACCAAATATGAAAATCTTCAAAGCGCCTGCGAAGTCTAAGCTTCGATCGCTACTATTAGGATCGAAACTACTTGCAGTCCTATTTAGTTCGGTCGTCGCCGGGAGTTACGCTGGAAAAACCGCCGCTAGCGTAAGTGCTTCAAAAGTTGCAAAAACCAAGCGCTTTGTAGTTCTACGACCGGTACCAAGCCTATTTGTTTCACATCAAGGAGATGACATATCAATATGAATAACAACGAAGCGCCCCTAGGACCAAAATGCCGCGGAACCAATAATAAACAAACTTACGTTCACCAATTTTAATCGACCTTCCAAAGCTCTCTTCTCATCCCGGCAAAGCATGTACACCTAACATTAAAGTTGTATTTCGGTGTAAGAAAATACCTTTGCTTTGCGTAGATTCAATTCCCTCGCTATCTCTAGTCCAATTCCAGTGTTAGCGCCCGTAACAACGGCCACTTTCTCCTTCGCTGACGCCTTCTCGGTGAACTGCTTTCCTTTGAAGTAATGCCTAAAAGTTTAATTAATAAACTACACTGTATCTACCTCAAAACCACCAAGAAAGCAGCGAGCAACGCCCCGTACAGCACCAAACCGGTAAACGAGGACGTTTCATCGCCGTCTTCCATCTTCCTAAAACGAAAAAGAGTTACGAGTCAGGACAAGGAACATCGCATCAAATTGGAAAGAGCTGGAAGGCGATAAGCATTGGAAAGTTGTGCCCAATAGATGCGGGGCAGTGGGGCAAAGGCTATGACACTACCCTCTCACAAACAGCCCCCACAGCTGTTCTCTCGGGTTGTGGTTTGTGAGAGAAAACAAAGAGATAGAGAGAGAGAGAGAGAGAGTTCCTGCAACCCTAATAAGATTTTGATTAATTTAACGATCAGTTCCGGTAACTATTCATAATTGGCCAGATTCGGAGAAGGGAGTACGCAATGATCTTTACGCAAAGAAAGCCGTACAATTTCTAAATTAATAAGGAATATGGGATTGGGATGACAAACGAATTCGAAAAAAGACGCTAGAAAAATAGAAAAGTTGTTTAATGCGAGAATTGCTAAAAAAAAGCGAAATTTCTCTGGTTCGAGGCCCTGCGGGTTCGTCATCAGGTGTCACCCGTTCTATCGCATCAATATTTACTACAGTAACGGGGGCGCTAAATAGATATCGACCAAATTAAGCTTATAATCCAGCGACGAAGATATTTGTAGTCTTTTAAAAGTGATTTTTGATAGCTTACCCGCATAAGGACAAATTACGAACTGTTACACACAAATTTTATCAGAATTATGTAACCAGTGGGACTATGGGGGGTAAATTCAACCATTGGTCATTTGAAAGGTGATAATGGCTTTTTAATGGCAGGCATGATTTGCAACAATACTCGAAGAAAACATCTGGCACAATTTGTATTTGCCCTCTCCCCCTGGGACATCCGAACCGCTCCGCAGAGTACGCCGCGGCATTTTCCCTACGTAACACATTATATTGGCGAGAAAAGTCAGTCCCAACAATTCTAGGGCTAGCATATTGCCTTCTTTTACAAAATTCCCTGGTTCTATCATTTGTTGCGCTTATCAAGGAAAAGCGTTTTAATAGCATCACAGGGCCATGATCTCCTCTTTCAGTTTTATATAAAAATTGATTAAATACTGGCCAAAAGTGCTAATTTAGATCGGTATGGCTTTTTATGGGTCACCCGATTACGAACTGGCCTCAATGTCTTCCGACTCACTGCTTCCGCAGCGGAATCAGGTCTTTGTAAACGGCGGTAAGTTCTCTTAGCTGATCGTATTTCTTTAATTAAAATTTAAAATGTTGCGAGATCGCTTCTAGACCACATGCATATTCCAGATTCGAAGGCCGTAGGCGATCCGTTAGCCGAATTTGAAATCGAATTGAAGAGACGCCGCGATCTCCGACTCGGCCGAAGAAAGTAAGTATGACTGAAGACTCACACACTATTGTCGAAATTTAGGAATGAAGCCATGGATTCAAAGGACGACAAACGAATCAGTCGAGGGCATTCATCTAATTCCCTAACCAACAACACGCTTAGGAGCAACGCCAGCACAACTCGCAGACGATCGCGATCCCGGAAAAGGTGAGTGCGTCATCCACAATCCAATCATACTGGCAGGGAGTTTAAATCTTCTCAAGCAAGCTTTAAAAAATTCATTAAAATTGTGAGGATTTCTGGCGCGGCTATGTCCATAAAATTAAAACAAAAGCTAGACGCAAACGCTTTCTATTTAGAACCCGGACCCCATCTCCACGTCGTGAACATCAACGACGTCAACCGGAACGAGCTAAAACGGAAGCTCGCCGTCAGGAAAAGAGTGTAGAAAGGCGAACGCATCCAGTGGCCAGTTCTTCTCAAGGGCCATCCAGGATAGTGGAAAAAGGACAATGTGAAGATACCAGGTAGCGGTTAGCTCTGCAGGGATCGGAACTTCGCATTGCTGAATGTGTTTTTAGCTAAGTTTAATCTGTATTTCAGATGGCCTTGCATCGAATGTGCTCAACTACACCAACCTGGCGAGGCGCACAATATGCTCCGCCTAAGGAATATGGTCACCGTAGCCCCTATTCTTGAGGTATCTAGCAGTACATGTCGATCCTAGCACCTTCTAATCTCTTCAAGTGCCTATTGTTTTTAGAAGCAACTCTCAGTCACTCGATTGCCAGCCAGCCAGGGTGATTATGTGCAGTTCAGAACTGTAAATGACTTGAATGGATTGATGGGAGTCATGCTTGGCTACACACCAACCCTCGATCGGGTTAATTTTCAGGCAAGACAAGAATTATTGTAGAATCACGTTTTTAGGTATTAAACACCGGCCAGATAGTAAGCCTGACGGTAGAGGAATTTACTATCGTCACCCTCGACCATTCAAAGGATCCTTCTAGACTAGAGTTCATCCAAGCGTATGCTATTAAGATGATTTTGATGTTGAGATTTAGGCTTATGAAGATGAAAGCGCGTCAGCTTAGCGCGATTCAAACCACACCGATCAGGTTGAACTACCAGAAGTTAAGACAAGATATAACCTATATTTAAGAGCATTACCATCCGGTTCAGAAGCTAGTCACAAAGAATTCACGCGATATAAAGTGAAAAATGGGACGGAATGGAATGGCAGCTTAGAAATGTTTCCACATTCGGCGGACTTTGATGAGAGTCAAATTGTGCAACTGGATGCGGAAGCTGCGCCAACAAGAAGGTTTTGCTCAGTCATATAGGCTCATTGTTTTGCAGGATCGTTCAAAAATCAAGTCGAGGTGAGGGGTTGATGATTCGGATCCCGAACTCCCACAATCCCGAGATGAGCGAGTTGGACAGAAAGGAGCGAGAGTTGATGGCAAGGATTGCTGCACTCGATCAACAGTTGGGGCTAAGGAGATTCAAGATATGAATTTTAGGATCGCCGAAGCGACAGGGGAGACGTTGCCTAGATTTCATCGAAGAGGAGAGCGTGCCAAAAGTCCGTTAATGGTGCGACGGCACAATAGACGCGAATCGCCTCCACGACGTCTTGTGGTTAATCCACATCGTAATCATCCGGACATTTCACCGCAAAATCGATCGCCTATGGATCGTTATCGGAATCGGTCCCCTCCAATGCGTCGGAACGACAATACCCAACATTATAGGAGAAATTCTATACGGGAAGATCGTCACTCTAGAGAAAGATATAGTCGTGAACTTTCCCCCGTTCGTCATAGACGCGTGGAGCGTAGACAAAATCGTCTTTTTTAACACGTTGTTGTTGTAGGTTATCGCATTTTCTCACCATTGGCACTTGTTGTAGCCTTTGGGCCAGCGGAATTTTCTCATATTGTTGGCTTCTTAAAGGCGCTAGTTGTCATTCTCATGCGGGTTCCTGAGGTTTTATGGATATGAATAAAATATATTTTTACCAATACAGGAATATTTGTACTTCAACACTTAACGAACGGCCGTGTAGAACAGGGCGCATCTATGATTGACTAGTAGCCAAGCGGAAACGCTATGAAAAAAAACAGAGCGAGGGAGATAGAAAGTGAGTGAGAGAGAAAAAGAGAGAGAAAGAGAGAGAGAGAGAGAGAGAGAGAGAGAGGGAGGGAGGGAGAGGGGGGGAGAGGTAGCGAGAGAGAGGGGGAGGGAGAGGGAGCGAGATGGAGCGAGAGAGCCAAGCAGGAGGGGGTAGAGACATCCTATGTAAAGTTTTAAAACTAAAACCGGCTTGCAACTAGTTTATGCGAGCCTTCCTGATCCCTTTAGCCCTTAACTATGAGAAAGCGGGTAGAGTGTTGAGTTTACGTTCAATTGCTGGTTGATTGCGATAACATGAATATTTATTTGATGAACGCCATATACGTTTGAAAACGTTTCATTTGGGATGTTTCTCCGTTTCCTGCGCTGCTATCCGATCTTCTTCTTCAATCTGCTTCAAAATCTCTTCTTCCCAGTTGCGTCTTCTTCGTGGTGCTCGTTCTTCATCATTTTGACCCTCTACTTGTCCATCCTCTGAATAACATCGAGTTACAAGGGTCTGAATGGGCCTTCTACGCTTTTCTAACTTACCGTCTTCAACAACCGTAGACGGCGTACCCAACCTGTGCTGGCTTCTCCTCCGTTTTTCCTGCGCAATTCCGGTAAATAAATCGACAACGATGATATCCTAGAATCGGAATTGAAAGCCACATTACGGAACTCACAGAGGTTCTTGAAGCTGTTCTTGGTTTGATAACAACCACATTACGAACCTCCACCCAATAAATGCCATCTTGGGTTTTTATATTGTTCATGTAACGGCAACATCTATAGATTTTGTTTAATTTTCCTTCCTTAGCCCACTTCTCAGCCAAATCCAAGGCAAATCCTCTGACATGCGGCTCCATCATTTTCCAGCGACCCTCCTCAAGCTCCTTTTCCACCTTAGACAATTTTGCTGTAAAAAAAATAAAACAATTACGCTGGGGGGTGGAAGAACCCGATTCTCCATTTCTTCAACAATCGAGGCCGAACGGCTTAGTTTACGTACCAGCTTTCCTGAAACTTAATATTAGCTTGCTCCGAGTCCGATTGCCTTTTTTGGTATTTCCATTGACGTCGGTCTTGGTTTTCTCGGGTTTTTCTTCGCTAAAAATGATGATTTGGGTGAGTACATTTTTTGGCTGACCTTGCTGCAGGCTTCGCCGCCTCTGGCTTTTCCGCTCGCTCCCGCTTGACATCGACGGCTTCTTGGATGTGAAGCCACCCACCCTGAAGATCAAGTGATCATACAAAGTATCTTAGTGCTCCACATCTAATTGATATTCAAAATATACCTTATCTCTTAAACATTTGCATGCCGTCATCCAGAATGGCTGTGATGACGGCAAAAGCGCGATATAAACCCGATCAGCTATTCCAACAGGAGCCATCTGTTATTGAAAAGCGTAATTGCCGCGGGGGCTTTCACCTACTTTTCGTGCTTCACCATGATGAATGGAGACTTTGTCATCAAGTCCATTAGCTGTAGTCGTTCTTATCAGTGCTTCAACAGCATCGTCATCCCATTCTACAGCATGCACATGCTTTGCACCACCTAAAACCGGAGTCGCTATTTTTATTCAACATCTGCCCACTTTTGGCGGCCCAGGGGAAAGTGAAGTAGCCGAGACCGGCCATGAGATTTACCACCACCTAAAGCTCTTGGTTCGTTTCGATTGTTTGCTGTAATTTGATCCATTTTCGTGAGATACTGTTGGGCTACTATCCGTACTTGCAAATGGGTTTTTTTAACAGACTCGTGGAGACATGGATCTTCGCTGTATAAAAACTAGCACGGAAACAAACACCTTGAATCTACCTCGCCATGAGCATCCGTTTGCGAGATTCGTGCCATCTCTTTTTGACGCCAAATTTCGAAGACTTTCTTGGAAGCATCGTAGACGAAGCGGAACCCGGACTCGTCAGAATGTTCGATCCATCCATGTCCACCATATAGCACATCGACATGTGGGGTTCGTTCTTCATCATTTGCAATCAGCCTTTTTCTTCCGAGTCGTTCTATAGATAAAGCACGAGCGACGATTTCCCAAAGTTCACGACCTAAAAATATTTTGATTGTTGGTGGTGCAAAATTTTGATTATTTGCTATTTGCGACCAGGAAAATGGCAAGAACCAAATGTTTTATCGATTGACGCTTTTTAATCAGATTTTTTAGAGGCAAACCAGGGTTGAAAAGCCGCTTCGCGACTTTTCAACCCTGGCCCCGTCTGATCCGATGATATTCTGCCCTTTGCATAATGCTCACGAATTCCCTTGTCAAAAAAATTAAACCGCCCCTCTCTCGCATTATATAGGCTACTTCCACTTCCGGTGTATGCTAATTGATTCCTAACAAAGAGGATCTCCGATTTTTCATGAAAAACTGAATTTAAATGTCGAAAACAGCTTATTTTCTAAAAATCTGATATGTGTGCAGGCATCGCAGGGCCATTACGCACCTAATGACATATCAAACGTACCCATCCCTTCTTCCCCTATCGAGATACGACTGGAACATAGGGACGGAAGTTGCATGCAAATGCACACACACATAGACACTATTTTTTTTATATATAGTAGGATTACGGGCTCCCCCGCAGAAAAAAAAGATGGTAATACTGACCAATCAACCTCCAATTATTATGTTGGAATGCGGTTTGTGGGAAAACAATCATATTTCCGTGTTTCTCCCATTTCTTTGGGAGATCCCGTTGCATATCGTCATTCCATAATCCAAGTTCTAGTGCCCGGCGGCGCACCTGAAATTGTTGAAGGGAAGGATGGTGGTGTGCAAGAAACCCTACCTCTTCCAGCATAGCTCCAAAAGATGATGACAGTGACATTTTTGTGTCTCCAGAAGCTGGTCTTTCTGAAATGATGTATTGAATTGGTTCGAAAGGGTAGAAATGCCTTTCAACCTCGCATCTTGTGATTGGGTTGATGCGGGTTTCGGCTTCGCGGCTTTTTGGGTTGTTGAGGAAGACATATCTGCAAAAATAATTGATTAGAAAATCTAAAATTTGAGTCAGAATTACTTTTGAAAACGAGTATAAATCAAGGTACGCCTCACTAGCTAGTTAATTGGCGATAATTTTATAAGAAAAGGATAAAACTCTTGCAGAAATCAACAAAGAAGGAACGCAATAAATAATGGCATCGGATGAGAGGTGTGAACGGGGATAGGTTGATCGGTTGTCTGCCGTACGGGTGAAAGGGAGAAATGAGAGGATGTAGGCGGGTATGTGGGCCCTCAACCTGGGCCACAAGATGGGCCACATCCCTCTAGCCGACCAAGAAGCCTCCCGTACACAAGACAGAGACGGACTATTTGATCAGACGTTTTCCCCCAATTCTCTTCATTTCCGTAGTCCCTCGGCCGTTCACTGTTTTCCTTCCAAAATGCCCCGGATCTCGCAGTGGAGTGCGTCCGGACCCGGCTGGACCCAACGACTAAGCTCAATCTCTAGGGAAAGCTTCTGGTTGATGAGAGTCATTTTTAAAAGGTCTTATCTTTTTTTATTGCGTATTCCCAGTTAGATTCGCCAAAAGTGTATTTTATCAATTCCTCATTGAATACAAGAGGTCGTATTCTTGTTTTGATTGCGAAAACGAAACGATGGGCATGGGAGGAAAAGTCAAAAATGTATTGAATGCAAAAAAGATCGCAGCGAGCAGGATTCGAACCTACGCGGGCGGAGCCCATTTGATTTCGAGTCAAACTCCTTAACCACTCGGACATCGCTGCATGGGGATGGAGAAAAGGGGATGGGTATAAGAGGGGTCAGGACAGGCTGGGCCCTGAGGCAATGGTAACGGTGCTAATGATGCCTGAAAATGAGCTTCGATCGCTCGAATCCTGCAAGTAACTTTTCAAGCACATTTTAAGCCGCATTCTATCAAGATACTTTGAAGACCCATATCATTTTTGCTTACTGGGTCTTGGCGCCAATACTATTTAGAAAAATAGTATTATCATCAAAAAAGAATCGTTTTTAAAAACAAACAAAAGTGCTTATGGGACAGGAAGTCAGCGCCGGCAGTATTTACGCGACACGATCCGGAGGCCGGGTTTAAACCGCGCCCGGGTTGGGTGACAGCTGGCGCATCGCAAGTGGGCACTCCCGTTTTTTGTACATTGTTTGCAAAGTGACCAGCCGAGAAAGAGTATTTATTACGAAATTGTACGGATTTGTCCCTTAAAAATATGGCTCGTAATAATGATAATAACAATAATGTTATAATAATAACAACGAGATCTTCGGAGAGGGGTACCCGTGGCAAAGGGAATGGTTTCAAATTATTGTCTATTTCCGTCTTGGTTCGCATATTACTTGAATTTCGGGAGTAGATAGAAGTGCTGTGGAATTTGTGAGTGGAAGTGCCCACTAAACAAAATAAATAAATAAATATATAATTTGTAAAATTTTTGTGTATTTTTTGTCGACCAACCTTTGAATTTTCCGGGAGGCGTAAAGTAAAAACGGATAATGTCCGGGCAATGGCTATCTAAAGAAAATGACAAAATGCCATAAATTAGTTCAATAATATATACCTTAAATTCCATTTGCGCAAAACGCATGCCGATGCAGGATCTTGGGCCGGCGCCAAATGGAAGCCAAGCAAAGGGGTTAGTTGGCGCGTCGAGGAATCTAAACTTTATTGTAGGGATGACCTCTTTAATTTGATAATGGTAATATTCAAGTGAAGTAACGAATGAAAAACACAGACCTTTCTGGGATAAAATCATTAGGTTTCTCCCACACATCACTACTCCTCAATATATTCCAAATTGGGATGCCGACTTGGGTTCCTCGGGTGTACAGTACACCTCCGATTTCGCAATCCCTCGTGCAGGTGCGGTTTACAAAGCTGAAAAGGCTGCGTTAGTTTCTTAGAATTTGCCATTTCTATTCCAAACTTACAATGTAATAGGCGGAAATAGACGGAGCGCTTCTTTATATACAGCATTGAGGTACGGTAGTCGCATTACCTACCGAGAGACAGATTTTCGCCGAATATAATTTTTGAAAAGAAGATCGCAGTTCGAACCTGGTCATAATATTGATGAATCTGCTCCGGATCCGGCAAAGCCATCAGCTCTTCATACAATTTTTGCTGAACATCAGGATGTCTGGCCAACAGCCACGTTGCAAAACCTAATAATAAGCCCATAATGACATTAAAAACGTCGAACCGAGTGCCGTGGATGTTGTTTCATATCCTGCCAAAAGGAAAGCGAAGCCATTATTGACAATCTCTTCTCTCCCTAATCCCGACGCTAGTAAAATTGAGATTACGTCCGGCCGCGACTGTAATTAGAATAGATCGTTACAAGGCAACTACTGAAAAACCGTATCCCCGGTTTGCATCCTGTGTTCAATCACTTGGGAGAGAGTATACGCCAGCCACGTCTCTGATCTGAAAAGCTTTTTGGTTATTTTCCCAGCTATGAGGTATGACCTGCCAGCGTCACTGATGCGGGTATGAAGCCATTCACAGATTGGGGCAAATTCGGGGATTATTACTGAAAACAGAAATATTGTCAATTTTGAATTTCAGGTACCAGAGAGTGCCATAAGGGATGAATTTTCGGGGCTGGGAAGTTGACGGAAGTAGGTAGCTGCGTGGAATGCAAATGGGCAATCCTCAGCTTGGAGGCAGTCAGACGATAGTCCAAAAGCACATTCCGATATTACTGATAGTGTTAATCGTTTGTAGAGGCTGAAAAAGAATATTTTGATTGTCATTTTTTGGCTGGCGGTATTTTCTACGCCGTCGATAGACATGCGGCGTGCGCGTTTCGTATCGCCATCGCGACAACCCAGAGTTAGATGTAAATCCCCTCCTTCGAAACCTTATTTTCACCTGCACTCACTCATAAATGTCGAATGCCTGCCCAGATCGAGCATTACGGTGAAGTAACGTCGATAAAATATCCATATGCTTGTGCACCGAATGGCTCATCTAAAGCAAGTTTTACCAACCCGCCCTATACTTACAGCACGAATCTTTGCCGTTGAGAAAGCCGGTGATAATTGAGCTCTAGAATGACGCCATCTCTTTCCTTTCTGGTTGATGATCGCATTTTTAAGGGAGTCTGACAGGAAATCCATTTCCTAAAAAAGACGCTTTTTACTATTTTTTGGTACTTTACCATACCTGTCGGTCTGTGAAGCATTCAAATTTCTTGACAAGGATTTCCTTTGCGTCATCCACATCTTCAGTGATGATAAAAAGCTTTGGACCCATAAATATTCCATAGCGAGGCCCGTAACTATCTCGCAATTGCTCGAATACGTTGTATAAAAGGCCACCATTCTAAAGTATACTAATAATAGAACGACTTTTGATGAAACCTTTTTCATAATTCGGCCAATTAATGGTAGATTTCCTAATAATAATGTTGGATCGGGTCCACCAATTCGATGTCTGCCCCTGGCCACCATCTTTCGATATCGGGTCCTAAATAATAAAGTTAGCTATGTCTCCTTAAGATGCTAAATTTCTCTAATTCTTTCCAAAGTGTCCAATAGTCCGTGTTGTACTTTAAAAGATTCCTCCGCGTCCAGTCATCGACTGGTTCGCGGATTTCGGAACGTTCGGAAAATATTGTCACATGGCAGGGTGACAAAAATAACCGGCCGAACACGGACGGCTGTATCACGCAAACAATCATAGACGAAATGTGCTGACTTGGCAATCAAGGAACAGTGATTACGGTAATCAATCAAAATTTCGGGTAGTATGATTCGGCCGGATTTTTATATGCAGCAGTTTACTCACATTAACAGGTAGGCGAGACCGATGCAGATGAGACCCATAAGCCATGTGCTCAGAGTTCTGAAAAGAAACGATTTTACAAACCATTTGCGTAATTTGTAGCTAGAAATTAATTTATAATAATTTCCGACTAATTTTAACTGTAAATCTGTCCGCACGCTAGCTTTAGGAACTTTTGTAAGTTTGAACTTTGAACACCCGTTTTTGAACGGTTCTACGGGGGGTGATTCCCGAGTACTCATGCACCGACAATCCGTCTAGTCACAGAATCCGCCAATCACTCATCCCATCAACCACTAACACCCAAAATAGGACCTCGCGATATCCCCCAAAATCCATGACCACCTAGAGGGCGGCCAACATCCCCCACCCTACCCCCTGTCAACCACGCGGGTACACAGACTAACCCCCCAAAAAACCTAATTTGATAAATAAAACCGGACAGCTGCCCGAGACCGGGTAATGCTTTTAAAGATACCTAGGGAATACGGTCCGTTTGGGCGAAGGGAGATTTGTGGGGGAAACGCCAAAATTGAGACATTCAAAATCCCGACAGCCATAACCCCGACAGTAAATCCCGACAGCCAGAAACCCCAGATTTTAAAACCGTTTATGGGCAAATCGACCGCAAATACAAATTATGGCTGTCGGGATTTTGGCTGTTTGGATTTTGAAAGTCGGGATTATGGCTGGAATTCTTTTTTGTAGCCTGAGGGCGATCGTGAATTTTTAGAAAAAACTTTGGTCTTACGATCGAATCCTTGAGAAAAATAGTTGTTCAAGAAAATGGGCATGTGAGTAGTGGTGTGGAGCGTGATCTTGAGAAGATTTATGGGGGCTGGAACTACGGATTCGGAGATCTCTTGCGGGGCAACAAGTTTCAAATGGTTTGATTTTGTCGACAAATAAGATCGACTAAAACATGGTTTTAGCGAGTAATTAAGATTGTAGACGTATTCAGAGAATTCTGGCGACGACGTATCGTCATGGCTAGGAAAATTAAAGAATTCTGGTATTAAAGCTCGCACACAGTTTCAAATATTTTCGCACACAGACTACCTGACTTCCGGTGCATGCTAACTGCTTTCTAACAAAAAAAGTGACTAGAACAAACTTAATGTTAAATCGCGAAAATGATGTTTGCGCAATAACCAGATTCTAGTCCATTTTACACCTAATGCCATTTCTCCCTTACCCCAACCAAACTCAAAGTTTTATACACATACACTTATTTATCTATATTCTAGGATAAAAACTGTTAAAAACTCTAAATTTTGGACTTTGAAACTTTTAAAAAGTCTAAAGTTGTTGACTTTGACCAAAAAGCAAAAAATTTTGCATGACCGGGGAGTCGAACCAGAGACCCTTTGCTCAAGAGACCAACTACTTATCCACCACACCACTCGGCCGGCGGATCCTTGGATTCGAAGGGGACTGATAAGGGAAGGGGGTATTTTGTTGCAAAACTTAAAATGCTCATAACTTTTTGTATTAAGCGTTTAGCAAATTCTGATTGCAGCTTCGGAATCCCCGACGCCAACTCGATCAGACCCATATTTTTGCTAAGCGGTTTGCAGGGTTTTTTATTTGCACTTCCCTAGTTAGTTTGCGCTATTTATTCCAAAACCCACATAATAACCGCCATTCCAACCGTTGTTTCAGCACTACCATAAACCTGGGCTGCGGTAAAATTACGGTAGAATGAGATAGCGTGGTGGATCGGGAGGAGATAGAGATATCAGCGGGGGAAGGGATAAAGATGAAAGAAACGGAATGAATGATCGGGTCTCTATATAGGAGTTGGGTCCGGGTGCGGCTGCACCGAACGGACCGTCCCTTTTTTGGCAAAGACGATGATATCCCCCTTTCCATTTTGAGAAGCCGCTGTCGGGTTGTGACGCTGTCACCTTGTGCTCTCCGCGGTCCATTCTGTATCAATACTCAATGAATGGATTAAAGATACCTCTCTTCTATAAAGAATAGTTGCCGATACCAGCACAGCTCCTCGCGAGTTGGGGAACTGTATGTTTTTCTCGAGCTTTAGGTATCAGTCAAACCTCCTTACAGAAGCGGAAGAACTACATAAATAACTGTATGCTGAAATAAATAGAAATAGTGTTGTGCTTATTACTAATAAGCTTAAAAGAGCGTGTTTGATCGCCGTTTCAAAATCTTTCCAACGGCGTAAAATTCATCCCGATCGAGTGTTGTATTTTGTGACACCGGCTACAGTAATCCTGAAACCGACGGTATCATGCCATTATCGGAATCGCGTTCCAGGAATTCTAAAAAATGCGATATTTTATGAGTTATAGGTTGCGATTAGGGGATAGAATTCCAGGTTGTTGGGGGAGAGTGGTTGACAAACGATGTTGCAGTGCTTTTGCCGGGACAACGGTGCAGCAAAGATGATCTTTCTCGTACGGTAGTTGCTGCGAGATGTGAGGAGCTGGAGAGATACCTTTGGTTGTGGACAGTTCTCGATTATTTGTACGTATTGTGTCATCGGGGAGATCCTCAAAATATGCGTTTTAAAGGGTATGGTAAGTTTATGAATTTTCTTACTTAGGGATTACCTATAGATTTTTACGACTTGCATTGAAACTCATAACCCGGCTTTGCCCACCCCCTTTAATTTTACCTTTAGTTTAATAAATTGGTTATTTAAGTAATTTTACCGTATATTCTTGAATGCATTATATATTACTATTTACGCATAAAAAAGTGTAAAAATCCGTGCAACTTCCGTCAGGAGGCTCGGTGATAGGTGAAGTTCTGGGCCGACATCAGACCAAAAAAAGCCGTTTCAAAAAAGCTCTAATTTCGCTATAAAATACCTTGTAAAAATTTCGGCAACCCCTCTTTGTGAGAAAGCAGTTAGCATACAACGGAAGTGGTGGCAGCCTTTTAAAAGGGGGAGAGGACGCGCTTTTGCAGTTATTGTCATGTGCATCCAGGGGGAATTAGGCGAAATGATAATTTTATAGGTAACAGATAGGGTCATTTTTACTCTTTTCCAGATCCACAAAGTCACGAGATCGCGGTATTTACCAACAATTTTCTCCGCGGAGGCCGGATGTACCAACATTTGGCGGCGTTGACATCGGTGAAAGCGGGCTGGAGCGCACGCGGGGCGACTCTTTAAAAATCTTCAATCACTCTGCACCACGATACACATCAATCATCACGCCAAATGAAAGAAGGGGGAGCACCGTCAAGTGATTAGCCAAAAAAGGGGGAGAGCTCGATTCGCGTACGGGGGTAGCACTCGGAAAATCGAGGGGGAGCACGGGGGTTTGGCACTTGGAGAATTTCATGGGGGATGGAGGGAGATCACGTCATTTCATGCTAATAGATCGAAAGATACGGAATTAAAGGGGTCGAACATTGGGTTGAAAAATTCTGCATTTTGCACAGTCATTCGCGAATCCCAAGGTCAAAATTAGGCCAAATGCTAATCTCTTCCCAACTATGGTAATCAACAAGTCTTTTCAGGTGTATCCGCAACTTTTTTGATAAATCTCAATTCAATCTATTATTTTCAGTTTATTTGCCCAAGAAATATCGCCTAGCAAAAGCGATATTTGAAAGCAGTTGTTTGTGTTTTTCGATGACACATCTGCTTTTAGTCCCCGAGTCCAACCGACCTCGTGTTTTTGCGTTCTCAACTATCGACGGTCACATGTCGCGCTAGCAAATTTTCTTTCATTCAGAACGACGTTTCCATCACTTTTACACCTTACTGTGCGATATCTGGTTTTCCACGAGAAGCATAGCTAATTTCGGGTGGCTACGAAATGTCAAAGTAGCTCCGACCCACCGCCTCCCTGTCGCACCCCTTTAATTGATAATTTAAAGGAAGACTGGGTGTATGCTTATATAAAAGGTCGAGCCCAAGGCCCGGGGTAGCACATAAAGTTCAGATGGGGCGTGTGAAGCGTAAAAGGGAGGAAAGGGTAGAGGGACAGTGGATTGGTTGGCTGGCAGTAAGAGGGGGCAGGGCAGATGGCGGAAATATCCTCCATTTTGTGGGTACAACGGCCCAGTTGCGCACTTTAGCCCACAAATGGATGGGTTTGGGGCCTTGTTTTAGACATGCTACATTTTGTGGAAGCCACGCATTTGTTCGTATAGATGTCGACAAACCCTCGTAGTGGGGGGGGGGGATCCGACACGCCTAGGTAATTCTGTTCGCCTTGGTAGATGTCAGTAGTAGTCAGGCAATTATATACTTTCACTTCCATTTTTACATATTTTTTGAAAAATTTCAATATAGATTTTAATAAATTCCTAAAATATCCGACGACGGCTGACTAAACGGATTTCTTCGGAGGGTTTTGGCCTCTCGACGCTAGATGGCCGAAAAGAGAAGGAGCTGAAAGTGATTGACAAGCGGTTTCTTGATGTGCCCTCCCCATACTCGTCCTTCTCCTCCTTCCTTCCATCCTCACCAAAAGCTTTTGGGGCTGCTGCCGTTTCCTCAACGGACCCACCAACCAGCCATTTCCCTCCAGGGGGTGGAAAGAGAGGATCGATAGTTGGGAAAGGGGGGGGGGGCACAACCGGCCAAGGACACAACCACCAGTCAAAGTCGCTTTTACGAGGCCCAATTTTAATCGAGCAGTCCTTCAATTTACCTTTAAACCACTACTAAATCTACTACCTTTTACTAACCTAGAATATACTAAAATCATAAACATATTAAAGAGACGCAACACCATAAGGATTTCAATACTTGCCAAATTTTAAATTTTTATGATTTTTTTTATTTTGGATTTTCGCCCTAATTTAACCGGTGCAAATTGCCTTCACCTCAAAAAAAATGGCATAGAGACTTTGCTTATGAAAGATTCAATAAACAATAAATACATCCAATAGTTATTATTTTTATATGAGTATGATAATCTTCTTTTTGCTTTTCTTCCTTAATTTTACGCGTTTTTGTTAATTTTCTTTATTTTAAGATGATCTCAATGTAAGCAAGCCTACCTCAAGAAAATGATCAAAAACCTTTATTCTTAAAATTACTTCTCATCTTCTATTTTTCATTTCCACCCTCAATTTTTCCGGCCGCCATTTTCCCCGATGCCGTTTTTCTCCATTTCAGCCAATATTCTTTTACCCCCGAAATTCGCAATTCCGTCAACCTGTTTGCCGGGGCCACCTCAACGCTTCGGTGTCGGGTGCGCAAATAATGCATGGCACCAGATTTGATTCCAACAACAGATTAATTCAATTTTAGAACAATACTAAACCTAAATTATTTTGTAAATTTTGAAAACTGACCTTTGACATTCTTCGTCAATTTAAGCGAGTTTAACATTGTCCTATGGTTTTCGCTAACAATTAATGGATACGGATTTTAATGCTTAATTTCGTATTTAAATTTAGGCCTTACCGCGTGCCATGCTCAAATCGAAAAAGAAGGACAAGGAAAATAAAGAAAAAGTGGATAAACCAGTCAAGGTAGTGTTTAATTGTAATACTGACGTAATTTCGAAAAATTCTAGAATGATACGAAAAAGGAAAAGAAAGGGGAAGATATTTTGGACCAGAATAATCCGGAAGAATCAATAATCCCTAGTATTCAAGCTGATGCGACTAATGCTTCGGTAAATTATTATTGTTGATATTCCGCAACCACGATTCGAATTTCAGACATCAAAAGAAGCACCTCCCGTGGCTCCTCTAAAACGTACTTGCTATGGTGGTGGTCCAGCCGTACCTCATAAAGAAAGAAGACCCTCTCTCAGTCGTTTTTCAATATCAAATAACCGAAAGTTGGAACAGCTACCTAATATTATAGGTAGGTTAATTAAGACAGAATCGACCTCCCCTTTTCTGATCGCCTGCCCAATTGGCAATACCGTTTTGTGCAGGTGTTTCATTAGCACCTGGTCAAAATGTTGGAAAGTATCAATTCATATCTCACCACTCACTTTATTGCCACTTTCAAATGCGATTTCCAGATGTGCCGGCCGCTGATCGAGAACATCTTTTTATTCAAAAACTTCGCCAATGTTCTGTTGTGTTCGATTTTGGGAAGGATGTTTTTGATGCGTCGAAATTGAATGATATGGAGGTATGACTTTATTGGGTCTATAGTTGTTAATTATAGGTAAAACGCGCAACGTTGAATGAATTGATTGATTATGTTTCACGGAATCGTCAGGTTTTGACTGATAATATTTATCCTGAAGCTTGTTCAATGGTTAGTTTATAGAGATTTTAGTCGGAATTTGCAAGCAGTGATGCGTCAATAAATCCCTTTTTCAGTTTGCCGTGAACGTATTCCGAATTCTACCTCCAACAACAACTCCACCAGGCGTTGAATATGACCCAGATGAAGATGAACCGGGATTAGAAGCGGCATGGCCTCATCTTCAACTCGTCTACCAATTTTTCCTCAAAATCCTCGAGAGCCCCGATTTCATCCCAACAGTTGCCAAAAAACACTTCAGCCAGCAATTTGTCCTACGGGTACCAATTTTTCGGGTTTCCAAATGAAACCATTTCCATTTAGATCCTTGACATCATGGATACGGAAGATCCGCGGGAACGCGACTACTTGAAAGCCACTCTTCATCGAATCTATGGGAAACTTCTGAATCTCCGCCCGTTTATTCGCAAAAATGTAAGTTTACAGCGTTTGAATAAGCCACCTTTAGATTAACAATCTTTTCTACACTTTTATTTACGAAACGGAACGCCACAATGGGATCGCTGAATTTTTGGAAATATTTGGGTATAGAAAATCTGGTTGAAAATGATGTATTTTTAGTTCAATCATCAACGGCTTCTCCGTACCCTTAAAAGAAGAGCATAAGACATTCCTCCTTCGTGTCCTCGTCCCGCTTCACAAAGTATTATATAGCTTTTTGCTTTGTAATACTTTATTCAGGCAAAACATTTGAGTGTCTACCATCCACAACTCGCATACTGTATTGTACAATTTATTGAAAAGGATCCGTTGCTCACCGGACCTATTATTTCTGGGCTTTTAAAGTATTGGCCAAAAGTTCGAAGCCCAAAAGAGGTGATAGATTTGATGTTATTTTTTAATTTCTATAGGTAATGTTCCTGAATGAACTGGAAGAGATTTTGGATACAATTGATCCGTCCGAATTCAAAAAATGTATGCAGCCAATTTTTGTGCAGTTGGCCAAGTGTGTCTCTAGCCCGCATTTTCAGGTATTGATCATTGATTAAATTTTTTAATAAATTTTTAGGTAGCTGAGAGAGCGTTGTTCTACTTTAACAACGATTACCTGATGAATCTAATTTCTGAGAATACAGAAGTTATCCTACCTATAATATTCCCTGCCCTTCACAAACATTCCAAAACCCATTGGAACAAGTGAGTTTCGAACGAGGAGAATCACCTTTGACCTTATTCTAGGACAATTCATGGTCTCATCTACAACGCCTTGAAATCGTTGATGGAGTTGAATCAGCGGCAGTTTGATGAGTGTACGCGTAACTATCAGAAATTACGGGATACCGAGAAGGAATCGAGGATTCAGAAGGAAGAATTGTGGGAGAAAATCGAGATTGCTGCACGGGCAAATCCTACGGTAAGCAAAGCCCCCCTTTAAAGGGAGTGGCTGGTCGGATAGTTGGATTAGTATAGTTGTTGTTTGTTTACAAACTGACTGAACATTGCAAAAAGGCTTTGTTTAGGAATGGCAGCTGAAATGGCATAGCCTTTCACCCCCCAAAAGCGGCGTTCGAAATAGCTTCTTTTCAGTGGTCGGAAGTGAAACCAATGTTTGCCGATGATCTCTCGAAATCCTATGATCGTCTCTCCATCTTCTACGAAGAAGAAGAGCAAGAAAACGGAACCGAATCGAATTTTGCAATCGATAAAGCACCCACCCCCATCAAAAAAGACAACAGCTTCACCCAAGTAAACTCTACAGTTTCTAATTCAGCTTATTTTTACAGCGTAAAAGCGAGGTGCCGCCAGATGTGATGATGGAGAGAGCTTTGGAACAACATCAACGCCCTGATTCCTTTTTAGCATCTGTCAGAAATGATGATTAGATTATTGTCTTCTTTGCCAGCCTCCTCTTTTATTTACCGGTTATAGTTCATGATGCTTATGTTTCAATTGAGTGACGCTTAATTGTCGTTCTACGAGTCGCCGTTTCTCACGTCCATGAATTCGGGTGAAACAACTATCCCGTTGCTCACATCTGTGATATGCCAGCATTTGCTTTCCGCCTTTATGATGAACTTTCTACAAGCTGTATCAAGGCACGCTGCTAAGAAAATTGGCATGAAAGGCGCGATAGCTAGAGAGAGAAAGAGAATAGAAAAAGAAAGAGGGAAAGAGAGAGGTATAGAGCGATAGGGAGATAGAAAGAGAGAGAGTGAGTGAATGAGTGATAAAGAGAGACAGAGCGAGAGAGACAGCGATAGAGACAGAGCAAGAGGGATTCAGAGAGTGAGAGAGAGAGACAGAGAGACAGAGAGAGCGGGGGAGAGAAGACGAGAGAGAGAGTCAAGGGAAGGGAGTGAGAGAGAGTAGGGAGAGAGACAGAGCGAGATGGAGATACAGCGTGAGAAACAAAGAGAGAGAGAGAGAGAGAGAGAGACAGAGAGACAGAGAGAGAGAGAGAGAGAGAGAGAGAGAGAGAGAGAGAGAAAGAGGGAGAAAGAACGAGAGAGACGGAGCTAGTGAGGTATCACCAGTTTACGAGAAAGAACCATAATCCACATACAGCTACGTGAAACACCAAAGTTCTTTTGCCTTTATCGCCATAGAAAAGGTTTCCGATGAACTTTTATCGACTTACAGGAAACGTTTTTTTACCGACGAAAGAGTTCAAGCGTTTGAAACGGTATCAAGCCTTCTACATGCAGACCTACATGCAGACGTCAAAACCCATTCTTCAGGAATTGTTAAAGCATTTTGAGATGTGAAGCTTTCGAAATGCGCAATACGGCGGCGCAAAATGCGCTAATTGGCATTTTTGGACATGATTTGCACTGGAAAGCGTCATAATTTGTGAACCCGATCGTTCACTAAATTCACATACTACGTTTTGAGCCAAATATTTTAAACAGGTTCCAAAAAAAATTCTCAATGAATCTTTTTGTAGTGAAATGAACGCGGTATTAAGGTATAAACAAGTGATAGTGCAGAGCTTGGAAATGGGTCAGCCTCATTCTTGAAATCATTTTGTAAAATCATGAATTAAATCTATTTCGCACTATGTTTTGATGTGGGAGGTCATGTTGCCCGTCCGAATCACAGTTGGAATTCTTTTTTGGCGACTCGAAGCAAGGTGGTATTGTCAAAATGAAAGCAACATTTTGCCTCTACGAGACAGGCCAATCGACCGATTATGGATGAGGTGCTGTGTTTCGCATCTTTATTAAATTAACCAAGCTTAGACACAGGCTGAGCGGGGAATTGAGCAGGATGTTCCACAGGAAGAGATGCCAAATGATGTCAAAATTCAACAATTTTTGGTGGGTCGAATTTATCAGAGCCGTTTTTAACTGCCTCACCCCTGTCACCGTTTCTTTAAACCTTGATTTATCCTCTCCCAGTGCTATAAAAACTATAGCAATCCGTTAAGTGTGGATTGAAGAAGCCTATATTGAACACGTCTCCCTTTCTCCCTGGTCACATCATCCACCTTAGGCTCCTCAGTCACATGGCACCTATATGCTCCACCCTATTACACTTCTTTGCACCCAAAACCAAACTCCCCTAACATAGCCCTCACCCCATTCCAACACAAAACCCTTTTTGTACGAATTCTCATCATTGAAAAAGATAGGCTCTGGTTGTTCTATATCGAAGTTGAATTAAAAATTTACCTTTAAAAATTGTCGATCTATTTTGGGCAGTCAGCTGGATTGCTTATACAATATACAATCCTGGCATCATTGTAAAGTCAAATTCCTGTTTGTATTTGGAGGGGAAGAACTTTTGACGGCCATTTTGAATTGTACGTAGCTTACTATCCGAAAATGAGCATTGATTCCGAAATTCAGTTGGAGGAAATGGAGGCGGAAAGAAAGGTTACGGCTACGGTAAGTGGGCCACCGATATAAGATAACAATCGGCTTTACGGTTATTTCTCTTTGATCCTAAATTTTCACATGCAATTTTGATATTACGCTTTCTAGTGTTTGCTTTGATTTACTTAAAATTAGATATATCGACTCATAGAGATTGATGATAAGAGAAAGAGAGAGAAAGAGAGAGAGAGCGAGAGAGAGACGAGAGAGAGACGCAGGCGCCCGAGGTGGTGTAAGACGGATTATTTCCTAAAAACCGCGCCCTTTAAAGCTCACGATCGGTACGAGCTGGACGTATACACCTATGGACCTCTGTGTCTGACTCATTCTCTCCACGTACATAGGTGTACGCGTAGTAATACCTGAATGCGCATTGAAACTTTTGCAATTTGTTGATAGCAACGCGCCAGTACACGAAACCAGCCGACAGGAATATCCTTCCAAGGCACCATCCCTTTAAAATCGATCCCCCCTTACGTGGCCTTTCGTATTGGTTGGATATGTTGGCAGTATAACCCCACACGGCGTCTCGTTCCATATTTCCGGAATGATGGTCGTCGTGTGGCGTTCTCTTTCTGCCCTTGGGAATAGGGTTTGTATGGAGTGAGTATAAGTGCATGGTGGTTCTCCTGCTTCGCCTCGTTCTCCTTTTCGGCTATGTCTCCCCCTCAGCTGGGGGCCAATCGCCGGAAGTCGCGCATTTTGCCGCCCCACTTCGCGCATCTGGTGGTTGGGCTTAGAGGGTCCCAATGCGGCTACCGCCCATTGTCAGCCATCCGGCGAATCGGTTGAAATATTTTTGGCCCTATTCCAATTTTTAGTGTGTCGAAATTTGGAGGTGTTTTGTAGGTTAAGGCTCACTTTCAGACGAATGGAGCATGAGCGTTTATTGAGGTTCTGCCTCCTGCTTGACTCGATCTCGTAACGCATCACTCAACTCAACTCAACGATCTCTGTCAGCGTAAATAGGCTAAAAGGCTAAAACAGCATAACCCAAATTTGAAGCTAAAATGGTCAATCTACCCCTCACACAACCAAAGACCAACGTATTGCGAAAGGCGACGACCCTTTTTGAGCTTTTCCTTTGCTCCTTCTACGATTCGACCTCCCTCTCTAGCCATTCCCCTTTTCGGGAGCCCAAATTCCAAGTTTGGTCGTCGGTTTTGATGATCACGAAGACGCAACGGACTGATTGCCTTTTCGCATGTCCCCAAAATGTGATTGGGAGGCCAAGGCTTGTGCGGGCCCAATTGGGCATCCCCCTAAATAGGTCCTAGCTACTGGGTGGCCCGGGCCATTGTCCACAATTCTTCTCTGAAAAAGAGAAAACTACTTCCCCGGCTGTTTTCGACGACCCAGGCTCTCTTTTTTGCAGATAGATTTAGATAGCAAAAATTAATAAAACTACTTTCTCCTTTGAGTTACTCTTTTTACCAGATACTTGGGGTTAGGGCTGCTGTTTGAGGTCACATTTTCAAATTCACCGCACTGACTAATTCTTTTTCGAAGGGAAACAGGCGAAAATTGCGTTGCGTGATGTGCTCCGGAAAAGAAAAGACGATGATTTGGGTAAAGGGGAGTCGATCGAAATCGGGGGAGACTGTCAAAACAATCGGATCGGCTGTAGAATTCCCTTTGTGGACACGGAACGGGGGAACGGCTCACACAATTACCATATCCCCGACACCCAGTCGCCCCGGAAAATCGGCTGCTTTTACGTCGCAGCAGATGCCCAATACTTCCAATGCTATCGCTGGTTTTTGGGTTTATGAGATGAATCGTATACGTTCAATCCCTAAAAGTTTCGGGACAACTACGTTCCCCTAAACGACGACTTTCTAAAGCTTCCGCTGGCTTTTCGGCACCCAAAACTTTGACATAGATAGACAATCAGCACGTCAGATCTCAGGTTTGGACCCCCATGGGGGCCCATCATATGACCCAAATCGCCTCCAATCTAAAAAACATCCACCCATTCCAGTTTTTACATACTGGGTTGCCTCGCTTTTCTGGTTTGATTTCCGCTAATCCCGAATCCTGCCCAATTACTTGCAAACGCATTACCGACCGCCATAGTTAAAGGGTCAAAAAAAGTTCTCTATGGTTTTTGGATCAGATTTAGTTATTTTGTTTAACTTCTAAGTTAGAAGAAGTTGTTAAAACGCAATCGATAAAATTGCAGTCCTCAATTCCGGCCGACGTAGCACCAGTTGACGCGCCAAGCGATATGGCCGACGACGCTCCCCCGCATTCGTTGGTGACGCGCTGTGCTGCTGAATTTTTCGGGCTCGTCGTGTTTGTTTTTATCGGTAAGCAAATTATTGACTGATTGCTTCAATTAAGGAAATTGGTAGGTTGTAGATGGTATCCTCAACCTTCTAACGACTCGAAGGAGGGTCGAATTTTTGATGGTGTAGGGATCCATCGCCTTTCATTTTCTTTATTTAAAAATTTCTAATTTTTGTTTAACGATCTTAACTTCCGAAAAACGCGAAAATGAAAAACCTATGATGGAAAATTTGCATATTAATTCCGCGTTGGTTTGCAGGAACGACCCAAGCCCTTGGTGCAGCCCCCGTACCCGTCTTGAATGCTGCGCTAGCCCATGGGCTTGTCATTTTCATCTTAATCGCTGCATTTGGCCATCTCAGGTATATTTCAATGGGAATATTGATGGATTGGTTGATTGATTTAGTGGTGGACACTTCAATCCGGCGGTTACGGTTGGTATTGCAGCTGTTGGCCGGATCAGCCCTATTGACGCTGTGTGCTACATCGCTTCGCAACTCAGTGGTGGCTTCTTTGGATCCCTGCTGGCAAAGGTTGCGAAATTACGCATGTTTATCGAATTCAAAAAATGCTATAGATCGTTTTGGGAGATAGCTTTATTCGACTTGGCTTTGGAGCGACCGTCTTCGGAGCCAATGTTGCCTGGTATCAAGTAAGCTAATGAGCAATAGAAACGAACACCCATAATTTTTAGGGTCTGGTTGCGGAGGCGTTCTGCACTTTCGTGCTCGTCCAAACTGTACTAATGACGGCCGTTGATACTCCAGGAAACAGCTTGGCCCCGTTGGCCATTGGACTTGCCGTTGCTGCTGATATTTTGGCAATGTAGGAGTTTTAGAATGGATCCTAACTGTTAAAATAAAGCTTAAAAACAGCTTCGCTGCTTATAACTTCAGCTATCATGTATGCTAATTCAGCATAACCCAATTAGGAATCATTCAACAAAACGTTTAGCGGCCCACTGACTGGGGCTTCAATGAACCCGGCCCGTTCTTTTGGCCCGAACATCGTGGCGACGATGTTCCACTCCGATCGCTTGGTGTAGGTCATGTTTTTCGAACAAGCACATCATAATTCAGCAAGCACTTCTGGTCCCTCCATTATATCTACTACCTTGGCCCAATCCTCGGGGCTGTCGTGGCCGCTTTGCTTTTCAGGTCCGCATTATTTAGAATTCTTACAACAAGTGTGGCAATTTACAGTAATATTAAACTACAATAAATACAACGATTAACATTTTTCAGGGTCTTCTATGCTCGTGAAGCTCGCATCCTTAAATAAAAACTCAATTAATTCTCGTCAAACGCTTTTGTAAATATTGTCCTCAAATAATATTCTACTTTTGCCGCCGCTTGCCTTGTGGAGTTATAGTCTTGCCATGCTAGTCAATTAATCCTCCGATGCGTTACAGGATCTGTGAAATAAAGCTTTATTCCGAAATTGTAAAAAATTGTTGGCGAGAAATTGGGCTATAACACGGTTATCTATTTGACGAGACGATCGACACGGGCTTCGAATAGCCTGAAATATTCAATATTGAATTCTTCTTACTCGAAAAATAAAAAACGGTGCCATGCGTTTATTGATCTTTTAGGTCCCGCCGGGCGAGTCTTGGGGATGAAAAGTTCAAAACTCGACAAGATTTTGGGTGCGCGTTTTTTACAGCTAGTGTGCAGTCAAAAGCATCAATAGCGTGGACGATGTGCAAACGCAGCGTTGTACGCAGAACTGGCGCTTGGCCAAACGCTCAATGGTCACACGTTTCACAAAAGAAGATCTCGGAGTATGTTGCGAACAGGTGCTCTGTTACAATGAAACAACCAGGCGTCGATCAATCATACGATAATATACCTGTATATGGCAGCTGTGATGGATGCTCCTAGAAGCGGGCCTGCCCAGTATATATAATGATATGTCCATAGATGGCGAGCTTGATCAGCCTTGTTTAGTATTATCGATGCGGCAACATTCGGTCCAAAAGAGCGTGCTGGGTTCATCGAGGCCCCGGTGATGGAACCACTGAAAAGCACGTTTAAAAACAAGTTCTTTCACATTATCCGGGGGGAGGGAGTCAGCGGAGGATCTAGTATTTTATTCTATGTCCAAAAATCCTAGTAATCCTAGTAAATACTTGTAATCATTGACCGTTTTTGGCTGAAAAGCCGATAATTTTGGTATTTTCCCAGCAAAAAGTTGTGAAGTTTTTAAGTTTTGTAATAGAAATAGTTTGAAAAATGCCATCATACGGAAAAAACCGGTCCCCCCGCTAATGCGAAAGCACCGTTGCTCAACGGCGCTTCGTGCGCATCATACAATAAATTCAAGACCAAAATTGTTCCCTAAAACCACAAAAAAATTTTTATTTTTATGGTTAATATTTTAATGTTGATCTCTCTTTTGACGATAAATAAAACACTTACACGGCAAGAATATCAATGGATAGGGTGAAGCCGATGGCTAGAGCTGCCAGTGTATTATCTGAGGTATCAACAGCAGTATTGAGGATTGTATGACAGAGGAAGAAGGTGACTACCGTTTCCGCAATCAGTCCCTGTAATATTTCAATCGAGTAATCCTCCAATCCCCACCTGCCACCAATAATTATTATCAAGATTATCGGTACCCTCTAGCAGCAGAGTGGCTCCCATTTGCACAGTCACCGCTTCATCATAGGTGAGAATAGCCTGTAAACAGAATTGTTCAATAAAACGATCGACTTGCCGCTGCCAGCATCGAACCGCAGAAACCACCGAAAAGTTGTGAAAACCAGTAGAAGGGGAGCTCGAGGGGATTCTGGCGGCCAGAGGCCACCACCGACCAGGTTACGGCTGGGTTGAAGTGACCACCGCTAAAATTCTTGTTAATATTGGGCATGCTATGCGGTTAACAAAGCATCATTTAGGAGATGCTAGAAAGCTTTTTCGATAGAGCTTCGCACTCTGACGAAGTATCAGCTTTCAAGCATTTCGGAACGATAAACCCCCACCGAAAAGAGAAAAAGCTCCGCCGAGCTTTCAAAACTTTTCCCCGGTAGATCGTGATCGTTCAATTTTTGAAAGATGGGATCGATCAACCACACTTCCTCACCCTACTTTCCGATCAGGTTCTCATTTAACAAAAAATCATGAGAAACGCGTGGTTCTAAATTTATAAAAGCCTCTTATTTGTTCGTTATCACCGGACTTGCCCACGCACACCGGGCTACACGCATTCCTGATCGCCCAAAACACAGGCTTAGCCAGACCAAGCTTTTTTTGAAGGCTTGGTCCAGATCATGCTTCCACGACTGATCTATTTCAAACGGTGCCGGTTCCTTCTCGTAGTTGCGTGGCACTGCACTCGAAGCCATAAAAGCTCTAATTTTATTACCCCCTTGGAGCGCTTATCGAGTGTGTAGAGGGAATTCGGGTGTGCGGTCTCGGTCCACAACCACCACAAATAAATAACCCCCGTTGTGTCAAAGGCTTCAGTTTTTACTGGACACGGGGGAGATAGGTGATTACAGCTGAAATGTGTACAGCTAAACAGAAAATAGGTCAATACTCGGCAAATATTGAGGGGAACGGTTACGTTTTGCAGCCATTGACAAAAATGCAGAATATTTACTCGAATGCTGTCTAGTTAAAACCCTCCTATGGCCGCTTTCTTATAAACCCAATTTTCGTATATATGAGATTGCTTAAATACCCCGAACGAACGCATTGCTTCAATCATGGGCGGATTTAATGTCTAAGCTGCGTCTAAATGAACGAACCCTTTTTAACCAAGACTAATCGGGTTAAAGCTGTGCAAAGTTTCTAATCGGATCGCGCGTTGCACCCACTTCATCGACTTGTTAGGTCTGAGCAGCTATGGGGGGCAAAGTCATCACTTCAACAGTCATCATTTCTTTGTTAGAGAATGACGAGAGACTGGTCCAGAAAATACGGCGGTGATCCCCGATAAAATGATAGACAACTTTGCGGTCACGAAGTAGGAAATCGGAGAATGATTCCCCTTAGGAGAATGAAGCTATTCAAAGTTGGCTTCACCTGATATGTCCGAGAGTGGCAACCATGATGAATATCGTGAAGCCATGCGCCAGAGAAGCGTGGACAGTACCATCCATTGTACCTCGATTAAAGCCTTGCATTGTTCCTAAAACTCTCTTGCTTCGGTATTTGCGCGATTCTTACCAACAAACACAAATGTAAGATCACCGAGGAATTCGGCTACGCATTTTGTCAATAGCGAATATTCCCTGGGTTGTCGCTTTGGCAGTGACTTGATCGAGATTTCTTCAACAGAAGTCTCTTCCCATGCGGTAGGTGCTATTCTCTACAGGTACAGGTACTACAGGTAAATTTTTAATAATAATATAGACATACCCGCATTGTGGTGCTCCTTTGATCAATGGAGCCTTGGTAGGCACCAGCGTACGGTGGGTCTAGTGGTCGTCCTCCCCCTCCGTTCATTTCTTGACCACCCCTTTCCGGCCGGTCCAGAATGAGTCGGGATGCGAATGAGAGGCGGTAAATTCCTGGATCGCCCGGCGCGCCCAAAGACAAACATGCCGCCTGATAAGGCCAAGACAACCGTCAGGTTCAAAATTATACCATGGGTGGGCTCTATGATGAACGGACGAAATGTTCTAACAAGTATTCTCACATCCTCCTGGATTAGCGGGACCCATACTTTCTGAAAATTCCCGATCAAATCACAAGACGCGTTGTCTGAGAGCATCTGGCAGTCGCGAATGTTCGCTTGCTATTCTCTTTGGAAACAGCTTCATCTGTCATTGATCGAGATACGAACCAGCATTCGTTTATTACAAGTAAACCCCAATAAATAAATGAATCATACACAGCCTTCATATATCACATTTTAATCGCACGGAAGCAATGATAATTACATGCACCATTAAGGCAGTACGGCTCATGAAATAATTCTATCGCCTACAATCCAGACGACTCATAGCGGTGAGGAGTCAAGGACAAATTGATATCCGAGCTATTATGGGCAACCGGTCGTCCAGGAGGCGGCAGCCACTCCTGGTGAAGAGAATATGCGCTGTTGGTCACGGTCTGAAATAAAATGTTGATGAATTCAAAAGCAAACATAAAAAATATAGTGAAATCCCTACCACATTCTCCAGCGCCGCCTCAACGTAAGGTACAGGATGATGACCTGGCATCTGCATCGAATAGGAACCGGTGACCGGCTGTAAAAAAAATATTAATACAGTGCCGCGGTCTGCAAACTACCTGGGGCACGACCGGATTGCGAACCGCGCTGTCATATTCCGACAAAACATTGCGGATAGACATATCAACCTAAAATAAATTTACTTGTCATCGAAAGAAGTCACCTTGGCCAGCATGTTCGTCAGGCGATCGATCTGAGCAAGCTTCTCATTAATAAGTGGTGCCTGGGCGTTCGATGCGGCTTCCAACTAAAATACACTATAAATTCCGTCTATTATTTAAAAGTAACCTGTTGGAGTCCCTCGGGATCAGGCTTAATACCAGCGGGATCACACTGCTGGAGCAACTCAATCGTTTTCAGCAGCGTGGACTCATCGATTTTCGCACGAACTTCCGCGGCCTTAGGGTGGACCGCCACACTCTCCTTCTAAGGACAATATAATGTGCTCCATTATAAAAAACCTTTTCCACAAAATCTTCGACGAACTGCGCAGGAATAAGGCCAATTTTGCCGTTGAGCCTGGCTCGCCACCAGTGAGGATTGCTAAGAAAGAGGATTGGAAGGAAAGTTGCTTGAAATTAACCTGTCCTCGAGAACAGCGATTACTTCGCCGGCCTTAAAAGAAAGCTCATTCTCCTCGGCGGCTGGGAAATCATAGATGGCCTTCACTTCCTTTTTCGGCTTCTCATTGACGCTAAAACAGATAGATCTTCCCTAAAAACGTTTACCTTCCTTCACGCGATTTGAAAACCTCCTTTTCAGCAGATCGACCAACCGAAGTTGTGCTGGAAGAAGAAGCGACCTTCAACGATTCCTGGATCGCTTCACGCAGCTGCCGCTCTTCCTCGCTACGCAACAAAGCCTGGCAAAACATCTATTATGCATGAATCACCAAAATCACCTCTTTAAGTTTCTTCTCCGCAGCATTCTCAGCGGGGTCATTCTTGCCCGGAAAATCGAGTCCCAACATAACGAGCTCACGATGCAACGATTCAATCAACGAAAGGGCCGGATCCTAGAAGATACATATACGTTACTGCAGAAGCAGAGGAACCTTCTTGCATTCTTCATTGACCCACTCCCGCAGCTTCTCACGCATTTTCCTCGCGATCTGATGCTCCGACTAAATTAAACTCTGTGAAACCGAAATTTAAAATACCGCGGTTGCTTTCGACTGGATTTCAGAGATATTCTTTTTGGAGCTTAGCTCACGGCGAAATTCACCAGAAACATTCTTCCAAAGGAAGTCCAGCAACTCAATCGCATTCTGGACAATGTGTGGGTCCCTAAAACAGGGTAATTGAAAAATACAATTTGCTACCTATTATTAAGACGTTTTTTCACGAAGTTGATCGCATCTTTATGGACTCCAGGCGCCTTCTTGAGACGATCCGATAGCTCGACGAAGCCGTCCCAGTTAATCTATAAGAAAAATCATAAATTAAAGCCTAATCTCTACCTCGACAACACTTTCAGCCGTCAACTTTTCGATGAGCTGCTCAAGGTTTCCCGAGCTCATTCCTAAAGTAGGCATTTATTGCTACAAGATCAAAAAGATTGAATGAAAAGTAATTAAGAAAATGAATTTTCACCATGGATGCATAACCGGTTATCAAAGAACCAAGGGACATTAATAAAAATCTAAAATCACAAGTAGGTGCAATACAACAGTAGAATATCACAAAATTGACTACAAGGGGGGCACATCCCTGGTTATTTAGTGTACAGATGTGAAGAGCCGTTTGGATATCAAAGTGACAGATAATGGTCTGGACGAGCGAGTCGAGATGAAAGGTTCGTCAAACAGGCTATTTTAAATTACGAGAAACGCGCCATGATTCGGGCTTTGAAGATTATCACTATGCGTGTTTTTCCAGCAAACTTCACATGAACTGAAAACAAATTCCCACAAACGTAGGTTCAAAAACAGTATAGAATTCACAGCACAGGAGAGACATTGTAAACAAAGATTTTCTTGTTCTGTCCGACGACGACCATCTTTCCATGACCATTTGCCAAATGCATTGCGACAACGCCCGTCTTCAGTTCATAAGGCACAGCGAGAGGCGTTAAGTCAAAGCGTTCCGGGTGCTCCCTCTTGTTATTTTCGCAGTTCTTGCAGATCCGCACCGGAATTTCGAATCCCATCGGTGGATAAGTCGTCCGTTCGGTGCAGCAATTACTGCATGCAGCCTGTCCGCAGATACGACAATGATGTTGGCGCTGGCCGACAACCTTCTTTTGCCACATTGCCTGAAAAGATCAATTAGTCATGTAAGCAAGAAAACTCTGATACCTGCAGATTCCAGAAGAACGGAGCATCACAAAGCTGGCAATAATCAGAATTAGCCCAAGCTGGGGTGACGATCCGCGTAGCCGCCATTGCCCAGACCATCATTTTTCCGGACTCATCGGCCGTGAAAAGCTTCTTCTTTTCTTGCGAGTAGCAGATCCGTGAAATTCGCGAAGTGTGTCCAGTTAACTCGTATGCATCCCCTTTCTTGCCACCGACATCCCACATGATGACGAGGTTGTCAGCGCTACCGCTGAACAGCCACTGCTTCTCGTGATCCCACGCCAAACTTGTCACCGTCCCAGTGTGCGCCGAAAGTTTGTTCAAATGTTGAGCCTGTGTCCCATCGATTCTAAAATAATTTTTGCAAGCGGTCAAATGCAAACAATAAGGTCAAAATACCAACCTCAGGACATGAATATTTCCAGAATAATCGCCAACGAAGATGAATGGGTCAGCGACGATCATAGATACTGCAGAAGCATCAATGGAAGTGCTGCCAAGCCGGTTTCCCTCATTTGAATTGTGCCACATGATGGTCTTGTCACGAGAGCAGGAAAATACAATTCCACGTGCAGGGTCGAGATGTAGGCTGGAGACGGGGCCACTGTGAACCGTGAACCGACGTAGTTCACGAACACTGTTCATGTCGTCGGTGACCTAATGCATGGATATATGGCTCAAAAAACCCTTGCCTCGTATAGGTAGATGTGCCCATTCAACAATCCGACCACAAGCAAACGCTTTTGTTCGTCATAATGAAGACACGTTGGCTGCATCACCATAGGCTCATTGATCGAGGGCCAATACTTGTCACCGGCTTCACTAAACAAAACTCGAATGCAACAAGGTAATAAATAACAAACCGGCGAAGGTAGAGTCGAAGGCTCTTATCTTCTCCTGCTGTCCAGAAACCATCCTCGTCTTTCAGCATCCATACATCGAGTATGCGGACCGAGACATTTTCGACCTTAGAGAGCAGGTCGGGCTTAGGCAGGTTGTCGACAGGCAGGTCTGACGAAGATGATGGACGTGGATTGATAACCGCCGTCATGTCTGGAAACAAAATTGATACAATCAGCTTATGGTAGTATATGAAGATATATAGAAAATAAGCGCTTCACTTAATTCACACGCATCGAAAACTATACAAGTTCCATTTCTAGGCACAAATAAGGAAATAAGAAAAGAGGCATGGCAAAAATGCTGCTAGAAAAGGCATGAGAATTCCGTTGCTGTAAAATTTCTGTTTAGACGTTTTCGCAATGAAATTCGATTGATTACTCAAGGGCAACGAGTGCTCCAAATGACGACTGTTTTCGGCGAGCCCACCGCAATTGATTTGTGTCGGGATATCCAAAAGATTCAGAATTGCGCCTGATCAGCTGAGCGTCGGAATCAACTAACAATAAAATAGGCCGTGAAAGCCTGAACCGAACCGGGGGCTTTTTGTGACGTTTTCCCCCTGCCCTTATCCGATAAGCAAGTAACGTCTTGGTGTTTCCTGTGCAGCGTTTTCTCGGCGTCACGCCGAATTACCGGATGATTGAAACGAGATGCCTTCAGTTAACGAGTTCTACAAGCAAAACAGTGGAAGAGCTGAACAAAATAGGTTTTTGCGGCGTTGTTCCCGATCTTTCTCAGCGCCTAGAGGGGGCTATTGGACTCTGATATTTATATGATGGCTTAGAAATATGATTCTCCCATGTTCTTGATTCGCTCGCTTTTAAGTTAAACATTAAGTTCGTTAAAATCCGATATAAAGAACATTGTTTTACACAGTCCATAAAAAATTGCATCAGGTGCCGTTTGGTCCGGAAGGAATTCAAAAGAAAGCCCCCACGACTAACAGCGCCAATATATCGCATCGGTCGGATTTTTGCAATTCGTGAATAACTTCGACTTGTCCAGTACTTGTGTAGCCCGGTTCTGTTTTGAATTGAACTGGTCTTCAGTTTGTGTATTCTGCTCAATACGCATATATAGTATTTATTCCGTTTTTCTGTACGGCACGCCTTCAGTGTAGCTGATATGGGGCGCCAGTTTGAGCTGTCTATAATCGCTGATCTTACGGTTAAAATTGGGGCAAACCTCAAGATATTTTTATTTAATCGGCGAGGAGGTATGGCGATAAATCCATACGAGTTTCGTATCGTTCTTCTTATTGGCCATGGTTGTGGCCACCAACTGGGGAACGGTTTGCGGTGTTTATTGCCCTGAAATCTAGTCGTTTGTTTACATATCAATGCTCGATTTAGTGCTTTTTTGCTAAGCCTGCTAGGAATGCCGATGATCTGGTCCGGCTGGGACCTTTAGACCACGAAAAAACTAGATCAGACTTTTACATGGCAGCTCTTACAATTATTAGCGGGAGGGCAACCGGTTGAGACCAACTAGAGACGATGTTAGTGACTGTCAGTAGTAAAAGCACGCCCAGAAGACGGGCATTCATTCGAGGACGTCAGCGAGCGCCTAAAATACTCTTCGGTTATCTTTTCGCAAATATAGATGATGTATCGGACGGTCAAATATGGAAATAACGCAGCTATAGAAGATAGAGATATCATGTCCGTCTACGTCCTACATACAAGGCCACATGTCTAGCCATAGCTCACTTCCCCTCGGTTTAGCCATTAGTGAAACTCTCGATCGTATGGTAACGTTTTATTGGCGAGGGGCGTGGTAAGGGATTCAGATTGAGATCACAGTAATGGGGGGGAAACGAGGCAAATCAAGGAATGCACAGTATGTAGTCAAAAAGTCTATAGATTAAAATACGGATATTTTGGTGGACGGTTACACGTTGAGCTAATGGATACCCGGGTTGGGTTGAGGGATTGAATGATGGAATAGAGTTGCAGCGCGTGTGTGTATAGGCATTCGTTCCTGAGGATAGGAAAGGTGGCGGGGGGGGATAAGGTGGGGGGCGGGGTGAAGGTGCCCCGGATCTGTCATCGGACGCGCGAACGGCTTGTCGGCGGCGAGACGTGGCAAGCATCGTCCGGATATCCCTACGCACCTGCAATAACCACGCTTATCTTACTATATAAAAATTGCGGTTATAAATAAATAACTGTAATCGTTACAGAACACACCTTCTGAATGGCGCAACTAATGCGTGAAATAGTTATGGAAGAAGGAGCTGAAAGGTGAATCAGCATAGAGAGTGGAATATAAGTCGAGGTTGGCTTGCAGAAGAAGCAGATCGTCTTCTAGTGATACGATCGGGGACGAGATTCGGAGTGGTAGGCTGTAAAAATCATGGTTGAGTTGAAATTCTGATTGGAAACAACTCAATTATCGCAAATTTAGAGGTTCTGGACAGAAAGGGGGGTAGCGGGGAACCCAAATTTTTCACTGTGATTGTCTACGGCCCCATAAGAAAATATAAACCCTTTTTATAGCATTTTACATAATTTTTATATACGAAAAATATAAAAATAAGAACATTTTCGAAATCTTTTGACTTATTGTTCAGAAATGTATGAAAAATGGAAGACTAAAAAGGTAAACATTTTCGAATCTTGGAAGTTTAAGAAATATTTTTGTATCATAGGTGGAAAATTACAAAATTGGTCCCCCCGCTAAACCGCCCCCTCACGTTATCAGTCCAGAACCAGTTTGGATAGTGGTGCGTATACCCAAAAAAAATAGAACAAACTTGAGATGTTCGGTGCTTAGAGATATGCCGGCGTCGAGTGCCTTATTCACCATGTTTTCCATAGTACCCTGAATTCCTTGATAAAAAATGTGGTGTTTCCGGTCACCTTAATTGAATTCCGGAACCCCTCTAGATTATCGGCTGTTAACCCGAAAAAGTCGAGACCTTCCAGGATTTCCAATTCGTCGATTTTGAGGCTACCTGAAACGGCATTGGGTACAGAATAGCCAGATGAAACCATGAAAGTAATAATTAGCTTTTGTATTAATGATAACCTTTGATTGTTGAACCATGGCTGTTCAATATCACATGAATCCTGGCTCTGAACGGCAGCACGCCAACTTTCTCGCGAGTGCCTTCGAGGAAGAATAAGCATCGTCCCTCCATTTTCAGTTCGGCCCGTTCTATAGGTTTTATTTTGTTTAATTGATATAACCAATAATAAGAGAAAATTATTTTAAAAAGCCAAGTGTGTAATTTGACATCAGACTTTCGATGCACTATACATCCCTTCCAGGTTCTTTTAAAGACTAACCCTTTGAAATATTGATCATTGGTGGGCTTGTTGTGCGAATGATCAGTTCGAGTTGTCGATCTGGATATTGTTCGCCAACCTCTTCAATTTGGTCCGACAGGCACACCTGGAGAAAAAATAGAAAGCCAAGCAGTTCGGCCTACCTCGTCCAATGTACATGTTGTCTTTAAAAGCGTGCCAATCTTTGGCGTCTTTGAGTCGACATGAAAGAGTAATGAGTTTGTTCTAAAGCGTTTTAAGACGCTTTTTATATATGAAGCTACCTATGAGCTCGATGAAGTAGAGTATTTAGCGTATAAGGGCTGATGCCAACTTCTAGCATACGTTGCCGCGTCGAAACGGGCAAACGGAACGGGAATGGTGGTGTCATCGGAGTAGTTGATTCTGTAGGAATAAATAGCTAAAAATTGCAGTTTTTCATACGATCTTTCGTTGAAAAAACGTGTCCACTCATTCCGATCGAGTAATCTTCGTAGGTTGCCGATGCGTCCAATAGATTCATATCCACAAATAAATGCTTCAATCGGTTCTAAAAAGGAATCCATATGTCAGGTGCTATTTTTAGATATGAACAGAATTGCGGTCAGTCAGTCGTCAAAATCACTCACGTAGTTGAAAAACCGTGAAACTTCTTCGCTGCTGAGTCGTATTGCTTGCGAAACTACAATAAAAAATTCTTTGAGGTTAAAACGTTGCGAAATCCATTTGATGCTATTATTGCATTAATTTGGTTCTGTCGCTTTTCCAGCGGGACGGGCTTAAAAAAATGATGCAAAAAGGCGACGTTTTGGTCGAAAATCGGCGTTTTTGGTTGAAAAATCGATATTTTTGATGTTTAGAATAAAAAATTGTAAAGTTTTCACGTTTAGGCATACTAAAAACCCATTTAGAAACCCACAATTTATATTTGAAAAACGCGATCCTAAGAAAAAAATTGGTCCCCCACCCCCGGAAATGCGAAAGAACCCATTAATTTTCGTAAAAAAGAGCAAGCCAAACCGCTCATAACTTGATGTCCCAGCCTAGTAAGCTCCAAACACTAGCAAATAGAAAAGCTATGGAAAAAGCGGTGCCTTGATCTTCGTTCTGAGGTTGTGAAGTTGTGCTTGTATCCTTCTCAGCATCACTCTGGGCCCTTTCAGCTTCAGGAAGAGCTCTTTTCGCGCGTGCTACGACATCTGAAAGCGATATGGCCAAGGCAACGAGCAAAGTTAAAACAGCAGCCATGTGTTATTTGTTGTGCCAACATAGATAAGCCGATATTACTAACCTCCTCCAGCGGCGTTGGGCTGAAATTTCCGTTTAGTTTTGAAATCTAGGCCGGCTTGTTCCAGTGGTTCTGGTTCGTTAGCGGGGGGGAGGAGTTTTTTGTTCAAGGTTGTTCGATGCCTTTGCTATTTTTTCGACGGCTATAACTCATTCCAATAGAGCACGCAAAAATACACTAACAAGTTGTAAGAGTTTTAATAACACTTCCAAATAGTGTCATTTAAAATAGTTAAAACTCCAAAAGCACACACAAAAACGCATTTAAAAATGGGGTTGGTAAGCTATTTTTCGATTTTTTTTGCCATTTTTTGACATTCTGTTAACTTCATCCGGTAGCTAATCAAAAATACTAAGCGTTTTAATGGCAGCTGAAAATAACATAATTTAAAACACCGGAGCAATGAAAAACCAACGATAAAAATGTTCCCCCTAAAGACTACCCCTCCCGCCCCTTGTGAACCAAAACTCTCCAAGTAATAAAGCCTTAAAAACCTACCTTCAGCATCATTTCGATCAAAGTTTTAGCAGAGACGGTTGTTGGGAATCTAGAAAAAAAGTTTATGAGTTCATGGTCAAATGGACACACTTTTCCATTCGATCCGAGAAATGTTGCTTTGTAAGCCGATGGATGTTGGCACAAATGGCTTCTTGTAGTAGCTGTCTCGTTTGCATTGTCATTTGGCCCTAAATAATTTCTTCATTGAGTATTAAAACGGCCTACTCGGTATTTCGTGTTGACCGTATCGGTGAACAGCCCCATATTTGCTACCCGGGTGTCGATTGTGCCACCATCAATCTGAAAAATTTAGGTTGATAGGACTACTGTATGGCATCGTACCTGACATGATAAGAAGCGCAGGTATGGGCGGTCATCGACCGATTTTTGTAGATCAAGATAAGCCGAAATGGAGATGGCTCGACCTGGAAAACTGAAGCGATCGCAAAAATGCACACACCTGTTACGTAGACTGTTCCGCTGACAGGAAATTGAAGGATCACATTGATAGATCCACCGAGTAGACCCGTTACACTGTAAACTTAAAATCATTTACCAAAACCAACAAGCGTAATCACGAGAAATATGCTTGGAGAAATGCAAATTTCCCAAAATACCCGATAACAAGTTCCGTTAGACACCAAAAATCAATTCGCTATCCCGGGAATAGAAAAAAGCAACCCGATTCCTGGATCTGTTTTTCTGTAGCCAATCGGATTTGGGATGGGCAAAAAAAGTAGGGAATACAGAGGGGTGTTCGAGGCCACAGATGCATAATCCGGAAAGGAATGCCGTGAGATCGCAGGGGGGAGAGGAACTACGATTAAGGCCCCCCGTATTCCATTTAAATCCTCTGAACTACTATTTTGTATCTAGCACGACGTGTGCGTTGATGCATTCTCCCATTTGCTAGTAACTCCATTGAATTTTGCTGCAACAGATAGTACATCCAGCTTAAAAAGAAGCCGTGTTGAGAAACGGGGCTCTGCTCTCTACTTTTGACAAGCAGCTAACCTTGAACTCTGATGTCATAAATGAACTCACAAAAAGTCGAGATCCTGAACTCTTAACAGGAGCTGATTGGGCGGGTGTGGAGCAAACGAGACCAAAGATGGTTGTCGAAATGAAGACACGTGAAACGAGTGTATCTAAAAGGAAAAATTACAATTCCTGAATCAATGTCTATTTACCTGTACACATCCTTCCTGAAAACACTGTTGTGTACTGGGTATTCGTATTCTCGGCGTCTCATATTCAACAAGACCAGCTGAAAACTTATGTAATAAAACTTATTACAAAAAAGATAGCAGTAATTTGAGATTTAGTTCATAGGCGGAAACAGCAAAGCAAAACGTACCGACGATGTTAGATGCTTGCTCGAATATGCCATGGTTCATTCGAACGCGGATCGCTGGCTTCGGGGGCCCTGTTTGGGCACTCGCTGTCATTATCCATAGCTAAAACAGGTTTTTGGGACCGCTATAAACATAGCTGAGAAAAGTTTTGATAAGTTCGTTTCTAGAAGTCCATATTGTAATGCTAAAATTGCGATGTGTCAAGTTGTGATGAACGGACTTAAAAAACTCGCTCATATCTGCAACTGGTGCACTGACATTAACGGTTCTTATTTCCTGTATTTTGCCTCCCCCGTGCGCCCTTTTCATTTCGGACTGCGAGAAAAATCCCGTCGTTGGGTGTCAAGCGGCGGATGACCCCTTGGCTTTCGATTCCACTCCCATGTCCTCCGGCAGTTCAACGCAAAACTGGCTCTACCCCCCGGGGACCACCACCAACAATTGATCCGTTATGAGCTCCCGATAATTTAAAGTTTCTCTAAAATCATGTCAAAGCGGAGGAGATACACCAAGGATTAAATTCTTGTAGGTCTTGTGAGGTCAAACTTTTTAGCTAGCCAATTACTGGGTGTCCCAAAAAAAAGCACCCCCCCTCTAGCGGGCCGGGGGAAGCTTAGATCGGGATAATTTTTATACCATTCGAAAGCTCTCGGCAAGGCGAGAAAACAAGCGGGATTTATTTTATGAGATTTATGTTTATACGCTGGATATTCAACGTTTTTCTGAAAAACAGGTAGATTTTCAATAGGAATTTCGCGATTAGCATGCAGATCTCGCGTAAATCTGCCGTTTTCATGGTTTTTGGACGTAAAATTTGCTAATAAAAATCGATAATAAAGAAAATGAACCCTCCTTGTTTTCTCGCCTTTTCAAGAGCTTTCGATAGATACCTAAACGATAAAAATCGGACACGACTGCGCGCCGCTAGAGAGGGGGTGCTTTTTTTGGGACACCCCGTAGACTGATTTTCCATAAGTATCGCGATAAGTTGTACGAGAAGTAAGCACCGTTTATTATCAAAAGTCACTAATTTTCGCTGTGTGCCGAAAATTGCATCATAAAGGCCCGGATTGTGCTCTGATTTCAGGCCTTTGGAAAGTCTATAGCACATGGAATAGTCCTTTTTCTGGCTCGTATAATTGAGGTTGTTTATCGGGGGGGGGCTGGTACTCAAAACGATTCCTCAAGTGAGTTGTGCCTTGTGGCTAGATAAAAATTTCTTTTTATTCTATCGTTGAATCTCCCGGGACATTCCAAGTTTCAAGATTTCTTATCTCAACCGGTTTCAAGTGTCTTTTCTTTCAAAAAAATTGGTCAGGGGTCGATGACGTAGGGATTGGCGAGGAAAACAAGGAGACGACAAATGGTTCCACCGCCGGGGTCGTCGGGTCAAAAAGTATTTGTGCGAGCGGTATGGGAGAGCATCCAAAAAAGTGTGGTACACCTAACCGCGAAAATTTTGGTGAATCCTAGATATCTAACGGACAATGGGCGACGAAGCCAAAGGCGATATCGCCCATTTGTCCGAATAACTGTTTCAGAATTTACTCTATATGAACTAGCAAAACGGCTTGTGGTAGCTAATATTTTTGGCTATGAAGCACCAAGCTAGCGGCTTCTTCATCTCCTTAGCAACCCAAAGCTGTGCAAGCTCCGATTTGGGTGTTCGTGTGTTGGTTACCTGGAAAAGTGCGTAGAGATGCCGAGAGGAGGGCATGTGGAAAGGAGCGGAATGGAATGGAATGGGCGGAAAAGAGAGGAGGGTATGTGTCTCCTCCTCCTCCTCCACCACCCAACCAACCGCCCTCCTCCCCCAACGAGTGTTGATGACACGGGATTCGAGCCCTCAGTTTTGCCTGTCTCGGGACCGCCCCAGTCTTCGACCCACCGTAGCAAAAGAAGGAAGGAAGGAAGGAGTCGAAGGATGAGCCACATATATGTGGAGGAGGGGGAGGAAGAGGCGGAGCAGGTAGTCACAAAAGGCCCTCATCATCATTTTCCTTTCCTCTTTTCTTCCTTCCTTCTACATGGCAGACAGGGCTTATGCTTGCTGAGGATGACCTTGTCCTCCAGGTCCTTCGGGCTTGCCGATTTCAGTTCCCCGGACCACCCTTGGCAACTAGTTCTCAAAATGAATATACATAGGAAACTCGATCGCTCATTATTCCGGCTGAAGCGATTTATCTGGCGCAACAATCACTGCGCCATTCAAATCCATATCTACCAGACATCAGGCAGGCACAATGTGTAAGCCTGCACGGCATTAACTTTAGTTCCGGACGTTGCGCGGTTTTTATTTCATCGTTGCTCCATCGAATTGGGTAAACGCATAGGGACCGGTCAGCTGATAGACAGGCCAACTTCGGTTTATTTTTTGCCAATTCTTGACGAGCCGACACCGCGTTAATGCCCAAATGAATCGGCGCAACAAGCTTGGCGCGATGCTGGATTCGGAAGTATTTTCTCTTGCGCACGCATGAGAGTGACTCGATCTTTGGCCGGCGCAACCATTTTCAACGTCATTCGGTTGCCGACCCGCTCCGAGAGGAATACCCCCAAAATTTGTTGTTTTAGGTTTAACATGACTTCATTCTGTTTCACTGCAACTAGTCGCAAATCCGAACCCCGTCACAAACATACACCCTGTTGACGAGCGTTTAAAAAAACTGAGGCATGATGCGGCGCCCTTCTAGTCAAAACAACGACCCTTCATCCCTCAGAGACTCTTCTCGATTTCCGGCAGCTATAAAAACCGGTCTTCAACCGACTACTAGGGGTAACGTTCTCAAAGTTTTCATGCTCTATGGTGATCAGCTTGAAGGGTGTGCTGCTTAAAACGGGTAGTCTTTATTTCACGTAGTGCCAAGCCCCCCTGGGCTGAAAATCGAGACCATCAGACAACGTCGATCACGAGACCAAGTAAAAATAAGACCGTAAAAGTATTATGATTCATGTAATTTTAAACACATGAAGAGGTGCAAATCAAGGAATGCAACCCCAAATACACAAAGAGGGAGTAAAAACCTTACACATTTTAACGGCTTACAAAAGGCCCTTGACAGGGAATATCGGTAAATTAACGTGTAGACATAATTTTCGAACATTAGTAACTAATCACAAACATTAAGAGAAAGGTGTCGACGAACCCGAGTGGAACCAAAAGTAGGTTACAATAAATAACGCTCAATAAAGATCAGGATTTTCTATGAGAAATTTGGTATATATTGGAGAGATGAGAAGGCGAAGGTAAGGCTGCACGGCAAGCCATTGTTTCGGAAGCTGGACGGGATGAAGGCTCAGATGACGGCACTCGGAGCGTGGACTGAAGACCACGCGTCTAAGCTGCCTGAAAAGAAAAAATGTAATTGCCTAAAGGATTGATCTCGAGCTATATGCTTCGAAGAATGCTTTCTTGAGCTAAAGGGGCAGATTTTTGGTCTCCGCAACGCTATCCTATCCCGAATCCGCCTACTTGAGTTTGGGACCAGCTTTGAAGATCAGCCGACCAGACGGGGCCTCTACCCAAACGCTGTCCACTGGCCCACTTTCCATTGAAGTAATCTGAAACGGCCCACAAGGGAATCCCTTCATTTTCCTGTCTCTTCGCTTTATAATTTTAGTCTTTTAGTCATCCAAAACGGCACGAGGCACGCGACGAGGACACTTAGTCGGCTAACTCTTCAATGTATTGATTACTCTCACCGAAAAGACAGGAATCGGGGATTATTGTGGACCGTTCAGTTTAGACCATGCCAGGTTAGGTACGCAACAATCGCTTCTTCCAAACGCGCGGTTCCAGGGCACCGACGAATATTCAGAAAATTTTGGGAAACACAGCCCAGCACAGATTCGAAAGAACTGTCTATCTCACTATATACCAGCCACTATCTCGCTGGTAACGTTAATTATGAAAAGACGCTTCTCAGAAGAACGAGCATGTTAGTTTTGGCAATACAGGCGGTACAGTCTTTCCGAAACACTACACAAAGGTTTACAAATGCCCAACATACCTTCTTGGCCGGCGGCTGGCTAGCAGATTCGCCCGCGGGACGCTTCATTGAAGCCAGCTTGCTGACAAACAATCGATAGCCCTAAAAATGTTAATAAAGGTAAAATTAACCGGAACATACGTTGACAAACTGCTCAGGGGTCGGAACTTTCCCGGCCCGGGGAGCCTGCGTCGTTTGCAGCATCTTCAGAAGTTTTGTTGGATCAGTTTGCAACACTGAAAAAAGGACTTCAATAACTAATCGAAGAAGATTCGATTTGATAACTTGCGAGCGTCTTAGATATTAAAAGGCCTTACAGGTAGTCTTCATCTCATTGACAGGAAGCTCCTTGTTGGGCCTACGGGCGGCACGCTTCATGTTCAGCTGCTCCTTAGTGGCAAAGCGTCGGATAAGACGGGCGATGAAATGCGGCACCATCGAGAACATCTTATTCGCCTAGACAAAGGATTAGTAATTTGGAGCCTGTCCCAACCTTTGAAGCACCATCAAGGAGCGTAGGCTTATTCACGGAAGCTGATGAGCCTTGGGTTGTCAAATTGAGCGCCTCAGGCATTGCTCCTCGCAACAAGGCGAATTGAGCTCGGCTAGCCGCAGCCACCTGTGCGTTCATCGTACCTCCAGCCTCGGCGGCTTGTCTAAGAAAAATAATTCTTTGAATTAAGCCAAAACTTGCCTGGCGGCAAGATAGGCCGGGTGGGTAGTCGGGACCTTTGCAACAACGTGGCCCCCAAGCGATTTCATCGGGTGAATCTTCTATAAATTCATAGAATCCAAATGGATTGGCCAACAAACCGGGGTGTGGCCAGTCACTTTGTCAGCACCGGTGATTGCCTCGCGGGCAGCCAGCTCCGTCTCTGCTTCCTTCAGATCAAACATATCTGAACAAAGCAATCATTCACTGAAATACCAAATTCCCCTAAGGTTGCTGGGTTTTCCTATGAGCAGAAAAATCTCACCGTGCACATGAGGCTTGTCGATGGCGGCAAATTTCTTCCACTTATTCTGGCATCGCTCACAGATATACAGCTGTGCAATAGCCGGACCCCAACGGTACCATGAGATAGAAGTTTCCGTCTGGATTAGAGACGGATAATAATTGTATAAGTTGGTAAAATTACCTTGCAACTCTCGCAGGGCTGCTTTCCACGGATTGGCTCCTTGTCAGCTGAAGAGGAGACAAGATTCTCGCACACTTTGTTGTAGGTCGGGATGTAGACCTGAAAAATTGCTTACAAAAGCTCGATGTTCTCCATCTGCAAACAGATCGAATCCATGGAAAGCACCGCTACCTGCTTCAACTTCAGCTCGCTTTCACTATTCTTAGCCTTTTTCGTATCTTGGTAGCGGTTAGTGGTCTTCCACATATAGTAGTATTCCACCAAGTCGCGCACCGACTTCCAAGGCAACTAAATCATTACGTAAGATCGGATAATCCCTTCAAGATCTTACATAGTCGCTGCGCATGTCGTGGAAATCTTTCCCATACTTTTCCAGTGCCTCTTCGAAAAGATTCGATTCGGCGGTAGACCATTCTTCAAGTTGATCTCTAAAAAAAACAAATGAAAGACCCACTAATCGGAACAATGTTTGGTAAAGGTTGCTTAACGGGGGGGACAAAAACCGGGGTAGAAACAATTTTTAATTTCAGTCCAAAAAACTGATTTTAACCCCCCCGTTAAGCAACCTTTACCCAATGCTTAAAGGAACGCTGCAAAATACCTGCAGAGAATAGGGCCACCGAGTGAAGAGGTATTGAGGCCCGTAGCCTTTTCGGCATCAAACGGATAGGTCTCCTTATTGGCTGGTGGGCAAAGGAAGCGCACGGCCTTGCCAAGATCGTAGTCGGCTTGATGGAGCAAGGAGAGCGCATGGAACAAAGTCACGTCGCGGCTAGCTGCTGCGGCCACCATATGAAGAGTCGGGAACCTTGCAGAGCTGTTCGTGTCCAGGGCACGAGAAAAAGTGCCCACGGCCCTGAAATAACCGTTTTCTTTCGTTTGCAATGAATAATACAAAATCTTAGTTGGGACTTTGCAAACCATCAAAACACTCAAGAGACTTCCACTAGTTTTTAACACTGGGCAAAAACAAACCTAGCAACAATCAGAAACTGGTCGATTTCCTGGTCGGAAAGTCCATGGTGCGGGTGGTAGATGATACGCTCGCGCTCAGTCATTGGCGTTGCCTGTTCGTCAGATTGAGTTGGTAACGGCTCCTCATGCTCCTCATCGCCCTCGTCAATCTGGAGACCGTTTTCTTTGTTGTCATCATCATCCACGATCGCGGCTTGCTCTTCACGCGCCTTGCTGTCCGGAACCGGGATGTCGTCCAACTACAAAAAAAACAGAATGTGGTCGATGGCTACGAACTAGTCATAGACACTACTGAAATATAAACCAACCTGAGCCTGATATTTTTGCCCAACGCGAATGGCTCCTTTGTCCGCAACCAGGGTCAGATTGGCAGCGTCGTAAACGAGCGAGTAGAAAAAGTGGTCCTCGCCCTCGTAGCAATGCAGATCTTCAACCTCGTTCAACAACGTGACAGCGCAGCGTCCACGCACTTGGTTACATTCGATGATCTCATGATGGCGTGTGAAGAACAGCTCCTTGTGCCTAAAATCAATTCATAAACCTATCAAGCTTATATAAGTCACCTGAAGAGATGGCGGTCAGCCTTGTCCAATTCTTCCACACCAAGAGGCAATCCGGCGTTGCCCCACTCGCGCACCAAGTCATCCTCCTCTTCTTGTTCCTCCTCTTTGGCTTCTGGCGGTGCAGTTGCTTCTTTTTCTAGAAAGTATGTAGATGAACAGAGCTCTACATAAATCAGCGACATGTCAAGAAGCGGGTATAGGTTGCTTAACGGGGGGGCAAAGAACGGGGGTAGAGACAATTTTTCTATTTATAAAGTATATCCTGCCATTTTAAAAACGCGATTGGATAGAGCGTCGTAAATTATACGAAGAGATTTAATTTCAGTCCAAAAACCTCATTTTTGACGATCTTTAATTGTTTAAACTTTTTAGCTTAATAAAGTAATCATTTTAAATTGTGTATTTCGGGCTGAAATTAAATCTCTTTTTTCTATAACATGATTATTTTTGATAATTTTTGACGCTCTATCCGATGGCACTAATGAAATCCCGACAAAAAAAAAGCTGAAAACGACGAAAATGATGATCACCTTATGTACCTGTTGCCGTTGCTGTTATTTTTTTGACGCTCTATCGGATGGCCTGTTTGAATTGGCACGACAGGCCCCTATAGGGTAAAAATGGTTATATCCGTTATTTGTTTGTAGTTGTGTTCCCACCCCCGCTATTTGCCCCCCCGCTAAGCAACCTTTACCAAGAATCGAAGTCGATGGTTTTGTTTTTTAATAACGAATTTATAATGCATGATTTCGGGCTCAAATTAAATATCCCAGTATATTTTTTCTAGTATCCGATGGCATTCATGAAATCCCGTTAAAACAGCCAAATATACCGAAAATTATGGTCACTTTATGATTATACTTCATGGACGGCGCAGAGTTTTGTTGCTTTAATAACGAATTTAAATTACAGTAATTCGGGCCGAAATAATTATCTTAGTATATTTTTTGACGCTCTATCGGATGGCATGTTTGAATTGGCACGACAGGCCCCTATAGGGGAAAAATGGTTATATCCGTTATTTGTTTGTTGTTGTGTTCCCACCCCCGTTATTTGTCCCCCCCCCGTTAAGCAACCTTTACCAAGAATCGAAGTTTTGGACCCACCTTCAGGTCCATTTGTAGGTTCCTCCTTCGCTGGCTGCTCCTCCTAAATGTACACATAAGACGAACACGGATTCCGAACTACCTTCTTAACTTTTGCCGTGGTATGGCCGTTTGTTTCATCCTCTTCCTTTTCTTCACGTGTAAAGTCTAAAGGCAATTAGGATCAAAAGAGGCTAACAACTTACACTCTTCAAATTTCCTTTCAGCCGAGTCCGCGACTTGAAGAAGGCATTTTTCTAGGTCTCGGCGTCGATAGAAGCAGGCAACTTTGATTTCAACAGACGTTCCATTCTGTAAGTTCAGAGAGATTTATAGAGTGAGTATCATCTATTAGTATCAATCACAATTTATAGAGTGATTGCAGAGAAAGATTGCGTGATAGTCTCTCAAGAAACGGTATCATACCTTGATGAGCTCATCGATCCTACGGATCCCATATGGCGCGTTAGGAGTCTTTTCTACGTAAATATGGTCTAAAAGAAAGTTAATGGGGAACGTCAATACTAACCGCCTAAGCGATACATATTCTTGGTTTGACTCGGGTTGGCGGCCCCTGAGGAAGACATCCTGAAACAGGAATCTGTAATGCCCTCCAGGAAATAAAAGCAGCAAAAAATTAATGAGAGATTGTAAGAATCTAGACGCTGGCATTAGTCTGTCGAGTTGAATTGGAATGTCTGCCTAAGGGTGGGTGGATCAGCGCGGGGGGTCAGCGCCAATCGATCGAGTGGACACGGCTTTAGGCGCTGGAAGGGGAAGAGAACAACTGAATAGAGAGGGTGTAGAGATGCATGGCACCCAGTCCTCTAGCTAGTAGGAACGCAAACTCATTCGCAGCTCGAGAAAATTAATAATGTTTCATTGGTGCAACAACGGATCGCCACGTTCGAGTTAGATACTAAACCTGTTAATGTTGAGGAAAAAGTACCGTTGAATATCAATAGCACTAGCAAAGGAATCCACTAAACGTCGAACATCCCTACAATTTTAAAGCATAGGCACCTGTTAGTAAAGTGCAACGGGTCTATTGCACTTGGGGGCGGGGGGGCGCAGTCCGAATTTTGACGACAAGTTGCTCCAAATGCCGTTTTTAGACTCGAAGCCTCTGGAAAAGCTAAGCTAAGCCTAAGCCGAGGATTAGCTTCATTCAAGCGAAACTTAAGTTCAGATTGGGCAAAGCTTACATTAGCTTAGCTCTAAGCTAAGGCTAAATGGCCCCCTTTTGACCTCGTAAGGCATGATTAAAGCCAAGTGCAGCCTAGGCTTAAGCTGAAAAAGTAGCTTAAAGGGATGCCGACGGCATAATCAATCGGTTATGAGTTGGAAAGAAAATGTCTCTGCGCCTCTCCCCAGGGCGTGCTCTCTGCCCTGTTGGCTATTTGCCAATTTGTTGATGGGGGGGGGTCGATACCTGCCGTAGGCACCCCTTTAAGGGGAGCGCCTCGCAACCCCTTACTACCAAGTTCGGACTGCCCCCCCCAACTGCATTAGTATCGTGTAGGACGCAATTGGCGCAAGGCACCGAAATACCGGAAAACTAGCAGCTAAGCAACAAACACGCCAATCGACGTAAAATAGATGAGGATAGGACTTGGAATTTCGAGCTAGATTTATTGAAACGAATCTCTAAAAAAAGGCATTACAAAGTGGGTGAGCGGAACGAGACGGTTCTAGTGATACCATTGGCTTCCAAAAACGTTTTTCAATTCTACGAGCCTAAAAAAGAAAAACTACGGAGGTCGGGGGCGCTAAGCCAAGAAGGAAAGAAAAAATGGAAAGAAAAGACGAGCGGCGTCGATATCAAATGTTTTGATGGAACCGCCGTTATCCGGGATTTTGTCGGGCAGAATTCGCATAGCAGATGAACAGATAAAGCAGATGAGGCGAAACCGGGGCGACTATCCGGCCAATTTAATGAACACATTAATAATTTAGATGATAAGAGAGACAAAAAGACTAATGAATACATTAATGATTTAAATGATAATACAGTCAAAGTGACCTTTTCTAATGATAAAACTGATTTTGAATATTTAATTAAATACTGAGTATATCTCTCACACGACGTAGCGTTAGGACCGCAACAATGTAATGGCATTTGCAAAAATAGTGAAATTCGTAATGATGGGTTCCCCGTATCCCCGTGATGCCATATAAACTTAATTCCGTTTTTATTCCTGAAACGCAATAAATTCAGAAGTCACAGTGAGCTTCAGAGTTCTGACTATTTCCCCACCCTGTACTTGGTGCGCCCTGTACAATCTCACAGTCTCCAGGTCAGCATTTTTGTTGATTGAAAGATTTCAAAAACACATATATCGATTGAAGCAAATGCCGTTGTAGTCTGGCCGCCGATAATTACTAAGATGACCTATACCATTCCATATTTATTGAGATTTCGAAGGTCTATTCATATTTACGCCAAAAAATTATACAACGTCTTGTGAGTAGCAGCAGGTTAAATCCAAAATAACTGGAGATCTGATAGAAGGAATTGGAGCGGGTCTGTATCCATTTTGATACTTTAATACCCCGGGACCCGTGACGAAAACTGTTCGCCTAATCTTTTCCGGGCCAAAATCTTCAAAAATAAACGAGACACTGTGGTTTATGGGAAGGACGGGACTTTGCATCTGCAAGACCATTGATTATTTGAAAACAGAAAGTGAAGGAAGGCGCTGCGGAAAGAATTGATTTCCCATGTATAGTTGTTGTGACGGCCGATCAACTGTTAGTACAAGCCACAGCCTTTGAGCTTCGATGAAAGGATCGTATCGAGAACGGAGTCGAGTACAAATTGGACCTCAATTCGGTTCTTTTTAGCATTTTTTTGCCTTTGCATACCTGTTCCGTATCAGTAGCACAAGTATGATGGCAGTAGACGTTTTTGTTGGGATTTTCATTGACCTAATGGCATGTTAAAGCATAAATTTAGAACCGTTTACGTGTAAATATTTCTTTTCGATGTAGTGGGATGCTGCTTCATACGTTTCTGCGCCTATAAAAACCAGTTATAATGGAAAGGGGGAGAATATACTTTTTGGAGAGATTATGCCAAAAGGTTTCCCCTTAAAAACTTCTGGTGAAGACTTACCTTTATAGTCGGGAAATGCAGCCGTCAAGGATCTGCCGTTACCAATCTTCTGTGCAAACAGATCTTTCTAAAGGGAATAGTTTAGATCAAAATTTGCTAGTGCTACAGGCGCAAAATAAGGGTGAGAGTTGATACCTTGTTAAGAAACAGAATGACCGATGTGCTGGTGAAGAATTTGCTGTTTATGACTTGCTTGAAAAGATGGATCGATTCTTGCATTCGGTTCTGAAAACGTTAGCCTAGTTTGAAGAGAAAATGTGGGGTGAAATGGTTATTACTGATGACTTACCGTTACATTGTCTTCAATGAGAACTTGATCATATTCTGAAAGTGCCGCTACATAGATGATAGCCTTTGCATCATCAAAACAATGAATCCATTTTTTACGTTGCGAACGTTGACCTCCTACGTCGAAGACTCTGAAAAAGCATTTAGAAGGCTTGTTGGTACTGGACTATTAGCGGGGGGCGGGGGAAAACATTTTCTATTTTTTCACCTGTCGATAGTATCTAATGTCTTTTTATGGTGGTTTTAGTAGTTTTTGATTGCTAGAAAGTTATAAAAAATATCTTTAAGAATTTTGAAGATTAAAATGTTCCCCTTTTTGGTTTTTTTTGGTTTGGTTTGACCAAAAAGTCAAAAATCTTCGAAAATTTTTATTTTTTCTTTATATTTTTTTATATCTAAAAACTATGTGATTTGCTATAAAAATTGTTTATATTTTGTTATCGGGAAAAATTTGGTTCCCCCCGCTAACAGTCCAGAACCAAATTCTTTTCGGAATTGAAAGTTTCTAAATATTTTAAAGATAGCACGCGCCAATGGGCGCTGGGTGTCAAAGGTTAGACCGGCATTGGAATTCCGTTATGATGGAAATGCTGCGGATATTTTCTCGAGTCCGGCTCCCCACCTCCAGGTCTTGTTTTTCATTTTGAACATAACTTCTATAACGCCCATTGTTGCAACACGAGTATGTAGAATATCTTGCTCTGTTGGGACATAGTTCTCGTCGGATATCCGATCCAGAGCATCAAGAAAGCTGTAATTTCGGGTGATATTACCATTTTAAGCTCTTGAAAATGAACCACAAGGCGCTCAATGGCTTGGTAAACGCGCTGTCGCACGGCTGCTCATTACAGAATTTCACATGGAGGACCAGTGACCTTTACCTCCGACGAAACCAATAACTCACTATGCAGCAGAATCATGTAGATAGAATTCGTCTTTGCGCTCATAGGCGGCGCGTACTCCCTTATCATCCCATAGTGCTTTGATTGAATTATATAAGGGCTTCGTCAGTCCATTTTGCTCCTCTTTCCGCTCAAGTGTGTGGAGTATAAGGGCAACATGGTCCTGGAAGTTGACAATGCATTTTCTTTATGCGTCTCAAGCTTGATAAAATTTAGTTTAAATGCTGCATAAAGAACCGCTAAGATCACGTTTGTGTGCCATAAAAAATTACCATGTTGGTGGCGTTGGCAAGTGGTATTTTGACGGCGTTGAGCCCCTCAATTAGAGCACCCATTACCTAAAAATTCGTCGCCTTTACGTTGAGAACAGAGGGGAACAAATTGATTAAAATAAGAGCATACGGATCGTTCTAAAGCGGAAAAGCATAAATTTCAACCTGTATCAAATTAGCATGAACGACAGCTCTTTTTTCGCGTGCTTCGGCTGGGGTGAAGCCGTTGTCGTGGATAATTCTAGAAAGAGCGGGATTATTGGGAGTTTTTTTTTGATCAGTAGGCATTTTAGAGACGCTAAAGCGTTACTTCATTTGTTTAAGGACAGTGCTTTTCCCACTTTCGCCAGCGCCCAATAATAATAACTTGATGACAAGCTCTGAGGTTCGTCGATCATTTTCCAGGGATGCGTTGATCTTCTGAAAAAGGCAGGATATTGTTTGGATTGATCATCTCCTTAAGGGATCGTGCATTTTTCGCTGATTAGGGCACAGTATGTGCGTGAGTGAGATAGATAGAGAAAGAGAGAGAGAGAGAGAGAGAGAGAGAGAGAGGGAGAGAGGGAGAGAGAGAGGGAGAGAGAGAGAGAGAGAGAGAGAGAGAGAGAGAGAGAGAGAGAGAGAGAGAGAGAGAGAGAGAGAGAGAGTGAGAGAGAGAGAATCTGGAGAGTATGTGCCAGACCCATGTCACCCAACACTACGCTTTGAATTATCCTCTCAGACGCTAGTCGCCGGCCAAAAAAGCGTGGATGTGCAAAGGGACGGGTTAGCTGGATTCTGGAAGATGCAATTCCTTCAAATCACCCACCTGGTTTCTTTTATTTGATTCGGCCTGAGCACTGTCGCAGTTTCCCATGCTAAATTCTTCGGTTTGTACGTACATAGAAGTAGGGTAAGTTACTTTACCCCCCCACAGCCGAAGGGTCTCCAAGTTTTCGGTATTTTCGCTTATTCTGTCGGAATTTTTGCAACGCCATTCGATAGAGCGTCGGAAAATATACTAAGAGTTTTAATTTGAGCCTACAATAATGTAAAATTAAAATGTTATAGCCAAAAACTTCCGACTGGGGAGGGAGGGGGGGTAAAGTAAACCGTAGCCCGAAGTAGTGTTGGTTTTTGGACGAAAATTCCGCGGACTTTTTGGGCCGTCGGACTTTTACGTCCGAAAACCAACACTAAATAGAAGGAAACGAACATGGTCAAAAATAGCTATCAAATTTTGGAATGGGCTATCCACTTAATATCATAAAGTAAATAATTCTTATTTCCATTAATTCCTTAGGAAGTTCTCGCTCGGAGAATCCACTACGATTTTACACTAATCATCGCGTAGGTGAAAAGTTCTGAGAATTAACCCTACAGGGTGGGCAAAAAAAAAAGCCCACAGTTTGTGTCGAAATATCTCACGAACGGTAGAGAATCGAAGGTGTGTTACCATGCCAGAATGCTTAAATATGCTGGGTATGAAGATTTAACACAACTTGATTTTTTCGATTTTTGAGTACGAAACTGTACTATTGACGCTGGTTACGACCGAAAATTGTGCGTTCTGGAACGGGTGGTGGGAAAATTCTGATTTTTGGTCTAAAAATAGTATAAATTTGTAGAAATTTAATGGCAAAATCTTAGAATTTATCGAGGTCAATTTCATTTTTTGAAAGCAAAACAATTTTCGCGATATTGCGTTATTTTTGTTCTTTGGGTCATAACTTGCTTCTAACAGACTACTCATGGCTGATATTTTGTCAATGACCTATCCAAATATTAATCTCGGATTCCACACCAGATTCCTCCACAATCTATGGTATTTTTGTATTGCTTGCTAAAACGTGCCCCAGCGGGGTACTGTAGGTTTCGTTTTCCCCGCTTTTCTCGGGGCCCTTAGCTTCGATTCGGCTGAAATTTTCTGGGTTGTTAGGCAATAAGTAGGGGCATCTCACTGCCAAATACGAGAGCGTACTATCCACAAACTTTCATGAATAAGGCTAAAATCTGATTTTTTAATTCTGCGGCAGAATTTTGTAAATTTTTTGGTCAATTGGTCCTAAAAATTGCTACTATTGGTTTTCCGAAAAGATCGAAGCGATTCCATGGCAAAAACACCACGAAAATCGCAAATTTCGGTTTTCTACAGTAACCCACGTGGAGCGCGTTTTAGCATGCCATCACAAAATTCCATAAAGTGACGATTTTTCTATTCGAGGGCCTTCTAGAGTTGATTGTAAGATAACCTGTTAAAAATTACTGATTTTGGGTGGTAAATAACAAAGTTACGAGGCAAAGTGCAAAACAAGGCCAGAGAGCCGATTTTTGGTCCGAGTAGCCGGGGTCAATTTTCGAATTTTTAAAAATAAAAAAACCAGCTGGATCTTATGGATCCGATTATAGTTTCGATGTTATTATTTACGCTCGTCAAATTTGGGGGCAATCTGATTCATGATCATGGTGAATTTCAGCTCAAAATCGAAGATCTCCCTATTCCAAAATCGAAGTTTAGAAATCTTCTTAAAATTTTTGCGCCGCGAAATTGCTTTATTCTATGCATAGTTTTATTCAACTGATAGCACTGAATTATTGCTCAAAATATCCCTACGACTCCACCTTCCAAAATTTTTTGACGCAACCTCCAATTCGGTTTATTTCGGTTTTTGATGAATTTTCTTGGCGCCAAGGGCTGGTTAAAAAAATTCATGATTAAGGCTTTAGGATGCGCTATTCAACTGGGATCCGATAAAAATAAAACGAGAATTTTCACAGCGCGACTAAATTTTATAAAATGGTGACAAGATTCGGAAAAAAGCGCAAACCAACCGTTTTGGAAGCCCTAAAAGACGCCCTTCCAAAGAGGTACGTTAGATCGAAATTTTGTAAATAATAGATAAGCCCCAGTACTACATAGCTAAGCAAAGAAAATAACTGAGTGCCCTTTGGCAATTTAGAAATATTTTTCCAAAGTTGGGTTTCGAGACCTCGAAAAATCCATGACCAGGGGGTCGTTGAAAAACTCGAAAATTCATCGATCTCAAAAAATTTTTTAAGATTTTTATGCGATTGTAACGGGCTCGTAGATATTCCACAACAACTGATTTTGAGGTTTTCGCCATAGGTTTTTTTAATATTAAAAATTTACGAAATTTCTCCATACAAAATTTCATTCCTCTCGAACTTTTCAACCAGACCCTCAAAAATTCTTAAATTTTGTAGGTACATATCTGCTGCTTATATTAACTTACATAATAAAAATTAGATGCCAGCCACCACAGGAAACTGAGAAAAAAGCAAATGAAGTTTCCCCGAACGCACAGCTTTCGGGTGTCATTTGTATTGATACGTCGCCAAAAATCGAAAAAATCAAGTTGTGTTAAATCTTCATACCCAGCATATTTAAGCATTCTGGCATGGTAACGTACCTTCGATTCTCTACCGTTCGCGAGTTATTTCGACCCAAACTGTGGGCTTTTTTTTTGCCCACCCTGTAGAGGGGGATGGGAGACTTCACGAAGCACGTACGAAAGCAAAACAAGACGCACCTCAGTCTCTATGTCGTAAATTGCCGGAAATTAGGGATTGTGTGACTACGGAGCGACACGTACCGACTAGTAGACAAGTACGGATTTAACGGAACCAAAAGCGTCTAGAACTTCAATGCGGATAAGTTCCTGGAAATAGACGGCTAATTGAAATGGAGGGTTAGAGGCCTTTCCTGGTGGTGTTATGTTTCTCGGGGAGACCTGAAATGAAGGGCCATAAAAAACAAAAAAAGGAAATAAGGTCGTGAGAACCAGTGGCAAGGCAAGTTATGACCATCGATATTAGAGGGGAAAGACGGGGAGAGAAATGGGACTGGTATTGTGCTGTTAGAAAATGAAGAAAAATGTCCCGCCGGATAATTGCTGGTCATAGCAAGGGGGGGGGGGGGGCTGGGGTGAACCCATTTCGGAACTTTACAATTGCTCCTATTCTCGCTAATTTATATCTTTGAATGTCACGGAGGTAGTTTAAGAGTGGGCAGTTTGTCGCAGAGATCTGGAAAGAGCAATAATCCACACTTTGTCGAATTAAGATAATAAATAATACCGGGTGCAGCTAAGAACAATAAATCGACCCTTTCGCGAAGAGATGCAGCTGGCGTTAGCCCAATATGCGTCGATCGATAGCGTCAAAAGTGCGTCGTTTTGCTAGCTCATATTCACCTGGCTCGACAAAAGTAAAAACGGCCTGAAATGGAAAACACATGGATTTCCCAAGATTGGAATTCAGGATTTTTTGAGGGAGTGGTAATTCTCCCAATATTACGGGTGAGACTCCTACTGATCCTAAAACGTAAAAATAGTTTATGTAGTTTATGCAGGACTATGCACAATTCGCTATTAATTAGGGTTTTTTTCAAATAGTGTCCCACCGCTTTGTTAGAAACCAATTAGGGGAGTAAAAAAAAAGAGTGGATAAATATTTCCTCGGTAGGATCCAGACAGAATTATGCCAAATAAAGGCGTAAACAAGCCCTAAACTGGTACCGTAATAAAATTGTAAGTAGAAACCTTTGCCAACGCAGGGCAGCAATCGACTCCTTGGTGGGGACAACGACGCCACCCTAGAGGGTTTATTGTCAAAGCTGTTAAAACAAGGTATCTTCGTCGTCGGCAGGAGAATTTTCACCGCGACTGGCCGTCGTTATCATTCCTCTTTGAACATCATCACGTTCCAACCGAAAAATAAATTAATATTAAATAACACTTTCTAAACTTGGTGACGTCCACCGAATCGTCCATTCTGTGTGGGTCCCAAAAACGCGGGTCACAAGCTCATCTGTTTTTTGTAAGCTTAGTTGGGTAAACTACTAGTGAACTACTATGTAGTGTGATTTAGGTTGCTGCGTGTTACTCGCGCAAATCCTTTCTCCAAACTAGTTTATTGCCAAGGGCACAAAAATTACGAGGTGGTTTCCCCTTATTCCTTCTCTCTCGATGGTGTTCGGTGGGGGCTTATATTCAGGGGACGGTGAGTGGGCGGCGGAAGCGATCGGAAGTGGTGAAATCTGGAAATGGAATGTTAAGTGGTTCTCGGTCTTGGGATTCGGCTTGGGCTTCTGCAAAACCCAGATGCCCTTTGCCCTGAGGGGGCTGATGGTCCGATCACCTGGTGATCGGCACCGGAAGTGTTTGTGCGAAGGAAGACTCTTGTTTCAGGCATCACAGGCCTTAAATATTGGGTGTTTATATTCGGGCCATAAGGGCCTTAAAGAGGAGAGAAGAGATATTGTACTGTGTTTTACTGAGATTAGCTCGGTTCTAGCATAACATGCTTCTATTGGTAATTAATAAAGGCGTAATTAGTATTTTCCTTGCGCTACGCGCATTAAATATAAAGCTAAATAATTCTTGCCTTGCGTCACACGCTTTGGGAGTTTACACCTCCCTTTCCCGAGGAGAATCGTCCTCGAATCAGGAAAGGTTTTTTGTGGATCTTTTTTTTGCAAAAAAGTAAGGGGACCTGCCTTATTGGTTGCCGCTGGTGATCTCATGGGCCGGGACAGTCCATCGGTTCAAGGAGGCGACGTTGAAGAGGTCCCACCAGTTGGGGCTCTGGAACGCTGAGGCGGAGCCGATAACGATCAGCCCTTGCCTGGCGCGCGTCGTGGCCACGCATGCCCGGAGGGGGCATGCGAGGAAGTCGCCGCTGCGTGCCCGGGTCGTCTTGCTGGTGAGGACGATGGCGACTTCGCACTGGCCTCCCTAGGCCTTTTCCACCGATGAACAACGGGGGTGCTGATGTGTTGGTAGCTGTGCCGCGCACATCGTTTCGATCAGCTTCTTCTGGCTATTATAATATGTAATGGCCCAGAATTGTTCGGCCGGGAAATGTCGGAGCAGCTTTTTGATGAGCTGCATCGCGAGTCGTGCTTCCTCCCGGTTCTGGGTGCTTCCTTGGACGAGTCCCTCCGCTCGGCTTTCCAAGATCACGAACATTGCCGGGGACTCGGGTCGCGGGCTCCACTAGTTCACTGCAGTGAAGAGCGCCCGATCTTGTGGGCGGATGCGCGTGTTCAACCTGTCCTGGTAGTCTCCTAGGTCGTAGTCGGAAAAGCTAATACAGTCCTGGTATTCTTCTAAAAGAGAGAACATAATTTCAGCTTGTTCTTGATTCAATTTGGATTTAGATAAGTCAATCTGTTGCCTAATTGGGTTAGTTTGGGGATTAATTTGCATAATGATTGCTTCAGCGGTCAAACCGCCATCAACTTGAAATGGCTCGGTTTCGGCCAGGGTAGTCTGGGCATAAATAGTTACGGCTTGGCTCGTGGGATTAGCCACGACTAGGTAAGGTTCGCTAGATTTGACAATGGCTGGAGCTGCAAAGAGGTCGGGGTTTGGGAGCTTGTCTGGAATTGGAGTAGCAATGAGATCAATACCGGGGTCACTCGGGGATACTGTACACTTTATGCATGATTCCGATCTAGCGGGGATTAGGGTAGTAGCGGAAGCTTTGAGAAAAAAGTTTGTTTCTGCCAACTCTTGGACGGTGAGGGATGCCAAAGTGGCCTGGCTATCCATCGGAATTTTTGCTTGCCGCAAATAAAAGATTTGTTTTGGTAGTCTATCGACCATTTGGGGAGAGCGGCCAAAAAATCGTTTCCTAATATGACATTAAAAGCATCTACTGAGGGTTCTGGGGCGCACGGGCCATCGCTAAATAGCAGAGAATGCGAAAATTTGTTTGACCCGATTTCTATTGTGACATGAGCTGAGCCTTTAATATTCACATGCTGCCCTGCTATGCCAAAAGCTTGTGTGATTGACGCGGAATCCAAAGTAAAAGCGCCAATAAATTTCCGGGTCTAATCGGATGCTAAAGAGATACCTGCCCCGGTATCTATTAAGGCGAGCATACGGATGGAGTTGATGCGGATAGGAATTTGGGCAGTAAAAAATTTCCGCTGGCTACAGGCGAGGAAACATGAGGAAGGTGGGTACAGTAAAATCGGAGGCGAATCGGTTTCTGGCGGGATGGGGAGAGGAGAGGTGTCGGGGGAGGAGCTAATGGATGCTGATGGGACCGACCTTTTTGCCTCTCTCTCCGATGGGCCGTGTACGGTTTTTTGATCGGGCGAGCCGCCGGCCGTTGACCTCTGGTTAATCCGGCGCCATAACATTCGGATGATGGAACATGTGGAAGTGGTTATAGCTCTAAACAGAAAGATAAATGGGAATCCAAATCGAGCTACTCTAAGGGCTACCGATCCGGTCACGATGGCCGAGGTGATTGATGTCCAGATGACCAATGGCGAGGGCAGAATTTGAAAAATGACGACCCGAAAACCGTTTTCGGGATCCTCGGTCTCTTTGATATCCTGTTGAGCAATTGGGCCTAGTATGTGAGTTTCCACTTCTTTGAGGGCCCAAGCGTGCTTTTCAAAAAGCGGGGAATCAATTTCATTCCAATCGGAAATTTGGAGATCGTGAAAAATAGTGGTGGGCAATTCTAGGTTTACTGCGGGAAAAAGTGCTCATGCAAAAGATTTTGACGGGGGCCTCTAGCCGGGCTCTGGAAACCGGTTAGGTTTTCACAAAAGGTGGGCTCAAAAACGACAAAAATTTGTCTCCCAAAATTTGGGGCTTCCCATGGAAAAAAAATAAATAATTGAATAAATAATAGATTTAAAAAAATCCTGAGGAAGACGGGTTAGAGGTAGGAATAGGGAACCACTCGCTCTGCTACCAGTAAACTACTAGTGAACTACTATGTAGTGTGATTTAGGTTGCTGCGTGTTACTCGCGCAAATCCTTTCTCCAAACTAGTTTATTGCCAAGGGCACAAAAATTACGAGGTGGTTTCCCCTTATTCCTTCTCTCTCGATGGTGTTCGGTGGGGGCTTATATTCAGGGGACGGTGAGTGGGCGGCGGAAGCGATCGGAAGTGGTGAAATCTGGAAATGGAATGTTAAGTGGTTCTCGGTCTTGGGATTCGGCTTGGGCTTCTGCAAAACCCAGATGCCCTTTGCCCTGAGGGGGCTGATGGTCCGATCACCTGGTGATCGGCACCGGAAGTGTTTGTGCGAAGGAAGACTCTTGTTTCAGGCATCACAGGCCTTAAATATTGGGTGTTTATATTCGGGCCATAAGGGCCTTAAAGAGGAGAGAAGAGATATTGTACTGTGTTTTACTGAGATTAGCTCGGTTCTAGCATAACATGCTTCTATTGGTAATTAATAAAGGCGTAATTAGTATTTTCCTTGCGCTACGCGCATTAAATATATAGCTAAATAATTCTTGCCTTGCGTCACACGCTTTGGGAGTTTACAGTTGATAGCTTCTCCCGCCTAGGCCTACAGTGAATTTTTTTGTGCAAAATTTAACGCTGACCAGGGTTGAAAAGCCGCTTCGCGACTTTTCAACCCTGGCCCGTCTGAACTCATAATCTACTTCACTTTGCTTAATTCTCGATTTCCGATGACAAAAAATGAAAATCGCCCCTTCTACCCCATTATATAGGCTGCCGTCACTTTCGGCGCATGCTAATTTTTCCTAACAAAGAGGGTCCCCGATTTTTTAACAAAAACCTAAATTTAATGTCGAAAATAGGCAATTTTGGTAAATCTGATAAGCGTGCAGTCATCCCAGAGCCATTACGCACCTAATGACGTATCATACATACTTTAAAATTCATCCCCTATCGAGATATCCTCCGGACACCCTGACGGAAGTTGCATGCAAAGTGGCACACACACACACACAAACACACAGACACCATTTTTTTATATTTAACGCTGATAACGAATCAGAGTTTAGAAATTGCGGAATGACGAAATTTGAATGGTTACGTATTTAATGCTAATAAAAAGATTTGAGTTTGATGACCCATAAAAATCATTAAGAAAATATTCCGGAAGTGCTAAATAGTAGTTTTGATTCAGAAAAAAAAACAGGTTTTCGGATGAGCTATGTTTCAAAATCCACATATAGATAAAAATGAGCTCCCTCACTTCGACATCCACTGTGTAGGGGCCGCCGGTTCTCAAAGGAAATGTTTTCCGCTACAGGGTTTTTAATATGCCGCCTCTGAAAGTCCATGTTTTTCTGACCAAAAAAGCTGCCATATAATTCTGCCGGAATATTTTTTAGTGATTTTATGCGACATTAAAGCACGTCTTTTTATATGGTAAGGTACTAAAATACGTTGCAACTTTTCAAATATCGTTATTGCGTAACTACCGGAACCATATTCGAAAATAGCGTAGGTTTCCACAAAGTATGCTTGATCTCATTTCAAGGTCTCACCCTGAGTGAAAGCAATTAAAAGGCCGTTTGCGACAGACGCGAACAAGGCTTGGCACAGTTTTTTCGACCCTGTTTTTTTGACGCCATCTGAAAGCGCATGGTTGAATTAGTAGGGTGGCATATTTTTGAAAGTTTAAAAAGTTTAATTTTGGGGTTAAAATGGGTCTCAAAGTTGCCGACACCGAAAAAATATCTCGAGAACTACTTGACAGAATCTTCTGAAAATTTGTGTCAATACCTAATTTGGTGTGGGGATCATTTCTCTAATACATTGCGAAGCTCGAAAATGTCCGGAACATAGGTGTATTGCGTACACAAAACAGTTTTTCCGTTCTGTCCGGAACTGGGCGATCGGGCGGCTCTGTTGATTACTGTAGAAAGATGCGCAAGAAAATTCTGCATCGAATGGTGTATCAAACTAGAGCCGCCCGATCGCCCAGGTCGCGCTATAAAGCATTTACTAGGCAAAAATTGGCCCAAAACAGGCCCCGAAAACTTATAAAATTCAAAATAACGAAATCTGAGGCATTAGTTTGCATGTAGTCATCATGCTGAAGCCATTGCAAAAAAGAGCAAAAAGAAATTCGGCTTCTGAGAGGGGGCTGGGATTGAACTGGCGCCGACTCTGGATTGGCACGCCGACGCTCTACTCACTGCGCCACAGGGCTCCCAGGCGGAGGGTCCGGGTTCGATTCCGCGACATCGAAAGAAACTAAATTTCTTTTTGCTCTTTTTTGTAAGTGCTTCCGCTTGGTCTCTAGATGCAATATGATTCCTCAAAACACCGTATTTTGAATTTTATAAGTTATCGGGGCCTCTTTTGGGCCAATTTTTGCCTAGTAAATGCTTTATAGCGCGACCTGGGCGATCGGGCGGCTTTAGTTTGATACACCATTCGATGCAGAATTTTCTTGCGCATCTTTCTACAGTAATCAACAGAGCCGCCCGATCGCCCAGTTCCGGACAGAACGGAAAAACTGTTTTGTGTACGCAATACACCTATGTTCCGGACATTTTCGAGCTTCGCGATGTATTAGAGAAATGATCCCCACACCAAATTAGGTATTGACACAAATTTTCAGAAGATTCTGTCAAGTAGTTCTCGAGATATTTTTTCGGTGTCGGCAACTTTGAGGCCCATTTTAACCCCAAAATTAAACTTTTAAACTTTCGAAAATATGCCACCCTACTAATTCAACCATGCTCTTTCAGATGGCGTCAAAAAACAGGGTCGAAAAAAACTGTGCCAAGCTATAATGGGGCTTGGTCGGATCCCTCACAAACGGCCTTTTAAGTTGTACACGCTTAAAGTTAAGAAACATAGTTTTGGACGGACTTGTATTTATAACTCTCGTCCCCCATGCTCACGTTTGCTTGCGACCGGTAAAGGCCGGGAGCGATTGTCACATTCAAAATATCCCATTTAATTCAAGTGTAACTAAGTGCCGATAGATTTTTGTAGCATTTGTTTTTACCACTTACCCGGCTCTCATATTAAAAGGTCAGCTTCTCCACCAGTCAATTTCAATGAAGCAATGTAGCTTTCCTTAATTCTTTCATTTGATTTGATCCCTTTATTGTATTGAATTGTTATTTGCGTGGTTACCGTTGACCGACTAGAGGATAGCGCGGAATTATCTTTGCTCCAAGAGAACCATGAGATTTTCCCAACGTTTGCCCCGACAAATATTCTGCCCCGTTGAGGGCCACAGCTAAAAACAATGGCAATTATATATGTGGCAAGGGATTGCATGTCTGGCCCCATCCGCAACCACATTATTTTTACTGGGTTTTTATAAGCCAGCGGCGGTGATGCGCGAAATTAATTCATTTTTCGGAACATATTTTGTATTACATTGCATGTAAATATTGATTTTTGAAGAGATCGTGATGGGGCAATCAGGATCAAGAGAAAGCTTGCATACGGGTACGATGACCCGTCTCTCTGAGGATATGCAATTGTATCGTTTTGTTGATATGCATGGAGGCGGTGAATTAATCCCATGGATGAGGTGGGATAAATTATAGGTGGAACAATATCTGCTTTGACACGTTTTAAGAACCGAAATTATCATAAATTATATATAATTTTGGGCTGTATCTCTGTGTGTCTGTGTCCGGCCGTCACTTTCGAGGCCCGATTTGAGTTAAAATCGGTTTTATTCAATTTTGGGGCCCAGGAGGTCTAATTTGCATAATGTGAAAAATAGCAATTTTCTCATTCTTGCCAGTTGCCCTCGCGATTTGGTCGGGGCGGGGGGTCGGCAGGGCCCGAGTAATTGGAAAGTCACATTTCTCATGCAAGGACCGCATTCCAGCGCCCAAGGCCCGCGAAGCGGGTTTTGGGCGCGGGTCATAAATAGCTTTCGTTTCTAAGTTGAGGGTTTCATCGGTAGCGTCGCGCTGCGCGTGCAAACGCCGAAAACGTAGTGCACCCTCAACGCATGCAGGGTGCCAACTTGCCAGTAACCTGACAACGATCAGGAAACTAAAAATTTAGGTACGCGCGCACCTCTGGAGATCATTCAATTATTGATGAATATCTCGATACAAAGATCAAAGATTTTCTGTATAAAGGCGGAGAAGGGAAGCTTGTTACCGTACCCGAACTTGTCAAGATTAGAAACAAGGTAAGTACAAAGAAGCTTCGGTAGCTTAGATACAATACTTTAGCAAAGAAACGCAATGTTGTCAACTTTTGCTCGCAAAAAGGGAAAAGGCAAATCAGGCCCCAATGTTCTCGATGAATTCAACCAAGAAGGGGAGAACGTGGGCGACTTGAAAAAGGGTAACATTTCTTTTATAACTCTCTGTAAAATTCTCGTTTTAGCCTTGAAATTACTTGATGGAGGTGGCAAAGGCAAAGGTGGTGAGTCAAAATATCGCGATGTTTGCTGGAGGCTTGAAGAACGAGGGAAGAGTTAATACAAAACCAAAAAACACAATTTATTCTCAGGATCGATGGGTGAGACACTATTGGGGGTATGCTTATTGCAAGGAACGGCGATACATAATATGCTGGCACTAAAGTTGCTCGATAAATATCCAAAATTGGTGAATGACTATAATGTATCCGAAGATTATTACGGTAAGATAATCGGCTGCAAGTATGTATTTTTTAATTACAAAGGCCTGTCACCGCTCCACCAGGCGATTGTGAATGAAGATCCGTATATGGTTCGTATACTTTTGAATAAAGGAGCTGACGTCAGCAAGAGGTAAGAAAAATCCTAATAATTTTTAAAGGTCGCTTAAAAGTATAAGGAAGGCGCAAATATATATATATCAGCGTTCATATAAAATTGGGATTTTTCCAACACCGGAAACGTTAGACAAAAAACAATGAACAGATGAAGGGAGGAGTTAGCAGATACATTTTATTTCAATACTATGACGGTTTTTATGCTCATTGATCTGCGATTCCTGATCCCAGTAATTCTATAGATGCTACGGAGCATTTTTCTGTGCTGACGATCAAAAAGTGAGTCGCACAGACTCGCTGGAGCACGAATACGTTGAATTGGCACTAAAAACAAACTACATCGGGTCGGTTTGATATTTATTCGACATTTATTGGTCGGTATTTTATAGTCATATGTATTTCGGTGAATATCCTATCCACTTTGCCGTATGTATGAATCAGCCGGAATGCTATCGATTGTTGTTGGCAAAAAAGGTGGCGCCTAAATGGATTTTAATTCCATAAAACCCCTTTTTAGGCGAATCCAAATGCACAGGACACGAATGGGAATACGGCACTGCATATGTGCGTTATACACGAGAATGTGGTCAGTTTTGTATTGGGGGTTTGGGTGAATGCCGGATTTTAAGTTGCTTGTTGCAAATAGACTCTTGTTTACACTATCGTTGTGAAGCGCCGTCAAAATTAGCATTTGGTTTTAGGAAATGCTACGTTTGGCTGTGGAATTGGGCGCGAATCTGAAGATAATGAATCGCCAGGGGCTTACACCGCTTACATTGGCTGCTCGATTAGCCAAGAAACAGGTATTTATTGATATGATAGGGCTGGGTAGAATGAAGTAATTGAAAAATGATTAAAAAAATAATTTTTTAGATGTTTGCCATATTGCTCGACATGGAATCGGAGCCAGTTTGGGTCTATGGCGAAAGCTGCCAGGCAAAAGCGATTGTCCTCAGTCCCGAGATATGTTTTAGACTGCCTTTCCTCTATTCTGTATTGATTCGATCAACGAACAGAATGGAGAAATTAACGATAATTCGGCGCTGGCGCTCGTTGTATATGGGGTTGGTACCTTCATAGTATGCGAGTGCTATCAAAAAATCTGTTAGGAAACATACGACCACCTAGAATTGTTGGACGGGCTGCTGGAAAATATTCTGCAATCGAAATGGGAATCTTTTGCTCGGAATACGTGGGTTCCTCCTGTTGCTAAACGACGCCTATTGATGCTCTATTTCAAAATCGTGATGTTTCCAGATGGCGCAAGTATTTGGGATCGTTCGCATTCTATTATTTGGTCTTTTTCATGGCATTTATGAATCGACCTTTCTCACAGACAACGGAGGCTTGTTTCAGGGGATAGGAACTCTCGGGTTTATGCCCTTACGGGGCGGAGCAGTCGGGATTTTGGCTACAAGACGCCCCAGACACCGTAGTTTAAACCTAAGCTTCTGGAAAAGGGTGATTTAAACTTAAGTTTGGGCCTAGCTTAAGCCTGGCTAAAGTCAAGTTAATCCTAGGCTTCAGCCAAAAACAAACTAGCTTATGCGGAGCGCCTCGTGACCTTTTGCTGCCAATCCTGGACCCCCCCCCCCCCAAAGTGCATTAGCGTCGCGATTTTTAGAGAAATTGCCCGATCAATTCAATATTTTATTTTCGCGCTTATATTTTTTACCAATTTGTCACGAGACCAGGAATTATCTTCAAAAGCATATTTGCATGCCTAATTAAACCTCAGTTATCGGCAAATGTTACGCAGCCGACGCCACAAAGCCAAGTTGATGTGGTTTCCGATCTTTTAAAATTCCAAAACAATCGTAAATTAAACCTTTAACATTAGATGCTAACAAATGGGATGATCGAGGGTGACAGTGGACGGCCAAACAGCAACAATTTTTCAAAGACGTGGCTATGGAGTAATGGAGCTGGAGAAGAGCTGTTTAGCTATCGCCACGATGAATTTGGTCCGAATGCTGTTCTAACTAAAATAACCTAGAAAGTAATTTTCAGCAGAGCAAGTCTCTCAATGTCATCTGCTAAAATATGGCCAATTGCCGTTTATTCAAGGCTATGTAAGGAAAATGGAGCGAATTCATAGAATTTAGGGTTCAGGACTGTTAGCGGGGGTGTTTCGCGGAGGGACCAAATTTTCCCCTGTGTTTCACTACGGCGCTATAACAAAATATAAACCTTTTGTATATATAAAACAATATAAAAAGTCATTTCAAAATTCAAATCATTTTCAAATTTTCAAAAATTTTAGGATTTTTGCTCAAAAATGTATTAAAAATGACGAAAAAAGCCCCAATTTTCAATATGTCAAAAATTTTAAAAATATTTTTATAACGTTCCAGTAAAAAAAAACTATTAAAGCACTTTAAATGGCATTATATTTCATTAACAAGTGGAAAAACAACAAAAAGTGGTTCCCCCCTGCTAACCCCCGCCCCGTCAACAGTCCAGAACCGAATTTAACAGGGATTAGGAAGTGTAGCAGACAAAATTTGCGGTTTGTGTCGAATTGAAATATTTTGCAGTTTCGACTAATTTGCGAATTGCTGGTAGTGTTAATGGTGATAGTACAATTAGTACTCGATCTTCTTGAAATTCATCGAATCGGCCGACACAAATGGTTCAGCATAATTGTTTGTGTTATTCACTGATGTAATATGAGACGTTTTTCAGAAAGCTTTCCCGGCAAAGTGTTTTTACAAAACTACGTTTTTTGCTGTACTAGCATTGGTACCGATTAGGTGTAAGTGTTTTGCAATTCTAGGCAGCCATAAGACATTAGAATGTATGTTTTGCGAGTAAAAGAAGTAACGAAGTATAATTGTGTTTTGCAGTATTGTGCCACGTACAAGCCGGATTCCTGGTTGTAGATAATGTTCTCTCATCCTTATTAGTTATTGCTACAACCCTTCATTTTCTCTATTATAGCAGGTGCTGCTCGCGCAAACATTCAATGCTATATTTTGAAAGTTTAGAGCGTTGAAGTTTATTGGACCCTTTGTCTTAATGATCTACACAATTATTGCAACAGACATGAGCCGTTTCTTTTTGATTTATTCAATATTTATGGTTGGCTTTTCACAGTGTACGTTTTTACCCCACAATAATTGTGGTAAACAGTGGGAAGCAGCCATGCTCGTCTAAACTCTATATGTTAATTTATAGCATTTTACTTGATCTTCACGGCCTGTGAGAGGGCCCAGCAGTCAACACAAAATGGCAGCGAGCCCCTCATGCGCAACGATGAATTCCAGAATGTACTAAAATATCCGAGTGACGCCCTTGTCCGCACATTCATTATGACTGTTGGTGAGATAATTCATTACGAATATTCCATGCCCCGGATTGATTTGAATTTTTCCGAGTAGCTCCGGAAACGTAATATGTGTCAGAAATGCAAGATACTAGAAAAACTCGCAAAAAGGCTGTGCAACCGTGCCTGGGTATTTTTTAGCCATGTACACAGTAGCTTTCAAACGAAAACCTGCATATCAGAGACATCTAAATCGAAATAAAACCTTCAGGAGAATTCATGCAGCTTTATCGACAAATGGCTCAATGCAATTCAAGTCTGATGAAACCAATCGGCAAGGTATGTAAATTAATATTAAATTACAGTCGATGGGCTCCAACCCGGTAAAGGTTGCTTAACGGGGGTGGGGGGACAAATAACGCGGGTGGAAACAATTTTTGTATTTATAAAGAATATCCCGCTATTTTAAAAACGCTATCGGATAAAGCGTCGAAAATTATGCTAAGAGATTTAATTTCAGTCCAAAAAACCTTTTTTAACGATTTTTTAATTAATTAGACCTTTTAGCTTGAAAAATTAATTTTAAATTGTGGTATTTCGGGCTGAAGTTAAAACTCTTAGTATAATTTTCGACGCTCTATCCGATGGCACTAATGACGAGAGAAGTAGCTCAAAACGCCGAAAATGATGATCACATTATGGTTATACTTCATGACCAGCTGATGGTTTTTTAATGGCGAATTTAAATTACATTATTTCGGGCCAAAATTAATTATCTGAGTATATTTTTCGACGCTCTATCCGATGGAATGCTTAAATTGGCACGACAGGTCCCTATAGGGAAAAATGGTTTCCACCCTGATATTTGTACCCCCCCGTTAAGCAACCTTTACCCTCCAAACCTTAGCTGTGCTTCATCATTTTCGAAATGGGCGTTTCTATATTGCAATTCAATTTATTAATTGCAATGATGACAAGAACGTATGAAACCATCTTTCAAACCAGAAAAGAATGGAAGCGACAGGTCGGTCAAAAATTTCCGGGTCAAAATATTCCAAACCCAGTGGGCGCAGGTTATTTTGATGCTCGAATTATCGCTGTCCCCTGAGAATCGACTATCGTCTTTGACTGACTATTCACGGCCTATTGGTACAAATAACGCTGTAAGATGCTACGTTGTCAGCAAGAAAACTGATGTTCGTTTGACGCTTTTTAGTAACGAACTATTGTCGTTTCAGAATGATCCCATCGATAATCTTACCATTCGAAAAATTCGCAAAGACAGAAGCGGTGCGAAACGAAAAAAAAGTCAAAGGTACCAGAAAAATCTCACTCAGAAAATCTTTCAAGCGTTCATTTTTCCAGATAACTGCTGTATCTGTGGAACATCCGAATAGCGGAATGTGAAAATTGCTGAAATTGTGAATCCTTCATATTGTTAGTAATTAGCAATAGATCCAAATGTACATGATAATAAAGTCGAGCAACATACCAAAGAGCAACACCAGCAATCTGCATATGTACTTAACAAAGACCGGTAGTCGTTATTGCGATCCTTACCTCATTACTTCCCCAACATCATCATTAGTGTGTGAATACGGCATATATAATTCGCCCGCTATAGGCTTAGGCTTAGGCTTAGGCTTAGGCTTAGGCTTAGGCTTAGGCTTAGGCTTAGGCTTAGGCTTAGGCTTAGGCTTAGGCTTAGGCTTAGGCTTAGGCTTAGGCTTAGGCTTAGGCTTAGGCTTAGGCTTAGGCTTAGGCTTAGGCTTAGGCTTAGGCTTAGGCTTAGGCTTAGGCTTAGGCTTAGGCTTAGGCTTAGGCTTAGGCTTAGGCTTAGGCTTAGGCTTAGGCTTAGGCTTAGGCTTAGGCTTAGGCTTAGGCTTAGGCTTGAGCTTAGGCTTAGGCTTAGGCTTAGGCTTAGGCTTAGCTTAGGCTTAGGCTTAGGCTTAGGCTTAGGCTTAGGCTTAGGCTTAGGCTTAGGCTTAGGCTTAGGCTTAGGCTTAGGCTTAGGCTTAGGCTTAGGCTTAGGCTTGGAGCTTAGGCTTAGGCTTGGGCTTAGGCTTAGGCTTAGGCTTAGGCTTAGGCTTAGCTTAGGCTTAGGCTTAGGCTTAGGCTTAGCTTAGGCTTAGGCTTAGGCTTAGGCTTAGGCTTAGCTTAGGCTTAGGCTTAGGCTTAGGCTTAGGCTTAGGCTTAGGCTTAGGCTTAGGCTTAGGCTTGAGCTTAGGCTTAGGCTTAGGCTTAGGCTTAGGCTTAGACTTAGGCTTAGGCTTAGGCTTAGGCTTAGGCTTAGGCTTAGGCTTAGGCTTAGGCTTAGGCTTAGCTTAGGCTTAGGCTTAGGCTTAGGCTTAGGCTTAGGCTTAGGCTTAGGCTTAGGCTTAGGCTTAGGCTTAGGCTTAGGCTTAGGCTTAGGCTTAGGCTTAGGCTTAGGCTTAGGCTTAGGCTTGTAGCTTAGGCTTAGGCTTGGGCTTAGGCTTAGGCTTAGGCTTGGGCTTAGGCTTAGGCTTAGGCTTAGGCTTAGGCTTAGGCTTAGGCTTAGGCTTAGGCTTAGGCTTAGGCTTAGGCTTAGGCTTAGGCTTAGGCTTGGGCTTAGGCTTAGGCTTAGGCTTAGGCTTAGGCTTAGGCTTAGGCTTAGGCTTAGGCTTAGGCTTAGGCTTAGGCTTAGGCTTAGGCTTAGGCTTAGGCTTAGGCTTAGGCTTAGGCTTAGCTTAGGCTTAGGCTTAGGCTTAGGCTTAGGCTTAGGCTTAGGCTTAGGCTTAGGCTTGGGCTTAGGCTTAGGCTTAGGCTTAGCAGGCTTAGGCTTAGGCTTAGGCTTAGGCTTAGGCTTAGGCTTAGGCTTAGGCTTGGGCTTAGGCTTAGGCTTGTGCTTAGGCTTAGGCTTAGGCTTAGGCTTAGGCTTAGGCTTAGGCTTAGGCTTAGGCTTGGCTTAGGCTTAGGCTTAGGCTTAGGCTTAGCTTAGGCTTAGGCTTGGGCTTAGGCTTAGGCTTAGGCTTAGGCTTAGGCTTAGGCTTGGGCTTGGGCTTAGGCTTGGAGCTTAGGCTTAGGCTTAGGCTTAGGCTTAGGCTTAGGCTTAGGCTTAGGCTTAGCTTAGGCTTAGGCTTAGGCTTAGGCTTAGCTTAGGCTTAGGCTTAGGCTTAGGCTTAGGCTTAGGCTTAGGCTTAGGCTTAGGCTTAGCTTAGGCTTAGGCTTAGGCTTAGGCTTAGGCTTAGGCTTAGGCTTAGGCTTAGGCTTAGGCTTGGAGCTTAGGCTTAGGCTTAGGCTTAGGCTTGGAGCTTAGGCTTAGGCTTAGGCTTAGGCTTAGGCTTAGGCTTAGGCTTAGGCTTAGGCTTAGGCTTAGGCTTAGGCTTAGGCTTAGGCTTAGGCTTAGGCTTAGGCTTAGGCTTAGGCTTAGGCTTAGGCTTAGGCTTGTGCTTAGGCTTAGGCTTAGGCTTAGGCTTAGGCTTAGGCTTAGGCTTAGGCTTAGGCTTAGGCTTAGGCTTAGGCTTAGGCTTAGGCTTAGGCTTAGGCTTAGGCTTGGAGCTTAGGCTTAGGCTTAGGCTTAGGCTTAGGCTTAGGCTTAGGCTTAGGCTTAGGCTTAGGCTTAGGCTTAGGCTTAGGCTTGGGCTTAGGCTTAGGCTTAGGCTTGGGCTTAGGCTTAGGCTTAGGCTTAGGCTTAGGCTTAGGCTTAGGCTTAGGCTTAGGCTTAGGCTTAGGCTTGAGCAGCTTAGGCTTAGGCTTAGGCTTAGGCTTAGGCTTAGGCTTAGGCTTAGGCTTAGGCTTAGGCTTGGGCTTAGGCTTAGGCTTAGCTTAGGCTTAGGCTTAGGCTTAGGCTTGGGCTTAGGCTTAGGCTTAGGCTTAGGCTTGGGCTTAGGCTTAGGCTTAGGCTTAGGCTTAGGCTTAGGCTTAGGCTTAGGCTTGGGCTTAGGCTTAGGCTTAGGCTTGGAGCTTAGGCTTAGGCTTAGGCTTAGGCTTAGGCTTAGGCTTAGGCTTAGGCTTAGGCTTAGGCTTAGGCTTAGGCTTAGGCTTGAGCTTAGGCTTAGGCTTGGGCTTAGGCTTAGGCTTAGGCTTAGGCTTAGGCTTAGGCTTAGGCTTAGCTTAGGCTTAGGCTTAGGCTTGGGCTTAGGCTTAGGCTTAGGCTTAGGCTTAGGCTTAGGCTTAGGCTTGGCTTAGGCTTGGGCTTAGGCTTAGCTTAGGCTTAGGCTTAGCGGCTTAGGCTTGGGCTTAGCTTAGGCTTAGGCTTAGGCTTGGGCTTAGGCTTAGGCTTAGGCTTAGGCTTAGCTTAGGCTTAGGCTTAGGCTTAGGCTTAGGCTTAGGCTTAGGCTTAGGCTTGAGCTTAGGCTTAGGCTTAGGCTTAGGCTTAGGCTTAGGCTTGGGCTTAGGCTTAGGCTTAGGCTTAGGCTTAGGCTTGAGGCTTAGGCTTAGGCTTAGGCTTAGGCTTGGGCTTAGGCTTAGGCTTAGGCTTAGGCTTAGGCTTAGGCTTAGGCTTAGGCTTAGGCTTAGGCTTAGGCTTAGGCTGGGGCTTAGGCTTAGGCTTAGGCTTAGGCTTAGGCTTAGGCTTAGGCTTAGGCTTAGGCTTAGGCTTAGGCTTAGGCTTAGGCTTAGGCTTGGGCTTAGGCTTAGGCTTAGGCTTGGCTTAGGCTTAGGCTTAGGCTTAGGCTTAGGCTTGGCTTAGGCTTAGGCTTAGGCTTAGGCTTAGGCTTAGGCTTAGGCTTGGGCTTAGGCTTAGGCTTAGGCTTAGGCTTAGGCTTGAGCTTAGGCTTAGCTGCTTAGGCTTAGGCTTAGGCTTAGGCTTAGGCTTAGGCTTAGGCTAAGGCTTAGGCTTAGGCTTAGGCTTAGGCTTAGGCTTAGGCTTGGGCTAGGCTTGGCTTAGCTTAGGCTTGGGCTTAGCTTAGGCTCAGGCTTAGGCTTAGGCTTAGGCTTAGGCTTAGGCTTAGGCCTAGGCTTAGGCTTAGGCTTAGGCTTAGGCTTAGGCTTAGGCTTAGGCTTAGGCTTAGGCTTAGGCTTAGCTTAGGCTTAGGCTTAGCAGGCTTAGGCTTAGGCTATAGGCTATAGCTTAGTGCTTAGGCTTAGGCTTAGGCTTAGGCTTAGGCTTAGGCTTAGGCTTGGGCTTAGGCTTAGGCTTAGGCTTGGGCTTAGGCTTAGCTTAGGCTTAGGCTTAGGCTTAGGCTTAGGCTTGAGGCTTGGGCTTAGGCTTGAAAGCTTAGGCCTGGAGGCTAGGCTAGGCCCAAGCTTGGGATAAGGAGCCAGAGCTTGGGCGGGCTTAGGCTTGGAGCTTGGGCTTAGGCTGAGGCTGGGCTTGGGCTTGGGCTTAGGCTTAGAAGCTTAGGCTTGGGCTTAGGCTTAGGCGGAGGCTTGGGGCTTAGGCTTGGGCTAGGGCTTGGAGAGGGGCAGGCTTAGAAGCGGAGGCCCAGGCTTGGAAGCGGAGGCTTAGGCTTAGAAGCGGAGGCTAGGAACTTGGGCTTGGGCTTGGGCTTGGGCTTGAGCTTAGGCTTGGGCTTGGGCTTAGGCTTAGGCTTGGCCCGGGCTTAGGCTTGGGCTTAGGCTTAGGCTTAGGCTTAGGCTTAGGCTTAGGCGGAGGCGGAGGCTTGGAAGCTTAGCTTAGGCTTAGGCTTAGGCTAGAGCTTAGGCTTAGGCTTAGGCTGGAGGCTTAGGCTTAGGCTTGGAAGCTTAGGCTGTAGGGCCCAGGCCCAGGCTTGGAAGCGAAGGCAGAAACAGGCTTGGAAGCGAGGCTTAGGCGGAAGCGCAGGCGGAGAGCCAGGCTTGGAGAAGCCCAGGCTTGGGCTTAGGCTTGGAGGCTTGGGCTTAGGCTTGTGCTTACTACTAGGCTTAGGCTTGTGCTTAGGCTTAGGCTTAGGCTTAGCTTAGGTCTTAGGCTTAGGCTTAAAGCTTAGGGCTTAGGCTTAGGCTTAGGCTTAGGCTTAGGCTTAGGCTTAGGCTTAGCTTAGGCTTAGGCTTAGGCTTAGGCTTAGGGGGGGGGGGGGGGCTTAGGCTTGTGCTTAGGCTTAGGGGCTTAGGCTTAGGCTTAGGCTGTAGGCTTAGGCTTAGGCTTAGGCTTAGCTTAGGTCAGGCTTAGGCTTAGGCTTAGGCGCAGCTTAGGCTTAGGCTTAGCTTAGCTTAGGCTTGTGGCTTAGCTTAGCTTTAGCTTTAGGCTTAGGCTTAGGCTTAGGCTTAGGCTTAGGCTTAGTTTGACTAGGCTTAGGCTTAGGCTTAGCTTAGGCTTAGGCTTAGGCTTAGCTTAGGCTTAGGCTTAGGCTTAGGCTTAGGCTTAGGCTTAGGCTT